TGTCATATGGTATGCTCCCAGAAGCAATTGAACTCTATGACTCATTCTTGGTATCTTAAACTCTTTCTCGCTGCTGAACTTCAATGTTCCCTCAGAAGAGAGTTCGACATCTATGTTGTCAATAGTTTCTTCATTTATGAGAGTATCTCTGACTCCAGCAATTTTATCTATTCTGTACTCGGCTCTGTTAGGAAATGTTACAACACTTCTTTTGTCATCTATTTCAATCTCTATGAAATCTGTTTCATCTGTTATGACAAAAGTTGCGATAGTATTGAAGTCAACAACTCTGAAAGCAAGTGCTTCATTCTGAAGTCCTAAGTTTGTTTGTAGCTTTACTGTCCCGTATTCGTTTGGGTCTGTACTTTGTAAATAGAACAACATTTTATTCTCATTAAAATATGACTATTGCTGCATATGCGTATGAAACAAATGAAGCAAGAAGAGCACATGAACTAGTAAATGAAAACTCAACTTTAACAGTGGAAGGCAATGATTTAGTCATTGACGATGGAAAAACTAAAAAAGTCATTGATTTCGATACTTTTAACACTTATGACCCATTCATTACAACAAGCAAGGTTCCTATCATAAATGATGGAACGGTGCAATATATAAATTCTACAGTAGATGCCTCATTAGTGAAAGTATTAAATGTTCTCATTGAATTGTTAAAGAGCTTTAGATTTGACGACAACATTAAATGCCTAAAGAATTTAGTCATGAATGAGAAACAAATTCTCGGCGTTGCTGGTAGCAGTAATGATGTACACCTTATGACATTAGAATATTATAACGAACATAAAGATGAACTGAAAGGAGAGAAGGGTGACACTGGACCTCAAGGACCACAAGGAATACAAGGAATACAAGGACCTCAAGGCGAAAATGGTTTGGATGGTGAAGATGGAAAGGATGGAAAAACTGCTAAATCATGGATATGGAACCTTATAAATACTGGTTTAACAGCTGCTTCATATGGAGTTCTTCAATACCAAATCGGAAAGATATGGGCAGTACTTGGTGAAGAAGCTTTAGATGACGTTAAAGATGCTTTGAACTTCATTTCAAATGGTTCGGATACTATTAAAACTTTATCTGGTTGGATGCAAGAAACAAGGAGTCAAATAGATACTGTAAGACGTATAGCAAACAATGCACGTACGGGATTGGATACTTTACGAGAAGCACAAAATACACTAAAGGAAGCAAATGATATTCTTGTCTCAGTATCAGACATGCATGAAGATTGGCTTAAAGGTATTGACAAATCTTTAAAAAATCACAGTCAGTCTATTGCTGACTACAAGAAAAGTATAGATTTTTTACATAGTGCTATGGACGTACATGATGGAAGCATAAAGAACTTACTTAATGCTAACAATAACTTACCAGGAACTATTAAAGCATTTATAAAGTCCTTTGTAAAACCTGGTGCTCTAACATTTAGGTCTTTGAGAGCAAGAGCATTGAAGTCAAGAGATGCAGAAACTCCAACAGAACCTACAGAAGGAACTGAAACAACAGAAACTCCAGAAGAACCACCAAAACCAACAGCTAATGAAATATTGTTCGAATATTTTCCAAGATACTCTGTCCTCATTGCATACATTCAAGAAATACTTAAGAAAGCAGACTTGACTTTAGGAGATGATGAAAGTTCTGTATATCTTTCGTTCCAGTTTCAAATAGCAGAACTTTTGAGACAGATATGCTTAATGTATGACAACATCTCTGATTTCACAAGATATGATGACGACCATGACCCCGAACACGGTGAAGAAGAAGTTTTACAAACATCCATTAAGACAGGAAAGGTTTTAACACAAAGTCTCATTATTGACACCGAAGATGGTGAAGTGGATGTTCTTCAAGAGCTGAAGAAAAATACTTCTGAAGGAGGTGGTGGTAGGCATGAACTTGAAATAAATGAGATAGAAGAGAAATTAGCCGAAAAAGCAGCTAAAAACCATGTTCATTATATAAGTTCAGACGAACAAATTATAACGGACTACCACGGATATTTAATACAGGATGAACAAATAAGCACTGAAGATGTTAATGAAAGAAGATATAAATTCATTCATGCTGAAGGTTATGACATACGTTGTACTGTACAGTATGACACAGGTAAAGCACCAGAAGCATTTGGTTATAACAATGAAATATATGCTTCGTATTTCTTTGTTAACGGTGTATTAGTTGAACCAAGATTTACATTGAGAGTTAAGGCAAAAATAACTTTTGAAGATGCTATTAAAAGTAAAGCTGACAAAGATGAACTTGACGCAACGAACAAAGTTTTGAAATCTCATAAACATAATATCTCCGATATAAATGAACTTCAAGCTACATTAAATAGTAAAGCTGACAAAAATCATACACATGAATCCTTCACTACTGTTAGAGCAGACGACATAATATTGAACTATACCCTTGGTTCAAGTGCACCTTTAGAGAATCCAAGTACAAGCGTAAAAGATACACTAAACTCCTTAAATAACAAATGTATAAATATCGAAGGTCATGTCAGAAACTTTGAAACATATGAACTACCAGCAATGTTAGATAAAAAAGCAGATAAAGAACATACACATAACTCCTTCTCAACTGTTGCTATAGAAAGTATTGAAGGAACGGTTGGCGGAACTGGTGGGATGCATTATACTATAAACCTCCTAACTTTCCACAAGGTTTAACATCGAATGAAAACATAACAACGAAGAAAGACATTAGCTGTAAAAATGTTTATGTCATGGATGATGAAAATAATGTTAAATTCACTGCTCAAGATTTATATGATAAGAAAGTTGACAAAACAGAGCTTCAAACATTAAAGACTGAAATACTTCAAACATTATATCCTGTTGGTTCTTTATATACATCAATGAACTCAACAAATCCAGCAAGTGTTTTAGGTTTTGGTACTTGGCAGCAGATTGTAGATAAATTCTTATACTGTGCTAACTCTTCAAAGCAAACAGGAGGCTCAAAGAAAATTAAAGAAGCAAACTTACCTGCGCACACTCATACAGGAACTACAAACTTTTCTGGCGACCATAGCCACTCATTAAGAGACCACCCATTATACAACTCAGACTATAAAGCTGGCAATGATGTTTTATCTCCATCTTATAACAATTCAGCAAAAAAGACTTTTCGACCAACTGAACCAGGAGGAAATCATGTCCATACTTTCACAACAAATCCAACAGGCTCTGGTGAAGATTATATGCCACCATTTATGACTGTATTCGCATGGTACCGTACAGCTTAAAATCTTTATTTTTACATAAATGAGCTTGAAAGAAGTATTCGAACAACATCCATGGAGGTCATTTAAGAAGTTCAATGAAGCAGCAAAAAGTTGGGATTTACTAACAGAGCTGAAGTGAAAAGGTTCTTTGACAAAATGTTGTACATCAAACAAAAATAAACCCTTACGACTACTTTTTACCAATTTACTCCAACACTCCTGACGCATACCAATTTGACACTCTCATTCAAAGCAGAAAGGAGGACATAAACCATTCCTCATCATCATAAATGTTAACACTCGTAAAGCATATGCATATCCAATGAAAAATAAAGGAACTCGTGAAGTGTTAAGAGTTTTACAAAAGTTTGTAGCAGAACATAACCCAAGTACTTTAACATCAGACCAAGACGGTGCAAACCTCAGCAATGAAATCACAGATTTTCTCATTAAGCATAACATAACTCACTACACTACTGAAGACCGTAACCATAACATACTCGGCATTATAAACCGCTTCATAAGGACTCTCAGAGATTTAAATCAAGAGCGAGACTTTACTGAAGAAACAATGAAACATTTTCTCGAAGTATATAATTCCTCAACGCATTCTACAACAGGACATACACCCAAATTCAATGACACAACAAAAGAAGAAAAGTATATACAAAAGAAACGAAGTCAAACACAAAATATCAGAAATTCAACACAATTTACTCTCATTCCTGGAAAAAAGTTCGTGTAGTTCTTGACGACAAACCGTTGACAAAGAAACGTTTAAGGTTAAGTCGAAATTATTATATCGTAGACTCTACGCAAGGTAATGGATATCTTATAAAAGCTGCTGACGACTCTATTGCGTTTTACCCTCGTCATAAATTAGTTGAAAGTAGTAATGGCAAACTTGCTGAAAATTGACGAAGCAAAGCGAGGAGTGGTTATTGAAATACTTGGCTACAACATAAACGATGACACTTATAAAGTAAGATATGAAGGAGGCGTTGAAGATGTTATACCATCTAAGAACTTGAGAGAGTCGAAGCCAACACATCTGGGGCCATTAGAGTGGGAGTACTGGAAAGATAAAAATAAGCCAGAAAGAATAAGAAAATTCTTCTAAACTTTTTCATTAGATGTAAATCAGACATGAACGAGAACAGTCATGATATCATTAATGGTACCATTTATTTTAACATTAAGACGCAAAGCGGCGGGGCATAGCCCTGAACAAAAATAATGTTTGGGTAGATGGTTAGATCTAACCTCATTTCTACCCTCATTTCTACCCTCACGAATTTTCATGAATTTCCTTAAGATAGAAAAATAAAGTTAGTTTTATTTTTATTTATTTTTTTATTTTGTATGTAAGAACAGAAATGTCAGTCGAAGCAAAAACATTCACTAACAAATATAATGGCGAAACATTCACAAAAGGCACTTATAACGGTATTGAAGTCTTACGTAGAGACAAGGATGGTTACATTAATGCAACAAAGATGTGTCAGCAGTTTAGGAAAGACTTTAGAAAGTTGTTGGAAAATAAGTCCTGGGAAGAGTATTATAAGGCATTTTGTGAAGAATATAGCAACAGTCTGAATTCCGGCGGTTGCTTTTTATACAAAATTCATGCAGGAATTCCTGATGAAATCAAACAGGTTAGAGGAACGTATGTAGACCCAAGACTTATAAACTATATATAGCAATGTGGGCTTCTCCAAAATATTGCATAGCAGTTGGAAAAATTATGGACTCCATAGACAAGAAAGTTCATGAGAAGTTAGATGAAGAAGAACTCGAAGATACAGTAGAGAATGCAAAACATTTGTTTGAAGAAGAAGTTAGAAAAATGCATGAAAAACAATTAGAACATGAACGTGAGATATGTTATGGTTATAGAGATTCTCCATACGAACTAGACCAATGGGAACAAGAAGATTTAAAGAGAGAATTTAGAGAATATGAACTCGCTAAGATAGCATTAGAAGCTGCAGAAAAGAAGTTAAAAGTTTGGGGTCGTTTTGTACAAAAATATTGTGAGTAAATGAACCATTTATTTTATTGAATTCACCAAAAATAATTTTTAGGGTAGATGGTTAGATCTAACCTCATTTCTACCCTCATTTTCTACCCTCTTGAATTTTCATGAATTTCCTTAAGACAGAAAAAATAAAGTTAGTTTTATTTTTATTTATTTTTTTTATTTTGTATAAAAGATATGATTTCAACAATCGGCACAACAACAATTCAAACAACAACAGCACCAAACTCGTTAGTCATGAATCCAACATCTATGTTAGTAGAGATGAAAAACTTCATTCCTTCTTCATATAGTTTTGGAACAGAAATACAAAGAATAAAGCAAGAACTTTTAACAAGTAATTTCGACTGTACCGCACAGGATGAAGAAAATGAAGAATATCTTTATGAAATGCAGGACATTATTGACCATTTAACCAAATTGCCTGAAATCCAGCAACAAAAGCTCACTATTCCTGAATTCGATGAAATAGAAGTGAAACCAACTGACTCAGTAGAAATAAAGAAGTTCATACGAAAGGTAAATTATGAGTTTCTAGGATATCATTGCAACCATAAAGTTATGGACAAAGATTGCGACATGGTATATAAGAACATCTCTGACATATATATAGGGTGTCCAAAGGTGCGTTTAGCACAGCGCTCTATATGAGACTATTAAAGGAGATATATGCTGATTATAAATATATAATAAAAAATATGAATATATGTATATGATGAGTATGTTGTATTTTGGCGCCATGCCGGGATATAAAATGAATTTTGAGACAAGAGGCGGTTTCGCGGAAATTTTGGCGATTTTTTCATTTTTTTAATGAATCATAAAGAAAACATCCTCGCTCTTGCAAAAAAATGCAAAGACTGTAAAAAAATCTACGAGACATTGTAAAATGCTTCGGTATGGATGCTCCTAGCTATTCCACTGTAACGTATCATGTTAGGATGTATCACTTCATGAACAAAAAGGCGCCCATCATAAAAATTGACAAAAAATCGCCGGATCAAAGAAAAATCAAAGCAATTCTTCAAGCGCTAGATGAAGACCCAAGAGCATCACTCAGAAGGATAGAGGAGATGACAAAGATACCACGTACAACAGTCAGTTATTATCTGCACAATTATTTGAACTACAAACTAGCGTATACACGTTGGGTTCCGCACAACCTTAATTCAGTTCAAAAAAAATCTAGAGTCCAATCTTCGAAGAGCTCCTCTCTATATTGGGTGCGTATCAATCCAAGAAGTTTCGCTTTTAGTAACAGGGGATGAGTCTTGGTTTCAATATGCAACAGAAGCCAAAATCATGTGGATCCCGAAGGATGAAAATCCGCAAACATTCCCGAAGAAAAAAATTGACACACCAATGATGATGTTGTCGGTTTTTTGGGGCGTGAATGGCATCATCGCAATTGATATTCTTCAAAACCTAATACGATGAATGCTCAGTATCTAATTGACAATGTTCTTACTCAAATTATCAATTCTGATGAGTTTGAGAAATCCAAACAACAAAAACAAAAGTTTGCAATTCATTTTGATAATTCAAGAGTTCACAAAAGTCATAAGGTAATGAATTACTTGTTGGAAAACAATGTCAAAGTTGTTCCAAACCCAATTTATTCACCTGATATTGCACCCTCTGACTTTTATTTATTCGGCACGCTAAAAAAGAGAGCTGAAGGACGCGAATTCGCGAGTCCAGATGATCTTGAAAATTTTGTAAGAGAGCAATTTGAGCAATTTTCTCATAATGATTTAAAGCGTGTCTTTGAAGCCTGGATCGATCGCTGCGAACGCGTGATTGAATCCAATGGTGATTATATTTAAATAAACTTTATATATATGTAACTTGTTTATTTCTATTCGCAGTATTCAGGTTTGTGCTAAACACACCTTTGGACACCCTATAAATCGGGGGAGTTTAAGACATACGACAACTTTGTTTCATTAGTTGCAAAATGTGTATGGCAGATAAGAGATAAAGACAGAAGAGGTAAGGTATGGCATGAACAGATAAAACCAACTGCTTCAGATTTAAAGAAAACCATTGACGCCTTAGTTGTTTTAGCAGGTAAGGTTTCAGAATATAACGCAAAAATGAATCCGCAATGTTCTAAATGTAAAGCAGCAATGAGGAAATATAACTATTCAGTAAAGAGATAGAAAGAATGAGAAACGACTATGCAGATTTAAAGAGGGAGGCAGAGAAGCCGGTAGAAGATAAAATGGACATGTTAGCATTTCTGAACAAAAACTATCCAACTGCTGACGATTTCCTTCTATCTGATGTCAAGAAGAAGTATAAAGAAACTTTCGGCATTGTTAAAATTTTTGATATCCTCATCGAAGAAATAGAAGCTACAAAAACTGTTTAGAATCTCACGAATTCATAACGTTTACCATGTAAAACGGTTATAAATAATGAGGGTAGAAATGAGGTTATATATCGGGTTAGATCTAACCTTCTACCCTAAAATATATTTTTATTGAATTCAGCACAAAAATAATGAATTTCCTTAAGACAGAAAAAATAAAGTTAGTTTTTATTTTTTCGAATTTTTTATTTTGTATGTAAAGACAGTAATGTCAACATCAGAGAACACAACAACAGTTATAAGTCCATGAAGTCATAAATGAAGAATACGAGTACATACAGTATAACAAACAGTTACGTCTCATTCGTTCAGTCAAAGATGACAATGTACCAAATGCAAAATATAATGAATGCTCTTCGTTCTACAAAGCAAGCATACCATTGGTTTGAAAACCAACAGACAAAAGAACTTTTAGAAGAATTTCCTCATATGATTGCTTCCCTCGGAAAACCGGGGGAAGAGGTTCCGTATGAAATCGCAAGAATTTGGCTCCTGGTTTGAAAGGTTATTATGTTCATAGACTTTAGTAAATGCTGTACAATGTGGGCTTCACCTCGTTATGCTTGTTTATTTTTCATGATGTTAGATGAACTATATAAAGCAGAACGTGGAGAGATGGAAAAGAAAACTTCATGCAAAAGATGAAGTCATTGAATCCAAAGACAAAAGCATACAGAAAAGAATACCGCGTTCAGTACCAAAAGGAAAGGAAAAGAGTTATAAGTATATGATATATACTGAAGAGTTGGAAAATGAAGAAGATAAAGATATGGTTATGTTACATTTAGTGAGAAGAAACAACAAGAGCTTTTACGACCTCGCTAAAATATATAAATCTGACAGAAACTGGTTCTATCGTGAAAACTTACCGATTTCAATGACACGAATGAGCAAATAAAGGAAATTGTCAAAAATACTCTTCCTCAAACACACTATGATATTAAAGGTTGTACAATACTTACATTCAAAGAAGACTTAACATTACTGAAGGAAAAAATAACAGAATATTTCGATAACTTCAAAGAGGAAGAATAAAAAAATCTAAGCTAATTTTATTTTTTTTATAAAATTTTATCTCATATGGAAAGAACATGAATTTAGAATATTCGGAACTCATGACAGAAGAAGAGAACGAACAACATGTAAAAGATTATGCAAAATTCTGAAGACATACAAAGCATTTAAACAATATCTAAATGCTTCTAAAGATTATGCAAAATTTCTGAAGGTATATAAAGCGTATGAAAAAGCGTATGAAAAGTTTATACATTGGGGAATTGTTGTAAAATATCGATATGAAGACTAACCAAAAATATATTTTTGCTCAAATAACGTCAGGGTCAATTTCTTCAACCATTTCACTTCTTCGTCAATGTCAATAGAAGCTTCTTCAACCTTTGGTAAGAACTTTTGTATAACATCTTTGTTCGTTATTGTCTTCAGAGATGAAGGATAATATTTCACATTTGTTTCACCCTTCTTATATTCTTGTTCGGAAAGATTTAAAGCAATACTGAAGAAGTCAATGTTAGAGTTCTTTATGACAGTATAATGAGTATCTTTGACATTCACGAAGAAACTCTTTTGTTTCAAAACTACTGCTAACTCTTTGTGAAGTATAACGTTTTGCGGTCAATGACGATAGCTAATGGTCTGACATACTGACCGAACTTAGATTCTTTCACAAACTTCTTATTAAAGATAACATTAACATTTGAAGCACCATTGAACTCATTCTTGATGGCAGTAGCGAGAGCATTGTATGAAAGAACTTGCAATCTTGCATGTGTTTCATTAAAATAAAATATTAAATTATTTTGAAAAATAACTTTAAAAAAAATCTAATCTAATTTTTTTCAAAAAATATATTTTTTTTATTTCCTACTAAAGATGTATCGAAGTTGTCTAAGTTAGAACACTCGGAAATAAAACAACTTCTTACAGAAGCTAACATAGATGTTGCAAAGCATTACGCAACAAACAAAAAGCACTCGCTGACTTCATTAAAGACTATAATGGTGCGCAATAAGTTATGATAGAATTCATGAGTTCATAAAGCCGCAACGCGGCGAGGACGAAGTCCATGCAAGAGCATTTCTTTAAATGACGTTGCTATTGACTTATATCATAGACGTTCAGTACTCTCATGAGTTAGAAGAGAAATGTATGACATAACAAATGCAAACGTTGGTAAAACACGAAAGAGAGACGACACACTGAAACAAAGAGAAGAGAGATGTTTAAAAGTGCTATAGAACAAGTTCGCAAAGCTAACGATGTCATTCGTTCCATTGACGACAAACCAAAAGAAGGTGAGAGATGGTTAAAGAAAAGATGAAGAGAATAGGAAGAGAAATGTGAAGTCAGGCAATAGACTCATTGACTTTAACATCGAAGCTTTGATGAACCAAACAGAGACTACTTACACAACATTTCGGTAAGGTTTTCATGAGACTCTTAGAGAAAATTAAAATAAACTCACAACAGAGATGGATGGTATGTTATAAACTTGGTGGAAAGTATGAATGTTCTACGTTAAACCTCAATAATATTGGAACATTACTACATCAGCTCTTGAAGGAGAACTTTATATCAGAGATAGAAGCAAATGCTGCAGGTATTGTTGAAATGCACTATGACTTCTTCTTGACAAACATAAAGAATCTTACTGAAATAAAGATGTATGATTTAACAGAATATGAAAGGCTTAACGATGTCAGATGTAAAGAAAGGCAAACCAAAAAGAGACCATATAGAGATGAAAGCACACTGACAAATGACCAGAAAGCCATTTTGGAAGCTCTTAAGCAAACAGGAAACCCAGCACTTATAGAAAGCTTTTGGAAAGATAATGGTGAAAAGAAGTTTTATAAGAAGAGAAGCGGTCAGTTTCTGGAAGTATCTTTGCACATTACCTATAAATCTTGAACGCTACCAATCTTCAATGAACTTAACAAAAGAACTGCAACACTTATGACAGAAGACAATTGTTTCGTTTATGCTTGCATTCAGGCTGGAGTAGATGAGCAGACGGTAGACCACATGAGAGAAGTCATTCGTGTTAAGACTTTCCTCAAAGTAAAGTACAAGAATTTCCTGATGCAACAGGTATAGCATTTAATGTTACCATTGGTTACTTCAATGACTCAAGACATAATGATAAAGAGATACATACCAAAAGAATGTAACTATTCGAACTATTGACTTACTTCTTGTTGAAGACCATTACATGTTAAATGAAAGATTACCAATGACAACATATTTCGTCAGAAATTACAAAGAAATCTTGAAGGAGTGTGGTGGAATGAACATTGAGAAACAGATGAAGATTTATACAATGAGAGATGGTAAATATGTAGTTCGTTATGATAGAACAACACCGTTATGGCATGTTATGAAAACATTGTGGGAGTGCAAATATTTCGAACCTATTTCTTATGGAGAACTTTTCACATATACGACTGACTTATATAAACAGAACCTTGCACCATTTAAAGATTTGACATATGCTCCAAAGTATTGTGTACAACTGAAGAAGAAAGCCGAGTCAAAAGAAGTAAATAAAAATAAGTGCAAGTTCATTCCTGAGCACGTTTTCTTTGCTGACTTTGAGTGTAGCACAGACGGCTTTCATAAAGCTTTTAACATCTGTTATGACAGTGAAGATGGTTCAGTGAGTGAAAGCATTTGGGGTCAGAACTGTGCAACAGAATTTTTGGAACGACTTCCTGACAAGAGTTTAATATATTTCCATAACTCAGTTATGATATAAACTTCATCTTAAGACACATGACAGAAGTGAAAGGAACTCCCATCATTAAAGGTTCACGAACAATGCAAATAACTGGCTTATATAAAGGAAGGGCAATTATTATAAAAGACTCTTACAGTGTTATAAATAAGAAGCTTAAACTATTTCCTGCTATGTTTAACTTACAAACAGGACCGAAAGAAGTATTTCCATACAACTACTACAGCAGTGTTTTGTTAGCAAATGACAACAGAACTGGTGTCATTTTTGAAGCATGTAAGTTTATCCGGGATGCGGATATGTTCATGAAAAACATAGATTCCATCAAAGGTTGCAGAATAGATGAAAACCACTTCGACTTAGAAAAGTATAGCACATTTTATTGCAAACAAGATGTAAGAATTTTAAGAGAAGGTTTTGTTAAGTTCCGCAATGACATATTGAAAGAATTTGATTTAAACGTTTATGACTACGTTAGTATTTGTTCAATTGCTAACAAATTATTTGAGAACAGAGTGTACTTCCCGAATGGAAATTTATATGACCTCTCAATAAACCAAGAGAGTTTATTTCGAGATGCATTCAAGGTGGAAGATGTATGTTGTCAGATAACATTAAACAAAAGAGTAAAGAGAAACTCATTGTTGCTGATTTCGACGCTGTTTCATTATATCCATCAGCTATAGCAAGACTTTATACTTTAGAAGGTATTCCAAAGGTTATGAAGAAAGAAATGTTAAGCACAGAGTATCTCATGAGACATTTATTCGATGACGACCAAAAGGAACCCATTGGTGAAAAGTTTATGTCTGGCTTCTTTGTTCTCATTAAGATAAAGAGATTGGAATACATAGACACTTTCCTTTAATAGTTTGTGACCCTGAACTAAATCCAGAACTTAACGTTCCCAGAAGTTCAAACACTTGCTGTTTAATGTATGTTGACCATATAACATTACAAGACCTCATAAAATATCAAGGTGTCAAATGTGAAGTGTTGCAAGGATACTATTACGATGGAAACAGAGATATTAGAATAAGAGATGAAGTAAAGAAGTTGTTTGAGTTAAGGTTAAAGTATAAGAAAGAAGGAAATCCTTTGCAAGAAAATATAAAGCTCATTCTGAACAGTATTTATGGCAAAACTATTCTATCTCCTATTGAGTCAAAAATAACCATAGTAAATGACAAAGATGCTATAAGATATGCCATCAGAAACTACAACCATATAGTGAAGTTCGAAGGTTTGGATGGTTCAGATAAAACTATTTTCAAGCTAACGAAAAGCATTTGCAGACACTTTAACTTCTGTCCACTTGGTGTTAATATTCTATCTATGTCAAAACGTATTATGAATGAAGTATTCTGTACTGCAGAAGATATGGGACTTCAAATCTTTACCAGGACTGTGATAGCATGCATATTTTCAATGAAGACATACCAAAGCTTGCAGCAGAGTTTAAGAAGAGATACGGTCGCGAACTTATAGGAAAGAACCTTGGTCAATTTCATTCTGACTTCGCAGAAATAACACCTGGAAAACAAAGTTTAGCATACAAGTCAATATTTTGTGGAAAGAAGACTACATAGACTTACTCACTAACGATTTAAATGAAGTTGCATTCCATGCACGTTGCAAAGGTGTCAAACAAGACGTCCTTGCTTTAACAGCAATGAAATGTTTCCTGAAGCTATACAATGCTATTACAATGAAGATAAGAACATTCACATACCTGTTGGAACATATGACAAAGACTCTGAGTTCAGTTTAATGAAACTTTACAAAGCACTTTATGACGGTCAAGAGATTGGATTTGACTTATGTAAGTCTGCTACACCTTGCTTTGCTGAAAAGTTTAACTTCTCAATAACGACTAAAACAAGCTTTATTCGTAAGTTGAAGTTCTGAGGTCATTTATTTTTGTCAGCAATGAGGTCATTCGTGATAAAAATAATGAGGTCATATATTTTTGTCATTTATGTATAACCATTGTCTCTCTTAAACTTTGCAATAGACAGCTTTGTTCTTCTTCCTTCTACATCTGTAATGTTTATATAATCTTTGTTATACTGTCTTAAGACATTCATTCGTCTGTATTGAGTTCCCATGAAATAGTAAAAGGCATCTTCACTTGGGACATAGTAGTAGTTCTCTAACGTGTGATATGAGTATTGTATAATTTCAACAGCGTCTTCAGGAAGAGAGTCAACAATGTCAAACCAATAGCCATTTGAACCAGAAATATTTTCATGTTTTCTCTTCTTGTCGTCCATCTTAAGTTCGAGATATGAAAGTCTCCTCTGTCTCTGTTTATATGGTCTACTTCACGAAGTCCTTCAGGGTTCGAATGAAAGTTTCTGCAACTATTCTATGTTTCATCAGCTTGTGTTTGTGTTTAAATTTACACAAATATAACCATCTCCTTGGTCAAACTCACTTAACAACTCTTTTATTGCTTATACGTCTAATTGGATAAGGGTACTCTGAAAAGATTTCATAGTCATTGTCATGTTCGAGTGTTTGCCAATGTCCTTCACCTTCCATGCCTTTCACTCAAATAAAATTTTCAGAAAAAAATAAAATTAGCGTAGATTTTACAATACAGCTATTGTAGAATTTAAGAGTTGTGCTTCAATGTAGAGACAGTCCTTATGGTCTGGAGGTAAGAACACTGGGCAGTTATGGTCATGAGTGGAGAACATGTCTATCCAAAACTCACGATTGAAGCCTTAATTTATAGTATTTAGGGTTAGGAAGTGGTGAAGTTCTTGTATGACCAATGAACTCATTTTCAACTCCCTTACTTAAGTTTGAATATAATATAGCTTGCTTTCTATCCCAAATGCCAGGTGTTACAATCTTTGAAAATTCATTTTTCCTCGGAAGCATTGCATCATAATTGAAAACATTCTTGAAATCATCACTTGGTTCAGAGATTTTGAAATCTTATACGTAATGGATTTTCTTTCTCTTTAGCGACTTCATTGAATGGTGAGAATACAACAAACTGACAGTCATGTGTTCCATCTTCATTTTCATTAAATTCATAATGAAAGTCTATAAGTTGTGGCTGACTACCTTCTTCTTTCAGTTGTGCAAGAAACTCACGTAAAGGCTGTAAAGTTTGTACTTCAATGTTGAACTTTTTCTCGAACATCTCATTAAATGAAATCATACATTGTTGCAATGTTGTATCGTCTTTAAAGTATTTGTATATGTGAATGTTTTGGGCGCTTAAAGACTGTTCGTCATTTTCTATCTCGACTTGAAGTATAAAGTCAACCTTTCTGAAAGCACGTGTTATATACATATTTGTTATGCCAATGTACTTCTCTTCATTTATGTTCACAATCCAGTCTGTTGGAAACTTAAACGTTACTCTGTTCCCCTTTATTTTGACGTCAGGGTTTTCACTACTGAACGCAACAGATAAAGGTATTTGTCTATACATTTAATTCGGATAAAATAAACCATTTACTCTTTCTTTGCTTCAGCTTCTTTAGCTTTTGCTTCAGCTTCTTCTCTAGCTTTCTTCGCCAGCAAACGTGGGTTCTTCTGCTTCCAGCAGCTAATGCAGCAAGTTGTTTTTCACTAAGTTTTTCTCTTTGGTCTCTCTGGCTTTTGTTCTTGTTTTTGTTCCTTCAGTTCGGATAAAATTTGCTCACGAATTTCTTTCTTCAATGCTTCAACATCTATGACCCCTTGGGTCTTGTCCGTAGGGCTTGTCTGAGTCATTTGACTGCAGATAAAAAACAAATTAAAACTTTAACCGATGTAAAATGAGCTTGTCAAAATCAGAGCGAGAGTCTATTATATTAAATGACGCAAGAGGAATACAACATCCTTTCTATTACGTAAGTCAGAGTAAAGATGGTAAAATATACGTAAGAAAAAGAAAGGTTCCATTAGCGAATGCAGAGAGCGACAACATTAAGGTGTATGGCAGGGTGAAGTCCACGAAGCCCATATAAAACCTTCTGTTCAAACTGAAAAGTCAATAGAACCAGAAGAAAAGAAGCCAGATGTACTTTCAATAACGAACCAAGAGCTTATTGCAAAGTTTCGTGAATTTCATTGAAAAACAAACCGAGTCAAAGAATCCTGACCCGCCAGTGAAAGAAGTTGAGACAAAAGAGAATGTACAGTTCATTGAAAATGTCAAGAAACAACTTCCACCACGAATTCCAAGAAGAAGAGTGAGAATAATGAAGTAAATAGATATTTTTATCTGAAGTAAATACATGCAGAACGAACAGCTAAACGAATTTACTCCAGCAGAGGCATATTCATCAGATTCGCTCATATTTCGATATCATAGACAATGCAGTTCAAATTGGTGACACTAATAGAAAATATTCTGATGCAAAGATTCCATCACAACCTGGAACTGCTAAAGATAACACATGGGTAACATTCAATCTCTCACCTCCTGGTGAAAATATGTTGGACCTTTACAATACATTCATTACGTATAAAATGGAAGGTCAATTTATTGTAGATAAAGAAATTGGTTCAGGTTCCAATAAAACAAACCCACCAGGATTTTGGATTGGTTTCGATGACGCTTTCTATGCAGTTGCTGGATATCAAATCCTTGCAAATGGTCGTATCGTATATTCTCAAGACAACGCAAGAGAAGAAGCATATATAACTTCAAACTCACAAACTACCGAACAAATAAAGAAAGTAGATGTTTTCTCAAAGACTCGACATGAAGATGTATGGAGTCATTCGGGAACATGCAGAACAGGACAAATTGTTAGTGGTCCAATTACAGCAGGAAAATCATTTGATTTTAAGCTTCGTTTAAGAATTCCTGTTAGAAGATTCCTTCCATTAGAAGCTATTCGATTTATTCCAGCTTTTGCAGGAAACATTCAGCTTAAAGTAAAGTTCAGTAGCGACGCCTTACAATGCACATCTATATCTGTAAATGATATCATTGCTTTCAATCCAACTCTTAAAGTTGCATTTGCTCCAGATTCAAATCCACCGACAAATAAATTTGTTCCATGGAATGAACCATTCACTATGATAACGAAGGCAGTAGAAGCTAGTGGAACAGTTACTATTACAACTGTAACCCAGCAACTATTTCGAACAAAGATGGATTTTAATGAATGTTTTATTCATCCAAAGTCATTCTCTTTAGACCCTAACATTTATACAGAACTTGTAGAACATTATACAAACGAGGCTTTATGTTTTCCTGTTAAAGTTATGGATTGGATTCCTATGGACGGTTCATTCTCAAAGAATACAGATAGTTCAAGTGCAACATTTACAGCAGCTTATACGCCTATTAATGTTAAAAGTATTTGGGCACTATTTAGAAAGAAAGACAACTATTATGTTAATTTTGAGAACCCTAAGTTTAAATATCTTCAGCTTTCCATGGGAGCTTATGGAAATATGCCTGCAGAACCTGAAAAATCATATGGACCTGTATTTTATGAAATGGTTGCGAACGCTTGCAATACAAACAATGATATGATAGGATTTAATGAAGATGTTATGAGGTCATTGGTGGATGATGGTAGTGTGGAACATAAATGGGATAGCTATGACAACACACATTTCTTATGTGGTTTTCCAACAGAAGTGGACTTTTGCTTCATGCAGGGTCAAACATCTACTGCTCCAATAACATACAAATTGTCTGTTAAAGGACATATTGAACTAGCAACTGAAAATGTACCAAAGCCACTTATTGGATTTATGAGGGATTGTTGCTTTGCCATTCAGGTGCGTGCTAATGGAATCCCAATAATAAGATTAGATGACTATAACTTAGCTGCGGACGACAGTGAGGAATAAAGGATGAACGTTTATTTTTAAAGCTTATAAATGAGTTCTTCATCAATCTCTCGTGACCCTTCACCATCTGTGAAACAAACTTTACCAAACGATTATGGAGCACCTATTGAATATTTCTTACAAGCTGCACAATGGCAAAGAGCAGTCTCACCAAGGTTAGGTGTTCCACCAGCTCCTGTCAAAAATAGCATTTGGTCAAGTCCTTATATAAAATATGGTCTCCCACTAGGTTTGCTAGCTACAGCAGGAGCAGTTATGATGTTGAAAAGAAATAAAGCAAATGTTGTAAATAATACTGAAGTAGCTGAAGTTAAACAAACTCCGACACCTTCGCCAAAACCAACATCAAAACCAACACCTTCACAAACAACACCTTCAATGACTCCTGAACCTATGAAAGTACAAACTCCTGTTCAAAAGTCAACTCCAAAACCGACTCCAACATTTAAACCAGAACCTACTCCTCAAATAAATCGTAAAACTCCTGCGTTTCCTTACTGAAAAAATAACGTTATTTTTATTTAATATTAAAATTTTTATTTGATTGAAATGACAAATAAAGTCACTGAAGCAATGAAACAAAAGTTTTTGGTAGAATACATTAAATCAGGAGCGGTTCCAGAAGGTTTTTACATTCATACTATGAAGGATGATAGAGTTCAGTTTAGAAAGATAAAGCAACCATTAGATAAAGAAGGAATTTTGAGAAAGATTAAACTTCATGAAGACAACATTGCTGAACTTAAGAAAAAGCTAGAAGAGTTGGAGAAAGGAAGAGAGTTGTAAAGCAATGAATTCAACAGGGTAGAAATGAGGTTAGAAATCGGGTTAGATATACCCATCTACCCTAAATTTATTTTTGTGCTATGTTTTCATACGTGTGAGGGTGGTGATATCATTTATTTTTTATTTTATTTTTATATAAATGACGAAAACTATTGAGATAACAAACTACAACGGTCATGAGTTCAAGAACTTGTTCTTCGTTCCTCGTGAAAATACATTCTATCAGATACGAGGGAGAAAGGGTAAAGTTAGTTTGAGCGTTTACGACAACAAACATAATGGGAGATATATAAAAGCAATAGATACAGACGGTAAGCGTGTTTCATTAGCTTTGTCAAAACTTACTAACATTTATTTTGACAGTGACTTTGACTCTGACGATTGGAGTGACAGCAGCGATAGTGAAGAATATGAACTGTTGTGTGAAGCAAAGCAATGGGAAGAGTTGCAATACTTTTGTAAATGAGAACGTTTATCTTTTACAGTAGTAAAGTCGTTAGTGAAAACGTTAGTGAGGTGAAGTGGTTGGTGGCTTTGTAAATATTTAAGGTTAAGTTAGTTTTTGCGTTCGTGTTGTAAAATATACGTTAGCGGTTTTGTAAAGTATCAAATTCACAAGTATTGGGTAAGGTGGAACGCAGTGCCTCCGTACCCAAGATATGTATACTAACTAAAAATACTAAATTCTAAAAAAATTCAATTTATTCAAAACGTATACTAAGTGATCACTTCATTAGTAGGATCAGCAATCCTACTAAATGGTGAGAACGCCACTAACTAAAAAGGGAGTCCTTGGAGCTCTTGATCTCTTGTCAGTAGAGTTCATAATGAGGCATGGCATCTACTGATTAGAAATCAGAGCAATCCTACCTTACCTTCAGGAGCTACAAAGCTCCTAATCGTTACAAGAGGGAGCCTTGGAGCTCCTGAAGCTCATCAGCAGAGGCTATTTACCATTTGGGCCTCTTCTGATGAAAGATGCGAAACACGTCTACGAACCAGGAGCTTCAAAGCTTCTAATCCTTACTAAAGGGAGCTTTGGAGCTCCTGAGTCACCATCAACAGAGTCCCAGATGGTAAATGTCCTTTGCTGATGAAAGATGCGAAACACATCTACGAACCAGGAGCTCCAAAGCTTCTAATCCTTACGAAAGGGAGCTTTGGAGCTCCTGAAACTCCTTTTACTATAAAATAGGACAGTTTTCTTCTGAGGTTCTCATCAAATCTAAGACTTCAGAAGAAAGCTGTCCTATCAATGTATACTTACACTCTCATGGACTACAAGTGTACAATTTTAAGGCAGAGATTATCCGAGGCCTCTCATCAAATGAGGGACCTCGGATAATCTCTACCTTAAGTAGTCAAATAACTTTTCTCACTATTTAGGAACAAAAGAACAAGAGTTGGAGTACTTTAAGGCAAGATTCTTCCGAAATCTCTCATCGAATGAGAGACTTCGGAAGGACCTTGCCAAATCCTTGAACGCCAATATCCTTGGAACTGAGCTAGAACTAGGGAGAAGTAGCATACTATAGAGCACGATGGTAATCTCGGAAATGCTTATATCGCCCCAAGCACAATATTTAAGAAGTCTAACTCATATATACAAGAAGTCAGGCTGAATAGATATTGTGCATATGGTTTGCAGAACTCTCATGATATTTAAAATTCATGTTATCCCAAAAAGGTGACACTTTGGGTGTATCGTCCATCCCAGGGATGCAAAAATCACATCACCTTGGATCTATATTTTAAATTTTTTGATTTTTTCGAAAATTTTTCGGAAAAAAAATATTTTCAGAAGAGCCTTAACGGCTAAGTTTTATGTTTAATGTTGAGTATCAAAAAGAATGGGTATCTGATATAGCCATCATATATCCCAGAAGCAAATAAAAATTCTGACTTTTTAAGCATAAAAAATGAAATTTTATTTTTTGCAAAAAACAGGCCACCCGGATGTACGTTTATTGAGAGGAGGAGGATTAAATTTTTGAAAGCACTAAAATTTGTAAATATGCTAGTTATATAATAATATGCATTATTTTAAAAAATAAAAATTAAAGCACGTTAAAATCTTTTTTGATGAATTTTTACAAAAGCTACTCAGGATAATGCAAGATATGAGTAGTTAAACATAAATTTCAAATCAGATTTTACTTATAATAAATATTTTAAATTTCCGAAAATTAAGTTCAGATCGACTCTATACGTAGTAAATACTAAATAAGGTGCCAAAAACCTATTAAACAGTATCAAAACTATCAAGATTGTAATGTTTTTGAAGAAAAATTTATAGAATTATGGACTTCAAACAGATATTATGTAAATAAAAATAATATAATGAATTTATTTATTCGTATAATAGCAGTAATAAGTCGATTATTCACTTCTACTTCTGAGATTTGAATTTAATTTCGACAGAAAAAGAGATTCAAGAGGAAAATACTAGGGGATACAAACAGCCACCATGACAGGATTATTATGGAGCCAAGTTGTATTTTTTGATATTTTTAGAGTTTTCCTACCTATTTAGGTACCAAGTTATTGCTTAAAATTAAGGTTCTAAATTCTGAAGTTTACATGATCCTCCCGGGCGCACCCTTAAAATTTTTTACTTTTATTTTAAAAAATAATTTCACTATTTATAACAGTTATCACTAAATCTAATATCAGTTGACACAGGACTTTCATAATGAATACCGCGAGAATTTCGAGATTGATCTAATAATATGTTTGTTGTCATATTTAATGAGACTTTATTTAAACAAGCTTGACATTGCCGTTTTTAGAAATATGACCAATGATACTGACATCGTCGTCATCATCGTGGTATGAAACAAAATCATCGGAAACACCGTTGTCATCAATGACATCGCCATAAAGTTCAAATCGGTTAAGAGCAATGCATGGAGGATCACCGGGACATGCTTCGTTCTGGATGACTTCAACATATTTAGCACTGTATGTTTTATCGAGTTTGTATGTCTTCTCGTTGCATCGACGCATATCTTCGTCTTTCATTCGATGAACTTCTGTCCACGTTTTATTATCATCTGATATTCGCAATGACCATGAATATAGCAACAGTAGAAACAGCCATAATTATCTTCTTCACAACAGCATCCATCATAGCAACAACCACAGCGGATGAAATAACTATTGAATCTAAACCTTTTATTTTTCAAAGAAAAACGAATATAGGGATGTTCATCATAGCTTCTCATACAATTAGAACACCAGTCATATTGTTTGTTCCATGGGTATATAGCGTATTCCGGTTTTGTCATTTGCATTGAACCATTACTATCTTGCTTAGAAGAACCACTAACATCAATAAGAATTATTTTATCATTATACACTTTTTCGAATATCCCAATTTCACTGTATGCCGTAATAAACAGCGAGAAAATCATTTTAAAAAGTGACATTACACTTATCATAAACAGAACTTAACTTTACACGTCTTTTATCTAACAAATAATTATTTTTTCCTTCTAACAGTGAAGAACATTTGAAATAAAAATAACTCATAGCGAAATTTTACTGCCTTAAATACATAAAAGAATAATTCGAAAATTTGACAGTTATTGAAAAGTATCATGCAATTGAATTGAGAATAATCATTATCGAGATATGATTTTGTTGCATCAAATGATTAGAATCAAACATGATCATTCTTATTTATAAGTAAAATTTTAAGAATTAGTTATAGAATGAGTAGAAATCATAAATAAATATTGATATGTTTTTGAGCTAGAACATTTGCAAGTTATAGTCTCTTTTCTTATATTAGTTTCAATGATTTTTGTTGTCAAAAAGTCAACTTTTATCATCCCAAAGGATTTATCAACAGATTCGCTCCCTGATGCACTATGTTCTTCTTCGATTTTAAACATTCTGAAAGTGCTTTCATTCACATTATATTTAACCCATTTTCCTCGATTTTCTAATGGAGTATTTGAATTGATATATGTTATCTCTTCCCAATCAATTCCATTATTGCTTCCTTTCAGGTAATGATTTCTTAGTGCATTGCAGTCAATGGGTGTGTATATTTTATAACCTGTAATTGTCAATAGTTTCATAGGAAAATCAAATATTAGCCAGCCATACTCATTCGCTTTCGAATGCCACATACAATCAGAATTTTTCTCAATTAAACAATATGGAGAGCTTATTCTCAATCCGTCACATGCTTGAACTGCACTTTCCCATTTAGGGGTTGATGTCAAATTAACAATTGTTTTTAGGTATTCACTTGTATATATATTTTGATATGATTCAAATATATAACTCATATATGATTAGAACATTATTTAAAGAATAACACTAAGAGGTTTTATTTTTATATATCAAATCTCAAAATTCTGAATTGACATTTTAGGATTCAACACCAAAATATTCAAGAAAATCAACTATTAACCGATAATTCTTGATACACTCTCATGAATAAATTGGCAATAACAATCCTCAAAAACTGACTCAAAAATGTTTTTTATTTCAAATCTAATTGTCACTTTTTAAGTCATACTTTAGTTATCATTGATATTGTTGTAAACGAAAACGATAAAAACGGTTTGACAGAAAAAGTGACACTTTACATGGCAAAAAATAGAGCCTTACTTTTGAGATACTTGAGATTGAAACTGAATCTTATGAGGCGGTGATCTTGAATCACTACCTCATAAGGTTCAGTTTCATATAAAATTTGTTGCAATTTGTTATTCTTTTGCAATTATTTCTTATAAGATTTTACATCTTTTAGCGGGGAATGTTTGTTATCATGTATATATTATAAATATCTACACGATAACGAACATTCCTCGCTAAATTGCTGAGAAACTTGGAGGAAATGTCGAACAATTTCCTCAAAGTTTCTCAGATTTATATAGATCACTAGAGTCCCCTAGGCACTGATTCTGGTTCAGTACCTAGGAGGCTCTAGTTCTCTAACGAACTGATAAAATGTTTTTAAATTTTTGGATATTGCTACCTGTGAAGCACTGACTTCAAGTCAGTACCTCACAGGTAGCAATTACATTGAAAGATGGGAGAAACTTCGTCCGAATGTTAAACTATTCGGACAAAGTTTCTCCCATTTGTAGTGGAGATGGAAGGCTTTGAGGTATATTGTATTAATATATACCCAATGCCTTCCATCTCCACTACAAATGGGAGAAACTTTGGGTTAATAGTTTGCAATTAACCCAAAGTTTGGACACTTTCTAGAAGGAATTGGAGGGTAAGAGATATACATTCAGGTATATCTCTTACCCTCCAATTCCTTCTTAAAATGGGAGAAACTTTGTCCGAATGTTAAACTATTCGGACAAAGTTTCTCCCATTTTTTGAAGGAATTGGAGGCTATGAGATACTGATGCAATGTCAGTAACTCATGGCTTCCAATTCCTTCCTAAAACTCATAAAAGTGGACATTACATGCATATAAAATTTGACATGTAAAGTCCACTTTTTGTGAGCGGGGATTTGACTCCGTCAAATCCCCTTTTTCGTTAACGAGAATTGTCAATTCGGATTGTGAGCTCCCAAACTATTGATATGCTCCGACGCTCTACCTGTGACGCAAACCATATTCGCCAATTTTTCCTCTCCAAGCATAGATACTTTGCCCGCAGGAAGAAGTTTATTGCGAATATGGACGAGACAATGCTCTATTCCAAACGTCGCTATAAAGTTCTTACTGCTGGCCGGAATCGCCCAGTTCGCGCTGAAAAGTCTCAGCTTCCACATCTTACAGGGGTCTGTACCATCTTTGCAGATGGTACAACTATGAAGCCAATGGTGATACTTCCACAAAAGAAGACCCTTGATGCGGAATTGGAAGATCTGGACGCTTTTTTGTTCGCTCCGAGAGTGGATGGATGAACAAATACCTTTTTATGGTATACTGTATCATGTTCATCTGCAAAGTACAGGAGAAAAGGTCTCAAATGAATGTGTTTGATGCCCAGGTACCTTTTCTCCTAATTATAGATGGTTATCCATCCAGGCTCTCTTTCTTGGCCGTTCGCCTCTTGAGCGCCTTCAATATCGAGCTTCTTGTTCTCCCAGGCCATACATCTCATATCTTACAACCTCTTGATGTTGGGATTTTTTCTCCCTTGAAGGCCAATTCAAGAAGTTGTTTGATATGGCGACTATCCGGTACGATCAGCAAGGGCATATGGTGATCAATTATGTATGGAACGCCAGAGAACTGCGCTATATCATGGTTCGCAGCTTCCTTGATGCATGTAGTGTGTCTTGCACAGCTACAAACATCGAAAATGCTTTTAAAGCAACAGGAATCTATCCATTGGATATGAACAAACCTCTTGCTTCCAGATACATTGTAGCAAATGGAGTTCCTCCTGCAAGGCCCAATTTTGTCAACGACAAAGTCCTTACAGATCCAAATGTGATGATGCAAGTCTTCCAAATGGAATATGGACGCCCCATGCAGCAACAGGATTGGTATTTCAATCTGTTTGTGGCTATGCAATCTGTTTTGGCCTGGAATGGAGCATATGGCCAGGTTCTTAGTCGTGAGTTACATCTCCTTTATCCTACTGCAGGTGGATTTCAAAAAATCCAATTAAAATGATATAAAGCTGAGGAGCTCCAGGGTGAAGAGGAATTGATGAAGAAAAGAAGCAACTGCATAATGGAGTGAGGAAGTACTTTGAAGAAGAGAGAAAGCATCTGGATGAAGAGAGGAAGCACTTGATCAAGAGAGGAAGTACTTTGTTGAAGAGAGGAAGCTGCATGATCAAGAGAGGAAGCACCTTGATCAAGAGAGGAAGTACTTTGAAGAAGAGAAAGCACTTGATCAAGAGAGGAAGTACTTTGAAGAAGAGAGGAAGCATCTTGATGAAGAGAGGAAGCACTTGATGAAGAGAGGAAGCACCTTGATCAAGAGAGGAAGTACTTTGAAGAAGAGAGGAAGCATCTTGATGAAGAGAGGAAGCACCTTGATCAAGAGAGGAAGTACTTTGAAGAAGAGAGCACTTTGTTGAAGAGAGGAAGCACCTTGATCAAGAGAGGAAGCACCTTGATCAAGAGAGGAAGTACTTTGAAGAAGAGAGGAAGCATCTTGATGAAGAGAGGAAGCACCTTGATCAAGAGAGGAAGTACTTTGAAGAAGAGAGGAAGCACTTTGTTGAAGAGAGGAAGCACCTTGATCAAGAGAGGAAGCACCTTGATCAAGAGAGGAAGTACTTTGAAGAAGAGAGGAAGCACTTTGTTGAAGAGAGGAAGCTGCATGATCAAGAGAGGAAGCACCTTGATCAAGAGAGGAAGTACTTTGAAGAAGAGAGGAAGCACTTTGTTGAAGAGAGGAAGCTGCATTGATCAAGAGAGGAAGCATCTTGATCAAGAGAGGAAGCTGCATGATGGAGAGGAAGCATCTTGATCAAGAGAGGAAGTACTTTGAAGAAGAGAGGAAGCACTTTGTTGAAGAGAGGAAGCACCTTGATCAAGAGAGGAAGCACCTTGATCAAGAGAGGAAGTACTTTGAAGAAGAGAGGAAGCATCTTGATGAAGAGAGGAAGCACCTTGATCAAGAGAGGAAGTACTTTGAAGAAGAGAGGAAGCACTTTGTTGAAGAGAGGAAGCACCTTGATCAAGAGAGGAAGCACTTGATCAAGAGAGGAAGTACTTTGAAGAAGAGAGGAAGCACTTTGTTGAAGAGAGGAAGCTGCATGATCAAGAGAGGAAGCACCTTGATCAAGAGAGAAGTACTTTGAAGAAGAGAGAAGCACTTTGTTGAAGAGAGGAAGCTGCATGATCAAGAGAGGAAGCATCTTGATCAAGAGAGGAAGCTGCATGATGGAGTGAGGAAGCATCTTGATCAAGAGGAAAGTACTTTGAAGAAGAGAGGAAGCACTTTGTTGAAGAGAGGAAGCATCTTGATGAAGAGAGGAAGCATCTTGATGAAGAGAGGAAGCATCTTGATGAAGAGAGGAAGCATCTTGATCAAGAGAGGAAGCACCTTAATGAAGAGAGAAGCTGCATGATGGACGCATGATGAAGTGAGGAAGCATCTTGATGAAGAGAGGAAGCACCTTGATCAAGAGAGGAAGTACTTTGAAGAAGAGAGGAAGCACTTTGTTGAAGAGAGGAAGCATCTTGATCAAGAGAGGAAGTACTTTGAAGAAGAGAGGAAGCACTTTGTTGAAGAGAGGAAGCACCTTGATCAAGAGAGGAAGCACCTTGATCAAGAGAGGAAGTACTTTGAAGAAGAGAGGAAGCACTTTGTTTGAAGAGAGGAAGCTGCATGATCAAGAGAGGAAGCACCTTGATCAAGAGAGGAAGTACTTTGAAGAAGAGAGGAAGCACTTTGTTGAAGAGAGGAAGCTGCATGATCAAGAGAGGAAGCATCTTGATCAAGAGAGGAAGCATGATGGAGTGAGGAAGCATCTTGATCAAGAGAGGAAGTACTTTGAAGAAGAGAGGAAGCACTTTGTTGAAGAGAGGAAGCACCTTGATCAAGAGAGGAAGCACCTTGATCAAGAGAGGAAGTACTTTGAAGAAGAGAGGAAGCATCTTGATGAAGAGAGGAAGCACCTTGATCAAGAGAGGAAGTACTTTGAAGAAGAGAGGAAGCACTTTGTTGAAGAGAGGAAGCACCTTGATCAAGAGAGGAAGCACCTTGATCAAGAGAGGAAGTACTTTGAAGAAGAGAGGAAGCACTTTGTTGAAGAGAGGAAGCTGCATGATCAAGAGAGGAAGCACCTTGATCAAGAGAGGAAGTACTTTGAAGAAGAGAGGAAGCACTTTGTTGAAGAGAGGAAGCTGCATGATCAAGAGAGGAAGCATCTTGATCAAGAGAGGAAGCTGCATGATGGAGTGAGGAAGCATCTTGATCAAGAGAGGAAGTACTTTGAAGAAGAGAGGAAGCACTTTGTTGAAGAGAGGAAGCATCTTGATGAAGAGAGGAAGCATCTTGATGAAGAGAGGAAGCATCTTGATGAAGAGAGGAAGCATCTTGATCAAGAGAGGAAGCACCTTAATGAAGAGAGAAGCTGCATGATGGACGCATGATGAAGTGAGGAAGCATCTTGATGAAGAGAGGAAGCGTAAGAACCGATAACATTTACACAATATTAAATTTATTTTGTAAATTTTCCAAAAGCCTTAGTACCAATGTAATATAAATGCTCCAAAAATATCATCCCTCCTTCCAAAAGCGTAAGAACCGATAACATTTACAAAATATTAAATTTATTTTGTAAATTTTCCAAAAGCCTTAGTACCAATGTAATATAAATGCTCCAAAAATACCATCCCTGTTGTAAACAGAAATTCATCAAAAGTGACAGCTCTCAATTTTTTGACATTTGTAAATTCTAAATTGAATGAGAAAAATGAAATAATACTAAGCATAATACAATATTCTAGATTTAATTATAATTAGGAAAAAGTTAGTTTTGAGAGTACTTTTCATAGGCATATAGAATGAAATCTTCTGAAAAATAATATCACATAAACTCATATTATTTTCTAATATATAACTATTTTATATAAAAATCAAATTCAATGATCTTAAAAGCGAAGGATAAACCTCAAAATTTACGAATATAATGAGTGGGAATATAATGCTTATCTATCATAAAACCATATGAAATATCAATTTTTGCTTTACGCCTAATTTTTGACGACAATTAGCAAAAAATGTTAAATGTTAACACTCAGTCCATTTGAATATGAAAAATAAAATTGACTTTGATTAAATGTTTTTATTTATCATGCAATTCTTCTTGCGACCAAAGATTTGAATAAAATTTCAAAAAATAAGATAGCTTAAAAAATAATATACGGTAGTGTTTACTAATAGATGAATAGTATATAAATTCTATTAAAATGGATTTGATCCAAAAAAATATATAAAATTTGATCATAAATAAAATTGTTTAGTAGTCATTTAAAATGATGTAATTATTCAAATTTTGCTAAGACCCATTCGTCTTTGATATATAACTCCCATTTTTGCATTTCTGGCTCGTACCAAAATTTTGAAACTTCGAATAATTCGTTAGGAGTGTAATTACTATTCGTTTTTGGATTAATATCGAGAGATAAATGTGGTGTATTGTTGTATTTTTCAATGAACTGCTGAACTGAGTCCTTGATTTGTTGAATATCATCCAACTCGTCTGGCAAAAACTTTTCTAAGCTTGGCCACAGGCGCTCCACCTTGCCGTTCTGTCTTGGCATATACGGCAAGGTGTGCTTCCAAACTATTCCGTTTTCCTGCATAACCTGGCCGAATTCACCGCGGTTTTCACCGCCGTTATCGGTCCAGATGCAGTAAGGAATAAACTCCTCTAAAAGTTTTCTTAAAACCTTCGCTGTTGAGTTGGAGACTTGTTTTTCAATAATTTAGTTTTGAGAACTTTACGTGTCATATCATCCAATATGGCAAAAAATGGAAGAGAAACATTACCGTGAGATAGATTACCTATCATGTGTACGGCGGCACTGCGCGCCTCCTTACCCATTATATGTGAATTTGACACTTTACAAAACCGTTAATGTATATTTTACAACATAAACGCAAAAACTAACTTAACCTTAAATATTTACAAAACCACCAACCATTTCACCTCACTAACGAACTCACTAATGAAAAAATAAACATTCTCATAAATTTTCTTCTATATCTTCATCGTCAATGTTAACTCTATTGTAGTCATACTTGAAGTCATAAAGTTTCTCAAGTTTTGAAATGCATAGTCTTGTTAACTTACCTTCATCATAAGTTTTTATAAAACTACCATGACAATCTTTATAAACAGTCAGTGTATAGTCAACTGGTCTAGAATGAAGTGTAAAGAACATGTTATACTCAGGAAGGAAGAATAAATGTTTAAATGTATGTTTGTTATATTTTTCGATTTGTATGAGTTGCTTTTGTTCTGTCATTTATATAAAAATAAAATAAAAAATAATTTTAAAAAATAAACTTAAAAATAAATGATATCACCACCCTCACACGTATGAAAAGCATAGCACAAAAATAAATTTAGGGTAGAAGGTTAGATCTAACCCGATTTCTAACCTCATTTCTACCCTGTTGAATTCATTGCTTTATAACTCTCTTCCTTGGTTTCTTTTTAGTTGCTTTCTTAACATCTGTCTCCAACTTGACTGTCTTTCTTCTTCGTCCGTAATGATACCAATTACTTCCACTAGTCAATGGGTCAAATGGTCTTTCGTAAGGGTTTCCATACATTCCATAGGGACCATACGGAAGAACTACTGGTGGAAGTTGTGGAGAAGAAACATTTTCTTTAGTTCCATCGACTCTATTTAAATGCACTGTTTCACCTTTCATCTGGTCATTAAAGTCTTTTGCGTGTTTTGCAAACTCATCGTCCTTTCCTAAGGCATTTTCTGACTCGGTCGCAACCAAATTGGATGCTTTATTTATGAGCCCTATTTTATTTAATCTTAACTTCTTTGCAACCCAGCCTCCAATCTTTCCTTTATTTGCATCTAATGTCTTTGAAACCCTTCCTCCACTCATTTTATTTACTGCGTCATAAGCTCCAAGTGCTTTTGCTCCAAATGCTAATGCTTTTGTTCCCATTGCGCCTAAAGCTGCCCAAGCTACCATTTACACCATATTAAAATCATCTCTCTTCAATATTATCTCATAAAAGTTCTCGTTACTGGAGAAAGTCAATGAAACATAAATGTTCTCACGGGCTTCGCCCTCACCGCTTTGCGGTCTATCTAACTTCTTTCTTATATCATCTATACGCTTCAAAATGTCTGAACAATTGCTAACATCTTATACAACAATTATTTCATCATGAATGACCTTCAAGAACAAGCTCATTTAATATGCTATTAAAATCATCTCAATAATGAGTCCATCCTTTCCATCTTTAGGTAGCACAACATCTTTCATTGAAGAAGGTTCGACAAGTCTTATGTTAAACTTACTGACAAAGTTTGTTATACTATAATGCTTCGGCGGCGAATACATGTAGTTTGAAAGACATAATATAGATTCTTCAGCAAATTCACTTATACTGGATTTTATAACAATGTTCTCACGAGACCAAATACCACCAATTGACAATCTTGTAAGCAATCCTGCTGAACCTTCTACTGTAAACGTCGATGGTAACATTCCACGAAGGTCATCTATTGACATCTTTGAGTCACTGAATTTAAATATTTTCTTAAAGCAATCGTCATTATATAACCATGCAATAGCTTTGAAGTTTTCATTCGAATATACATCTGCTTCATTAAATGTAAAACCTGACTTCTTTGCAGAGACGACTTTAAAATCTATTGAGTTTGTTTCAAAATTATATGCTATGGTAACTTCTGAAGGTAATGGATGTCCTTCCGCAGTAAGTTGTTCTCTCACTACCGTTTGAAGCTTTGTATTAAAAACTTTCATGTCATCTCCTGTGTCTAGGTTCACATACACAGCAACAGGAAAACTATCTTGCTTCTTTGTTTCATCATTATACCTCAAAACATTAAAGTTCTTCAATAATATTGTTCTTCCTGCTGGAATACTTCGAACTTGTCTGATTTCAATAGCTTTCTCACCTCCTACATACTCTACCCAGTGTCTTGGATATTCATAAGTATACTGACTTTCTTGAATTTTGGTAGGTTTCATCATAACGTGTTCATAGTATATCTTTATACTCTTGTCAGTTAGACTCGGTGCTATGTTCTGAATATTTCTGACTTGCATTTTTAACGGAGATAAAATGAAGCATTTAATACATGATGTAGATGAAGACATGAATGAAACTACAGACAAACTTAACTCTTCTCTTATTCTTCCTTTCAGCAAAGATTATGAGTTCTGTTCAAATGGTGTGTATTTCTATTGTGGAAAGATGGGTTCAGGTAAGACATTTAACCTCATTCGTCATATACTCATAACAGAACGTTTAGGAAATGACTCATATTATGACCAAATCATTATATCAGCAACTTCAGACTCTATGGACTCAACAGCGAAAACATTTATGTCAAAAGTTCAAGCCTCTGTCGTTAAAGTTCCAGACAGTGAACTCATTGAATTTCTTCAACGTTACATTCGACGTAAGAGGAAATATTATGCCATCGTTGAATTTATACAGTCAGGAATGCAAAAGACCTCTGAGGAGATGGAAAGAATTATTGACAAACACCACTTACGTCAGTACTCAGGAGTTTACGATATGAAACGACTTACAAACTACATTCTATCAAAACTTTCAAAATACCCCTTCAAAAAATATCCTTCAAACACTCTGCTCGTTTGCGACGACTTCGCCGGAAAAGGTTTAGTGTCAAAACCAGACTCACCATTAGCTAACATCATAACTAAAGTCAGACATTACCATTTAACTGTAGCAATACTTATGCAAACATGGAGGTTTTTAGCTTTAAACATAAAACGTCTCATAACTGACTTCGTTATCTTTCAAGGTTTCTCACGTTATGATATTGAACTCATTTGGAAACAGTCAGGTATAACATTACCTTTTGAAGAAATTTGGGAAGCATATAAGTCTCTCATCTCTCCTCGTTCATACCTTGAGATTCATATCATGACTAATACCATTAAAGTCAAAAATATTCCATGGGAACGACCAACATTGTTTTAAAGCTTAACCTTCAATTGACTGATGGTAAACAAATTCCATGCATCTCTGTCGCCATTTCTGTTAATATTTTTGCTGTCATTCATATCATTCACTTCTCCATCCGTTAGCTTTTGAGGATATGTGTTAGAATAGCTGTTCTTAAATGAAGGCTTCTCTCCCTTGAGAGCATAAACTCTATAACTTTCTGCATACTTTATGTTTGAACCTCCTGAGCCATCATTGACATAAATTTTTATAGGCTTCCACCCTTTGTTTATGTTCCTGCTTCTTCCCTTAGCTCTTTTGTTCAGTAGTTCTACATCTTTATACACAGCACCTGTCTCAGTGAATTCAACAATATTTTCATTCGTTAGCTTTACATTCAAACCCTTGTCGAGTATATTGTTCATTTCATACATATAAAAGGTTTTTATTCTATATGAAATGAGAAGCAAATCCATCTTAGCTGGTGCCGTTAATGTTCCAATTGAACCAACATCAAATGTTGACTCACGAACGACAAACAATATTGTCATAAAGAACTATAGTTCAGAGTGTTTGAAAGAAAAAGAACCAGAACTTAAGTCGGTGAATTTAAACTCAGCTTCAAACGCTAATGCTACATCAGATGTTAAGTTAGAGTATCCACCACTGGACCAAATTCTTTCAAGAGAAGCCAACGACAACCCTTACACAAATGTTCAAACAAATCCTTCAGATAACGTAGACCATTACCTTCTTCAGTTATATCAAACTATCTTACTCAAAGACGATAAGAAGCTTTTGACAAATCTTATAAGCAAGAACCAAATAATTCTAACAAAGGAGGACCTTGAAAATGTTATATCACGAATAACAGGAAAGCAATGTGTCATTGACTATCTCGACCCTGAAATCGAATGCTGTGGTCAAACGCCAATATTCATGAAAATAGGTAACATCCGCATCATTGAAACACCAGGAACTACAGGAGTTGAGTTTAAGTATAGATATTCGAACGAGTATACAAAACTATCTACTGACTATAAGCTTTGTTTGAAATATGTTTTAGTAAATTAAAGCAGTCAGGACCTTCGGTCTTGGCGCTTTGCGCCGTCAGTCAAAAAAATTTCAAGTTAGCAATTTGTAATATCTATCCAAAACTTCTTCAACAGTATCGAACTCATCTTCATAATGCAAACCTAATCTTATTGACTTGGTGCAGTTTTCACTAACACAATATTTTTCTGTTCTCTTGACTGACATAACTAACTCATTTGTTTCATCAAACAGCAACAACCAAAGTTCATGACCTAATACATAACATTCATACTTTATATTTTTAGCTCTGAGTTCTCTTGTAAGCCGTCGCATTTAATATTTTCTAAAAAGTCAACTTCAACAGTCATTCGCACTGGTGCCTTCAGTTCTACAGGCTCTCCTTGAAAGTCAACAAGTCTGAATTGCATGTCTTTCAAATTATGAGGACTAATGCGAACCCATTTACCTAAATGAGTTGCTATGACAGGAACGTTTGGAATGAACATTGAATTTACTTCATAACAGAAAGACTTATATTCTACTGAACCTTTACTATTAACTCCTGAAATACCTGTGACATTAGCTATTTTTAACTCAATGTACAAACAGTTGCCATAACATACATATGGAACAGATTTCATCTCAATCGTTTTGTCAACACTTTTCAAAGGAAATGTCATATGGTATGCTCCCAGAAGCAATTGAACTCTATGACTCATTCTTGGTATCTTAAACTCTTTCTCGCTGCTGAACTTCAATGTTCCCTCAGAAGAGAGTTCGACATCTATGTTGTCAATAGTTTCTTCATTTATGAGAGTATCTCTGACTCCAGCAATTTTATCTATTCTGTACTCGGCTCTGTTAGGAAATGTTACAACACTTCTTTTGTCATCTATTTCAATCTCTATGAAATCTGTTTCATCTGTTATGACAAAAGTTGCGATAGTATTGAAGTCAACAACTCTGAAAGCAAGTGCTTCATTCTGAAGTCCTAAGTTTGTTTGTAGCTTTACTGTCCCGTATTCGTTTGGGTCTGTACTTTGTAAATAGAACAACATTTTATTCTCATTAAAATATGACTATTGCTGCATATGCGTATGAAACAAATGAAGCAAGAAGAGCACATGAACTAGTAAATGAAAACTCAACTTTAACAGTGGAAGGCAATGATTTAGTCATTGACGATGGAAAAACTAAAAAAGTCATTGATTTCGATACTTTTAACACTTATGACCCATTCATTACAACAAGCAAGGTTCCTATCATAAATGATGGAACGGTGCAATATATAAATTCTACAGTAGATGCCTCATTAGTGAAAGTATTAAATGTTCTCATTGAATTGTTAAAGAGCTTTAGATTTGACGACAACATTAAATGCCTAAAGAATTTAGTCATGAATGAGAAACAAATTCTCGGCGTTGCTGGTAGCAGTAATGATGTACACCTTATGACATTAGAATATTATAACGAACATAAAGATGAACTGAAAGGAGAGAAGGGTGACACTGGACCTCAAGGACCACAAGGAATACAAGGAATACAAGGACCTCAAGGCGAAAATGGTTTGGATGGTGAAGATGGAAAGGATGGAAAAACTGCTAAATCATGGATATGGAACCTTATAAATACTGGTTTAACAGCTGCTTCATATGGAGTTCTTCAATACCAAATCGGAAAGATATGGGCAGTACTTGGTGAAGAAGCTTTAGATGACGTTAAAGATGCTTTGAACTTCATTTCAAATGGTTCGGATACTATTAAAACTTTATCTGGTTGGATGCAAGAAACAAGGAGTCAAATAGATACTGTAAGACGTATAGCAAACAATGCACGTACGGGATTGGATACTTTACGAGAAGCACAAAATACACTAAAGGAAGCAAATGATATTCTTGTCTCAGTATCAGACATGCATGAAGATTGGCTTAAAGGTATTGACAAATCTTTAAAAAATCACAGTCAGTCTATTGCTGACTACAAGAAAAGTATAGATTTTTTACATAGTGCTATGGACGTACATGATGGAAGCATAAAGAACTTACTTAATGCTAACAATAACTTACCAGGAACTATTAAAGCATTTATAAAGTCCTTTGTAAAACCTGGTGCTCTAACATTTAGGTCTTTGAGAGCAAGAGCATTGAAGTCAAGAGATGCAGAAACTCCAACAGAACCTACAGAAGGAACTGAAACAACAGAAACTCCAGAAGAACCACCAAAACCAACAGCTAATGAAATATTGTTCGAATATTTTCCAAGATACTCTGTCCTCATTGCATACATTCAAGAAATACTTAAGAAAGCAGACTTGACTTTAGGAGATGATGAAAGTTCTGTATATCTTTCGTTCCAGTTTCAAATAGCAGAACTTTTGAGACAGATATGCTTAATGTATGACAACATCTCTGATTTCACAAGATATGATGACGACCATGACCCCGAACACGGTGAAGAAGAAGTTTTACAAACATCCATTAAGACAGGAAAGGTTTTAACACAAAGTCTCATTATTGACACCGAAGATGGTGAAGTGGATGTTCTTCAAGAGCTGAAGAAAAATACTTCTGAAGGAGGTGGTGGTAGGCATGAACTTGAAATAAATGAGATAGAAGAGAAATTAGCCGAAAAAGCAGCTAAAAACCATGTTCATTATATAAGTTCAGACGAACAAATTATAACGGACTACCACGGATATTTAATACAGGATGAACAAATAAGCACTGAAGATGTTAATGAAAGAAGATATAAATTCATTCATGCTGAAGGTTATGACATACGTTGTACTGTACAGTATGACACAGGTAAAGCACCAGAAGCATTTGGTTATAACAATGAAATATATGCTTCGTATTTCTTTGTTAACGGTGTATTAGTTGAACCAAGATTTACATTGAGAGTTAAGGCAAAAATAACTTTTGAAGATGCTATTAAAAGTAAAGCTGACAAAGATGAACTTGACGCAACGAACAAAGTTTTGAAATCTCATAAACATAATATCTCCGATATAAATGAACTTCAAGCTACATTAAATAGTAAAGCTGACAAAAATCATACACATGAATCCTTCACTACTGTTAGAGCAGACGACATAATATTGAACTATACCCTTGGTTCAAGTGCACCTTTAGAGAATCCAAGTACAAGCGTAAAAGATACACTAAACTCCTTAAATAACAAATGTATAAATATCGAAGGTCATGTCAGAAACTTTGAAACATATGAACTACCAGCAATGTTAGATAAAAAAGCAGATAAAGAACATACACATAACTCCTTCTCAACTGTTGCTATAGAAAGTATTGAAGGAACGGTTGGCGGAACTGGTGGGATGCATTATACTATAAACCTCCTAACTTTCCACAAGGTTTAACATCGAATGAAAACATAACAACGAAGAAAGACATTAGCTGTAAAAATGTTTATGTCATGGATGATGAAAATAATGTTAAATTCACTGCTCAAGATTTATATGATAAGAAAGTTGACAAAACAGAGCTTCAAACATTAAAGACTGAAATACTTCAAACATTATATCCTGTTGGTTCTTTATATACATCAATGAACTCAACAAATCCAGCAAGTGTTTTAGGTTTTGGTACTTGGCAGCAGATTGTAGATAAATTCTTATACTGTGCTAACTCTTCAAAGCAAACAGGAGGCTCAAAGAAAATTAAAGAAGCAAACTTACCTGCGCACACTCATACAGGAACTACAAACTTTTCTGGCGACCATAGCCACTCATTAAGAGACCACCCATTATACAACTCAGACTATAAAGCTGGCAATGATGTTTTATCTCCATCTTATAACAATTCAGCAAAAAAGACTTTTCGACCAACTGAACCAGGAGGAAATCATGTCCATACTTTCACAACAAATCCAACAGGCTCTGGTGAAGATTATATGCCACCATTTATGACTGTATTCGCATGGTACCGTACAGCTTAAAATCTTTATTTTTACATAAATGAGCTTGAAAGAAGTATTCGAACAACATCCATGGAGGTCATTTAAGAAGTTCAATGAAGCAGCAAAAAGTTGGGATTTACTAACAGAGCTGAAGTGAAAAGGTTCTTTGACAAAAATGTTGTACATCAAACAAAAATAAACCCTTACGACTACTTTTTACCAATTTACTCCAACACTCCTGACGCATACCAATTTGACACTCTCATTCAAAGCAGAAAGGAGGACATAAACCATTCCTCATCATCATAAATGTTAACACTCGTAAAGCATATGCATATCCAATGAAAAATAAAGGAACTCGTGAAGTGTTAAGAGTTTTACAAAAGTTTGTAGCAGAACATAACCCAAGTACTTTAACATCAGACCAAGACGGTGCATACCTCAGCAATGAAATCACAGATTTTCTCATTAAGCATAACATAACTCACTACACTACTGAAGACCGTAACCATAACATACTCGGCATTATAAACCGCTTCATAAGGACTCTCAGAGATTTAAATCAAGAGCGAGACTTTACTGAAGAAACAATGAAACATTTTCTCGAAGTATATAATTCCTCAACGCATTCTACAACAGGACATACACCAAATTCAATGACACAACAACAAGAAGAAAAGTATATACAAAAGAAACGAAGTCAAACACAAAATATCAGAAATTCAACACAATTTACTCTCATTCCTGGAACAAAAGTTCGTGTAGTTCTTGACGACAAACCGTTGACAAAGAAACGTTTAAGGTTAAGTCGAAATTATTATATCGTAGACTCTACGCAAGGTAATGGATATCTTATAAAAGCTGCTGACGACTCTATTACGTTTTACCCTCGTCATAAATTAGTTGAAAGTAGTAATGGCAAACTTGCTGAAACCATTGACGAAGCAAAGCGAGGAGTGGTTATTGAAATACTTGGCTACAACATAAACGATGACACTTATAAAGTAAGATATGAAGGAGGCGTTGAAGATGTTATACCATCTAAGAACTTGAGAGAGTCGAAGCCAACACATCTGGGGCCATTAGAGTTGGAGTACTGGAAAGATAAAAATAAGCCAGAAAGAATAAGAAAATTCTTCTAAACTTTTTCATTAGATGTAAATCAGACATGAACGAGAACAGTCATGATATCATTAATGGTACCATTTATTTTAACATTAAGACGCAAAGCGGCGGGGCATAGCCCATGAACAAAAATAATGTTTAGGGTAGATGGTTAGATCTAACCTCATTTCTACCCTCATTTCTACCCTCACGAATTTTCATGAATTTCCTTAAGATAGAAAAAATAAAGTTAGTTTTATTTTTATTTATTTTTTTATTTTGTATGTAAGAACAGAAATGTCAGTCGAAGCAAAAACATTCACTAACAAATATAATGGCGAAACATTCACAAAAGGCACTTATAACGGTATTGAAGTCTTACGTAGAGACAAGGATGGTTACATTAATGCAACAAAGATGTGTCAGCAGTTTAGGAAAGACTTTAGAAAGTTGTTGGAAAATAAGTCCTGGGAAGAGTATTATAAGGCATTTTGTGAAGAATATAGCAACAGTCTGAATTCCGGCGGTTGCTTTTTATACAAAATTCATGCAGGAATTCCTGATGAAATCAAACAGGTTAGAGGAACGTATGTAGACCCAAGACTTATAAACTATATAGCAATGTGGGCTTCTCCAAAATATTGCATAGCAGTTGGAAAAATTATGGACTCCATAGACAAGAAAGTTCATGAGAAGTTAGATGAAGAAGAACTCGAAGATACAGTAGAGAATGCAAAACATTTGTTTGAAGAAGAAGTTAGAAAAATGCATGAAAAACAATTAGAACATGAACGTGAGATATGTTATGGTTATAGAGATTCTCCATACGAACTAGACCAATGGGAACAAGAAGATTTAAAGAGAGAATTTAGAGAATATGAACTCGCTAAGATAGCATTAGAAGCTGCAGAAAAGAAGTTAAAAGTTTGGGGTCGTTTTGTACAAAAATATTGTGAGTAAATGAACCATTTATTTTTATTGAATTCACCAAAAATAATGTTTAGGGTAGATGGTTAGATCTAACCTCATTTCTACCCTCATTTCTACCCTCTTGAATTTTCATGAATTTCCTTAAGATAGAAAAAATAAAGTTAGTTTTATTTTTATTTATTTTTTTATTTTGTATGTAAGAACAGAAATGTCAGTCGAAGCAAAAACATTCACTAACAAATATAATGGCGAAACATTCACAAAAGGCACTTATAACGGTATTGAAGTCTTACGTAGAGACAAGGATGGTTACATTAATGCAACAAAGATGTGTCAGCAGTTTAGGAAAGACTTTAGAAAGTTGTTGGAAAATAAGTCCTGGGAAGAGTATTATAAGGCATTTTGTGAAGAATATAGCAACAGTCTGAATTCCGGCGGTTGCTTTTTATACAAAATTCATGCAGGAATTCCTGATGAAATCAAACAGGTTAGAGGAACGTATGTAGACCCAAGACTTATAAACTATATAGCAATGTGGGCTTCTCCAAAATATTGCATAGCAGTTGGAAAAATTATGGACTCCATAGACAAGAAAGTTCATGAGAAGTTAGATGAAGAAGAACTCGAAGATACAGTAGAGAATGCAAAACATTTGTTTGAAGAAGAAGTTAGAAAAATGCATGAAAAACAATTAGAACATGAACGTGAGATATGTTATGGTTATAGAGATTCTCCATACGAACTAGACCAATGGGAACAAGAAGATTTAAAGAGAGAATTTAGAGAATATGAACTCGCTAAGATAGCATTAGAAGCTGCAGAAAAGAAGTTAAAAGTTTGGGGTCGTTTTGTACAAAAATATTGTGAGTAAATGAACCATTTATTTTTATTGAATTCACCAAAAATAATGTTTAGGGTAGATGGTTAGATCTAACCTCATTTCTACCCTCATTTCTACCCTCTTGAATTTTCATGAATTTCCTTAAGACAGAAAAAATAAAGTTAGTTTTATTTTTATTTATTTTTTTTATTTTGTATAAAAGATATGATTTCAACAATCGGCACAACAACAATTCAAACAACAACAGCACCAAACTCGTTAGTCATGAATCCAACATCTATGTTAGTAGAGATGAAAAACTTCATTCCTTCTTCATATAGTTTTGGAACAGAAATACAAAGAATAAAGCAAGAACTTTTAACAAGTAATTTCGACTGTACCGCACAGGATGAAGAAAATGAAGAATATCTTTATGAAATGCAGGACATTATTGACCATTTAACCAAATTGCCTGAAATCCAGCAACAAAAGCTCACTATTCCTGAATTCGATGAAATAGAAGTGAAACCAACTGACTCAGTAGAAATAAAGAAGTTCATACGAAAGGTAAATTATGAGTTTCTAGGATATCATTGCAACCATAAAGTTATGGACAAAGATTGCGACATGGTATATAAGAACATCTCTGACATATATAAATCGGGGGAGTTTAAGACATACGACAACTTTGTTTCATTAGTTGCAAAATGTGTATGGCAGATAAGAGATAAAGACAGAAGAGGTAAGGTATGGCATGAACAGATAAAACCAACTGCTTCAGATTTAAAGAAAACCATTGACGCCTTAGTTGTTTTAGCAGGTAAGGTTTCAGAATATAACGCAAAAATGAATCCGCAATGTTCTAAATGTAAAGCAGCAATGAGGAAATATAACTATTCAGTAAAAGAGATAGAAAGAATGAGAAACGACTATGCAGATTTAAAGAGGGAGGCAGAGAAGCCGGTAGAAGATAAAATGGACATGTTAGCATTTCTGAACAAAAACTATCCAACTGCTGACGATTTCCTTCTATCTGATGTCAAGAAGAAGTATAAAGAAACTTTCGGCATTGTTAAAATTTTTGATATCCTCATCGAAGAAATAGAAGCTACAAAACTGTTTAGAATCTCACGAATTCATAACGTTTACCATGTAAAACGGTTATAAATAATGAGGGTAGAAATGAGGTTATATATCGGGTTAGATCTAACCTTCTACCCTAAAATATATTTTTATTGAATTCAGCACAAAAATAATGAATTTCCTTAAGACAGAAAAAATAAAGTTAGTTTTTATTTTTTTCGAATTTTTTATTTTGTATGTAAAGACAGTAATGTCAACATCAGAGAACACAACAACAGTTATAGTCCATGAAGTCATAAATGAAGAATACGAGTACATACAGTATAACAAACAGTTACGTCTCATTCGTTCAGTCAAAGATGACATGTACCAAATGCAAAATATAATGAATGCTCTTCGTTCTACAAAGCAAGCATACCATTGGTTTGAAAACCAACAGACAAAAGAACTTTTAGAAGAATTTCCTCATATGATTGCTTCCCTCGGAAAACCGGGGGAAGAGGTTCCGTATGAAAATCGCAAGAATTTGGCTCCTGGTTTGAAAGGTTATTATGTTCATAGACTTTTAGTAAATGCTGTAGCAATGTGGGCTTCACCTCGTTATGCTTGTTATATTTTCATGATGTTAGATGAACTATATAAAGCAGAACGTGGAGAGATGGAAAAGAAACTTCATGCAAAAGATGAAGTCATTGAATCCAAAGACAAAAGCATACAGAAAAGAATACCGCGTTCAGTACCAAAAGGAAAGGAAAAGAGTTATAAGTATATGATATATACTGAAGAGTTGGAAAATGAAGAAGATAAAGATATGGTTATGTTACATTTAGTGAGAAGAAACAACAAGAGCTTTTACGACCTCGCTAAAATATATAAATCTGACAGAAACTGGTTCTATCGTGAAAACTTACCGATTTCAATGACACCGAATGAGCAAATAAAGGAAATTGTCAAAAATACTCTTCCTCAAACACACTATGATATTAAAGGTTGTACAATACTTACATTCAAAGAAGACTTAACATTACTGAAGGAAAAAATAACAGAATATTTCGATAACTTCAAAGAGGAAGAATAAAAAAATCTAAGCTAATTTTATTTTTTTTTAAAATTTTATCTCATATGAAAGAACATGAATTTAGAATATTCGGAACTCATGACAGAAGAAGAGAACGAACAACATGTAAAAGATTATGCAAAATTTCTGAAGACATACAAAGCATTTAAACAATATCTAAATGCTTCTAAAGATTATGCAAAATTTCTGAAGGTATATAAAGCGTATGAAAAAGCGTATGAAAAGTTTATACATTGGGGAATTGTTGTAAAATATCGATATGAAGACTAACCAAAAATATATTTTTGCTCAAATAACGTCAGGGTCAATTTCTTCAACCATTTCACTTCCTTCGTCAATGTCAATAGAAGCTTCTTCAACCTTTGGTAAGAACTTTTGTATAACATCTTTGTTCGTTATTGTCTTCAGAGATGAAGGATAATATTTCACATTTGTTTCACCCTTCTTATATTCTTTCTGTTCGGAAAGATTTAAAGCAATACTGAAGAAGTCAATGTTAGAGTTCTTTATGACAGTATAATGAGTATCTTTGACATTCACGAAGAAACTCTTTTGTTTCAAAACTACTGCTAACTCTTGTGAAGTATAACGTTTGCGGTCAATGACGATAGCTAATGGTCTGACATACTGACCGAACTTAGATTCTTTCACAAACTTCTTATTAAAGATAACATTAACATTTGAAGCACCATTGAACTCATTCTTGATGGCAGTAGCGAGAGCATTGTATGAAAAGAACTTGCAATCTTGCATGTGTTTCATTAAAATAAAAATATTAAATTATTTTGAAAAATAACTTTAAAAAAAATCTAATCTAATTTTTTCAAAAAATATTTTTTTTATTTCCTACTAAAGATGTATCGGAAGTTGTCTAAGTTAGAACACTCGGAAATAAAACAACTTCTTACAGAAGCTAACATAGATGTTGCAAAGCATTACGCAACAAACAAAAAAGCACTCGCTGACTTCATTAAAGACTATAATGGTGCAATAAGTTATGATAGAATTCATGAGTTCATAAAGCCGCAACGCGGCGAGGACGAAGTCCATGCAAGAGCATTTCCTTTAAATGACGTTGCTATTGACTTATATCATAGACGTTCAGTACCTCATGAAGTTAGAAGAGAAATGTATGACATAACAAATGCAAACGTTGGTAAACACGAAAGAGAGACGACACACTGAAACAACAGAGAAGAGAGATGTTTAAAAGTGCTATAGAACAAGTTCGCAAAGCTAACGATGTCATTCGTTCCATTGACGACAAACCAAAAGAAGGTGAGAGATGGTTAAAGAAAGATGAAGAGAATAGGAAGAGAAATGTGAAGTCAGGCAATAGACTCATTGACTTTAACATCGAAGCTTTAGATGAACCAAACAGAGACTACTTACACAAACATTTCGGTAAGGTTTTCATGAGACTCTTAGAGAAAATTAAAATAAACTCACAACAGAGATGGATGGTATGTTATAAACTTGGTGGAAAGTATGAATGTTCTACGTTAAACCTCAATAATATTGGAACATTACTACATCAGCTCTTGAAGGAGAACTTTATATCAGAGATAGAAGCAAATGCTGCAGGTATTGTTGAAATGCACTATGACTTCTTCTTGACAAACATAAAGAATCTTACTGAAATAAAGATGTATGATTTAACAGAATATGAAGGCTTAACGATGTCAGATGTAAAGAAAGGCAAACCAAAAAAGAGACCATATAGAGATGAAAGCACACTGACAAATGACCAGAAAGCCATTTTGGAAGCTCTTAAGCAAACAGGAAACCCAGCACTTATAGAAAGCTTTTGGAAAGATAATGGTGAAAAGAAGTTTTATAAGAAGAGAAGCGGTCAGTTCTGGAAGTATCTTTGCACATTACCTATAAATCTTGAACGCTACCAAATCTTCAATGAACTTAACAAAAGAACTGCAACACTTATGACAGAAGACAATTGTTTCGTTTATGCTTGCATTCAGGCTGGAGTAGATGAGAGACTAGACCACATGAGAGAAGTCATTCGTGTTAGAGACTTTCCTCAAAGTAAAGTACAAGAAATTTCTGATGCAACAGGTATAGCATTTAATGTTACCATTGGTTACTTCAATGACTCAAGACATAATGAAATAAAGAGATACATACCAAAAGAATGTAAAACTATTCGAACTATTGACTTACTTCTTGTTGAAGACCATTACATGTTAAATGAAAGATTACCAATGACAACATATTTCGTCAGAAATTACAAAGAAATCTTGAAGGAGTGTGGTGGAATGAACATTGAGAAACAGATGAAGATTTATACAATGAGAGATGGTAAATATGTAGTTCGTTATGATAGAACAACACCGTTATGGCATGTTATGAAAACATTGTGGGAGTGCAAATATTTCGAACCTATTTCTTATGGAGAACTTTTCACATATACGACTGACTTATATAAACAGAACCTTGCACCATTTAAAGATTTGACATATGCTCCAAAGTATTGTGTACAACTGAAGAAGAAAGCCGAGTCAAAAGAAGTAAATAAAAATAAGTGCAAGTTCATTCCTGAGCACGTTTTCTTTGCTGACTTTGAGTGTAGCACAGACGGCTTTCATAAAGCTTTTAACATCTGTTATGACAGTGAAGATGGTTCAGTGAGTGAAAGCATTTGGGGTCAGAACTGTGCAACAGAATTTTTGGAACGACTTCCTGACAAGAGTTTAATATATTTCCATAACCTCAGTTATGATATAAACTTCATCTTAAGACACATGACAGAAGTGAAAGGAACTCCCATCATTAAAGGTTCACGAACAATGCAAATAACTGGCTTATATAAAGGAAGGGCAATTATTATAAAAGACTCTTACAGTGTTATAAATAAGAAGCTTAAACTATTTCCTGCTATGTTTAACTTACAAACAGGACCGAAAGAAGTATTTCCATACAACTACTACAGCAGTGTTTTGTTAGCAAATGACAACAGAACTGGTGTCATTTTTGAAGCATGTAAGTTTATCCGGGATGCGGATATGTTCATGAAAAACATAGATTCCATCAAAGGTTGCAGAATAGATGAAAACCACTTCGACTTAGAAAAGTATAGCACATTTTATTGCAAACAAGATGTAAGAATTTTAAGAGAAGGTTTTGTTAAGTTCCGCAATGACATATTGAAAGAATTTGATTTAAACGTTTATGACTACGTTAGTATTTGTTCAATTGCTAACAAATTATTTGAGAACAGAGTGTACTTCCCGAATGGAAATTTATATGACCTCTCAAATAAACCAAGAGAGTTTATTTCGAGATGCATTCAAGGTGGAAGATGTATGTTGTCAGATAACATTAAACAAAAGAGTAAAGAGAAACTCATTGCTGATTTCGACGCTGTTTCATTATATCCAACAGCTATAGCAAGACTTTATACTTTAGAAGGTATTCCAAAGGTTATGAAGAAAGAAATGTTAAGCACAGAGTATCTCATAAGACATTTATTCGATGACGACCAAAAGGAACCCATTGGTGAAAAGTTTATGTCTGGCTTCTTTGTTCTCATTAAGATAAAAGAGATTGGCATACATAGACACTTTCCTTTAATAGTTTGTGACCCTGAACTAAATCCAGAACTTAACGTTCCCAGAAGTTCAAACACTTGCTGTTTAATGTATGTTGACCATATAACATTACAAGACCTCATAAAATATCAAGGTGTCAAATGTGAAGTGTTGCAAGGATACTATTACGATGGAAACAGAGATATTAGAATAAGAGATGAAGTAAAGAAGTTGTTTGAGTTAAGGTTAAAGTATAAGAAAGAAGGAAATCCTTTGCAAGAAAATATAAAGCTCATTCTGAACAGTATTTATGGCAAAACTATTCTATCTCCTATTGAGTCAAAAATAACCATAGTAGATGACAAAGATGCTATAAGATATGCCATCAGAAACTACAACCATATAGTGAAGTTCGAAGGTTTGGATGGTTCAGATAAAACTATTTTCAAGCTAACGAAAAGCATTTGCAGACACTTTAACTTCTGTCCACTTGGTGTTAATATTCTATCTATGTCAAAACGTATTATGAATGAAGTATTCTGTACTGCAGAAGATATGGGACTTCAAATCTTCTACCAGGACTGTGATAGCATGCATATTTTCAATGAAGACATACCAAAGCTTGCAGCAGAGTTTAAGAAGAGATACGGTCGCGAACTTATAGGAAAGAACCTTGGTCAATTTCATTCTGACTTCGCAGAAATAACACCTGGAAAACAAAGTTTAGCATACAAGTCAATATTTTGTGGAAAGAAGACCTACATAGACTTACTCACTAACGATTTAAATGAAGTTGCATTCCATGCACGTTGCAAAGGTGTCAAACAAGACGTCCTTGCTTTAACAGCAAATGAAATGTTTCCTGAAGCTATACAATGCTATTACAATGAAGATAAGAACATTCACATACCTGTTGGAACATATGACAAAGACTCTGAGTTCAGTTTAATGAAACTTTACAAAGCACTTTATGACGGTCAAGAGATTGGATTTGACTTATGTAAGTCTGCTACACCTGCATTTGAGGAAAAGTTTAACTTCTCAATAACGACTAAAACAAGCTTTATTCGTAAGTTGAAGTTCTGAGGTCATTTATTTTTGTCAGCAATGAGGTCATTCGTGATAAAAATAATGAGGTCATATATTTTTGTCATTTATGTATAACCATTGTCTCTCTTAAACTTTGCAATAGACAGCTTTGTTCTTCTTCCTTCTACATCTGTAATGTTTATATAATCTTTGTTATACTGTCTTAAGACATTCATTCGTCTGTATTGAGTTCCCATGAAATAGTAAAAGGCATCTTCACTTGGGACATAGTAGTAGTTCTCTAACGTGTGATATGAGTATTGTATAATTTCAACAGCGTCTTCAGGAAGAGAGTCAACAATGTCAAACCAATAGCCATTTGAACCAGAAATATTTCTCATGTTTTCTCTTCTTGTCGTCCATCTTAAGTTCGAGATATGAAAGTCTCCTCTGTCTCTGTTTATATGGTCTACTTCACGAAGTCCTTCAGGGTTCGGAATGAAAGTTTCTGCAACTATTCTATGTTTCATCAGCTTGTGTTTGTTTAAATTTACACAAATATAACCATCTCCTTGGTCAAACTCACTAACAACTCTTTTATTGCTTATACGTCTAATTGGATAAGGGTACTCTGAAAAGATTTCATAGTCATTGTCATGTTCGAGTGTTTGCCAATGTCCTTCACCTTCCATGCCTTTCACTCAAATAAAATTTTCAGAAAAAATAAAATAGCGTAGATTTTACAATACAGCTATTGTAGAATTTAAGAGTTGTGCTTCAATGTAGAGACAGTCCTTATGGTCTGGAGGTAAGAACACTGGGCAGTTATGGTCATGAGTGGAGAACATGTCTATCCAAAACTCACGATTGAAGCCAGTTAATTTATAGTATTTAGGGTTAGGAAGTGGTGAAGTTCTTGTATGACCAATGAACTCATTTTCAACTCCCTTACTTAAGTTTGAATATAATATAGCTTGCTTTCTATCCCAAATGCCAGGTGTTACAATCTTTGAAAATTCATTTTTCCTCGGAAGCATTGCATCATAATTGAAAACATTCTTGAAATCATCACTTGGTTCAGAGATTTGAAATCTTATACGTAATGGATTTTCTTTCTCTTTAGCGACTTCATTGAATGGTGAGAATACAACAAACTGACAGTCATGTGTTCCATCTTCATTTTCATTAAATTCATAATGAAAGTCTATAAGTTGTGGCTGACTACCTTCTTCTTTCAGTTGTGCAAGAAACTCACGTAAAGGCTGTAAAGTTTGTACTTCAATGTTGAACTTTTTCTCGAACATCTCATTAAATGAAATCATACATTGTTGCAATGTTGTATCGTCTTTAAAGTATTTGTATATGTGAATGTTTTGGGCGCTTAAAGACTGTTCGTCATTTTCTATCTCGACTTGAAGTATAAAGTCAACCTTTCTGAAAGCACGTGTTATATACATATTTGTTATGCCAATGTACTTCTCTTCATTTATGTTCACAATCCAGTCTGTTGGAAACTTAAACGTTACTCTGTTCCCCTTTATTTTGACGTCAGGGTTTTCACTACTGAACGCAACAGATAAAGGTATTTGTCTATACATTTAGTTCGATAAAAATAACCATTTACTCTTTCTTTGCTTCAGCTTCTTTAGCTTTTGCTTCAGCTTCTTCTCTAGCTTTCTTCGCCAGCAAACGTGGGTTCTTCTGTCTTCCAGCAGCTAATGCAGCAAGTTGTTTTTCACTAAGTTTTCTCTTTGGTCTCTCTGGCTTTTGTTCTTGTTTTTGTTCCTTCAGTTCGGATAAAATTTGCTCACGAATTTCTTTCTTCAATGCTTCAACATCTATGACCCCTTGGGTCTTGTCCGTAGGGCTTGTCTGAGTCATTTGACTGCAGATAAAAAACTAAATTAAAACTTTAACCGATGTAAAATGAGCTTGTCAAAATCAGAGCGAGAGTCTATTATATTAAATGACGCAAGAGGAATACAACATCCTTTCTATTACGTAAGTCAGAGTAAAGATGGTAAAATATACGTAAGAAAAAGAAAGGTTCCATTAGCGAATGCAGAAGCGACAACATTAAGGTGCATGGCACCGAGGGCGAAGCCCATGTAAAACCTTCTATTCAAACTGAAAAGTCAATAGAACAGAAGAAAAGAAGCCAGATGTACTTTCAATAACGAACCAAGAGCTTATTGCAAAGTTCGTGAATTTCATTGAAAAACAAACCGAGTCAAAGAATCCTGACCCGCCAGTGAAAGAAGTTGAGACAAAAGAGAATGTACAGTTCATTGAAAATGTCAAGAAACAACTTCCACCACGAATGCCAAGAAGAAGAGTGAGAATAATGAAGTAAATAGATATTTTTATCTGAAGTAAATACATGCAGAACGAACAGCTAAACGAATTTACTCCAGCAGAGCATATTCATCAGATTCGCTCATATTTCGATATCATAGACAATGCAGTTCAAATTGGTGACACTAATAGAAAATATTCTGACGCAAAGATTCCATCACAACCTGGAACTGCTAAAGATAACACATGGGTAACATTCAATCTCTCACCTCCTGGTGAAAATATGTTGGACCTTTACAATACATTCATTACGTATAAAATGGAAGGTCAATTTATTGTAGATAAAGAAATTGGTTCAGGTTCCAATAAAACAAACCCACCAGGATTTTGGATTGGTTTCGATGACGCTTTCTATGCAGTTGCTGGATATCAAATCCTTGCAAATGGTCGTATCGTATATTCTCAAGACAACGCAAGAGAAGAAGCATATATAACTTCAAACTCACAAACTACCGAACAAATAAAGAAAGTAGATGTTTTCTCAAAGACTCGACATGAAGATGTATGGAGTCATTCGGGAACATGCAGAACAGGACAAATTGTTAGTGGTCCAATTACAGCAGGAAAATCATTTGATTTTAAGCTTCGTTTAAGAATTCCTGTTAGAAGATTCCTTCCATTAGAAGCTATTCGATTTATTCCAGCTTTTGCAGGAAACATTCAGCTTAAAGTAAAGTTCAGTAGCGACGCCTTACAATGCACATCTATATCTGTAAATGATATCATTGCTTTCAATCCAACTCTTAAAGTTGCATTTGCTTCAGATTCAAATCCACCGACAAATAAATTTGTTCCATGGAATGAACCATTCACTATGATAACGAAGGCAGTAGAAGCTAGTGGAACAGTTACTATTACAACTGTAACCCAGCAACTATTTCGAACAAAGATGGATTTTAATGAATGTTTCATTCATCCAAAGTCATTCTCTTTAGACCCTAACATTTATACAGAACTTGTAGAACATTATACAAACGAGGCTTTATGTTTTCCTGTTAAAGTTATGGATTGGATTCCTATGGACGGTTCATTCTCAAAGAATACAGATAGTTCAAGTGCAACATTTACAGCAGCTTATACGCCTATTAATGTTAAAAGTATTTGGGCACTATTTAGAAAGAAAGACAACTATTATGTTAATTTTGAGAACCCTAAGTTTAAATATCTTCAGCTTTCCATGGGAGCTTATGGAAATATGCCTGCAGAACCTGAAAAATCATATGGACCTGTATTTTATGAAATGGTTGCGAACGCTTGCAATACAAACAATGATATGATAGGATTTAATGAAGATGTTATGAGGTCATTGGTGGATGATGGTAGTGTGGAACATAAATGGGATAGCTATGACAACACACATTTCTTATGTGGTTTTCCAACAGAAGTGGACTTTTGCTTCCAGCAAGGTCAAACATCTACTGCTCCAATAACATACAAATTGTCTGTTAAAGGACATATTGAACTAGCAACTGAAAAATGTACCAAAGCCACTTATTGGATTTATGAGGATTGTTGCTTTGCCATTCAGGTGCGTGCTAATGGCATCACCATAATAAGATTAGATGACTATAACTTAGCTACGGACGACAGTGAGGAATAAAGGATGAACGTTTATTTTTAAAGCTTATAAATGAGTTCTTCATCAAGCTCTCGCGAACCTTCACCATCTATGAAACAAACTTTACCAAACGATTATGGAGCACCTATTGAATATTTCTTACGAGCTGCACAATGGCAAAGAGCAGTCTCACCAAGGTTAGGTGTTCCACCAGCTCCTGTCAAAAATAGCATTTGGTCAAGTCCTTATATAAGAGATATGGTCTCCCACTAGGTTTGCTAGCTACAGCAGGACAGTTATGATGTTGAAAAGAATAAAGCAAATGTTGTAAATAATACTGAAGTAGCTGAAGTTAAACAAACTCCGACACCTTCGCCAAAACCAACGTCAAAACCAACACCTTCACAAACAACACCTTCAATGACTCCTGAACCTATGGAAGTACAAACTCCTGTTCAAAAGTCAACTCCTAAACGACTCCAACATTTAAACCAGAACCTACTCCTCAAATAAATCGTAAAACTCCTGCGTTTCCTTACTGAAAAAATAACGTTATTTTTATTTAATATTAAAATTTTTATTGATGAAATGACGACTAAAGTCACTGAAGCAATGAAACAAAAGTTTTTGGTAGAATACATTAAATCAGGAGCGGTTCCAGAAGGTTTTTACATTCATACTATGAAGGATGATAGAGTTCAGTTTAGAAAGATAAAGCAACCATTAGATAAAGAAGGAATTTTGAGAAAGATTAAACTTCATGAGGACAACATTGCTGAACTTAAGAAGAAGTTAGAAGAGTTGGAGAAAGGAGAGAGTTATAAAGCAATGAATTCAACAGGGTAGAAAAGAGGTTAGAAATCGGGTTAGATCTAACCTTCTACCCTAAGTTTATTTTTGTGCTATGTTTTCATACGTGTGAGGGTGGTGATATCATTTATTTTTAAGTTTATTTTTTATTTTATTTTTATATAAATGACAGAACAAAAGCAACTCATACAAATCGAAAAATATAACAAACATACATTTAAACATTTATTCTTCCTTCCTGAGTATAACATGTTCTTTACACTTCATCCTAGACCAGTTGACTATACATTGACTGTGTATAAAGATTGTCATGGTAGTTTTATAAAAACTTATGATGATGAAGGTAAGTTAACAAGACTATGCATTTCAAAACTTGAGAAACTTTATGACTTCAAGTATGACTACAATAGAGTTAACATTGACGATGAAGATATAGAAGACAATTTATGAGAACGTTTATTTTTTCATTAGTGAGTTCGTTAGTGAGGTGAAATGGTTGGTGGTTTTGTAAATATTTAAGGTTAAGTTAGTTTTTGCGTTTATGTTGTAAAATATACGTTAGTGGTTTTGTAAAGTGTCAAATTCACATATAATGGGTAAGGAGGCGCGCAGTGCCGCCGTACACATGATAGATAATCTATCTACCGTGAAGGTAATGAATATCGCAGTGCCATATCAAATTCTTTGATATGGCACGATATTTGGTAGGTGGATCTGCTGGTTTGTAATCTCTTTTTGAAGATAAACCTGATTCCATCATAAATTTTTCCACTTGATGATGCTTTATTTTTTGTAAATTGTCAAAAATTTGATCTTTTGTCAAATCTTCTATATTTCAAATTCTTTGCAATTTCTTCTTTTTCTTTCTCACAATCGGGATTTTGAGCAATATTTTGAAACCTTTTAATCAATAAATAAGTTTTTTGAAATTCCTCCTTTATATTGTGAAACACAAGAATTAATTAATTGTTTTTGCTTAAATGTTGGTGGATTTGGTTTTCTGCCGCGACTAACTTTTGGTAATTCGATTTCTTGAAGTTGAAATGCTCTTCTTATTGTATTTTCGGCAACATTCAATTTAATTTTACCATTTTCCAATTCAACTTCCTTTCCCACACTTTTGTAAGATTCACCTTCTTCTATTCTTCTTTTAGCTTCAAATAGCCATTCTCTGCTTATAGATTTGGCAGTAGTCATAAAAGTGGTCCTTCTTTTGTGATAAGATTCAAATTTGAATGTGGATGATAAATAAAAATCAAAAATAATTGTTATAATTTAAATGAAGAAGTAAGTTAAAACGATTTTATTTATGATCAAATTTTATTTATTTTTTTGGATCAAATCCATTTTAATAGAATTTATATACTATTCATCTATTAGTAAACACTACCGTATATTATTTTTTAAGCTATCTTATTTTTTGAAATTTTATTCAAATCTTTGGTCGCAAGAAGAATTGCATGATAAATAAAAACATTTAATCAAAGTCAATTTTATTTTTCATATTCAAATGGACTGAGTGTTAACATTTAACATTTTTTGCTAATTGTCGTCAAAAATTAGGCGTAAAGCAAAAATTGATATTTCATATGGTTTTATGATAGATAAGCATTATATTCCCACTCATTATATTCGTAAATTTTGAGGTTTATCCTTCGCTTTTAAGATCATTGAATTTGAATTTGATTTATATAAAATAGTTATATTAGAAAATAATATGAGTTTATGTGATATTATTTTTCAGAAGATTTCATTCTATATGCCTATGAAAAGTACTCTCAAAACTAACTTTTCCTAATTATAATTAAATCTAGAATATTGTATTATGCTTAGTATTATTTCATTTTTCTCATTCAATTTAGAATTTACAAATGTCAAAAAATTGAGAGCTGTCACTTTTGATGAATTTCTGTTTATTACAGAATGGTTCGCCGGTTATTCAAGGTACGGTATAAAAAGGTTAATCCTCAGATCGATTTTTCAATACTTTACGATTATTAAATTTTTGTTCATCGTTTTTCCCAAATTTATCGGTTTCATATTGAAATTCATGACTGGGCAACCACGTGTTCCAATCAGCCCTGAGGCTGCTGAGAATGCCAAAATATTCATTCAGCTTCAAGATATGCTTACCAAAGTTGATGATGATAATATCGAAGACACTGAAAATGCAATCTTAAATTCAATTTTTGCGACAAACAGCAAATTGGTCGCTATTCTAGTTGAATCTATTTTCGTTTCTGCAAAATATCATCCTCCGAAAATCTATTTATATGCTCAAATGGTGAGTTTCTTCATAAAAAATGCAAATAATGATAATGCTCTTAATCTTTTGAAGCCACACTTCATGCGTTACATCACCAGATCCCCTGATAATGATTCTCGTTTCACAGATAAGCTTCCTCTTTTCTTCTTCCTTGCATCTGCATTCAAATATGGAGCTATTCCATTTTCTGACATATCTTCTCACATCACCAGATGGTTAAATGAAAAGACTCTATCACCGAACCAGTTATTTATTCTCTATTTCCTTTTCTTACCTCAAATTGATTCAATGGAAGGCGATTTCAACGAGCAAATACGCAGAATCGTATCTGTCAAGAAGTCTGATGGCAAAATCCACCCATTGCTTCTTCCTCTTTATCCAATGCTCAACGATTTACGCGAAAATGATTATAAACTTCATAAAGAGATCATCCAATACGGCTGTCTTCAAAACAGCCTTGAATACATCCTCAAGTTCGATCACGAAGACGCCCTGAAGCAATACATTTCGATTAAAAAAGCTACATCTCAAGGATTTGATCCAAACATGATTATTTCGGTTTTCCCACTTGAACCATCCCTTTTCTTACACTCTGGCCCAACAATATTACAATACGCCGCTTTCCATGGCTCTTTGAAGTGTTTCAAATTATTGATGGAATCCGGGGCCCAAATCAACAAGAAAGGCTCTGTATCGAAGCACCATACCATACATTATGCGATCGATGGTCAGAACTTCGAAATCTTCAAGATTGTCAGAGAATTAGATGAATATACTGATGCTTGCCTCAGAGTTTGCACACAGTTCAAGAACGATGCAGTATTTGATTATTTATACCCTATCATTGAACCTTCACCTGAATTCCCTCACGAAATCAAGAGAGTTATGAAACAATGCGCCAAATCTAGCAATTTTAAGGTTCTCGAGTTTTGTTTACAAAAAGGACATGACTACGATGCTACATACAGGAATGGCCATAAACTGGCTCATTTCGCAGCCGAAATGGGAAATACAGGAATTTTATATTTCTTGTATATCTACAAAGCCATAGACATTAACTGTCCAGCGCAATGGGGCATGACTCCTCTCCACCTTGGTGCCAAGCTTGGCTACAATTCCATTGTAAATTTCCTACTTTCCATTGATGGAATTGCAGTTAACGCGAGAACGAACAGTGGATGGACTCCTCTGCATCTCTCGGCCATGAAAGGACACATGGGAATATCTACAGCGTTAGTTCAGTTCCCTGGTGTTGAAAAAGAACCAAGAGATTCAGAAGGAAACACCCCAATCCACTATTCTTCGCAGGAAGGATATTGCGACATCACTGGATTGCTTCTGAAGAACGGTGTGAATGTAAATGTCCAGAATACGAAAGGAAATACACCTCTTCATCTTGCAGCAATGAAATCACAGGCAGAAATTGTCGCATTCCTTCTCAACCAACCTCAGACTGATGTCAACATTCAGAATGAGGATGGAGACAGAGCGTTTGAAGTCGCAAATGATCAGATCAGGCAATTGTTCTTGAACAAATACCCTGAAATGAAACCAATCGAGAGAGAAACAGATATTAAGAAGAAATGTCGCATTTGTTAATTTCTATTTTAAATTTTTTTGGGTAGTAATTTTTTTATAAATTTTGTCATCTCTAATTTGATTACTACAACTCAATCCTCTGAAATAGTCTGTGGTAATTCTTAGTCTCTACACTATTTCAATATAAGCTCGATTATTAAACAATTTTTTTAAAAAATCGAACATTGAAAAGTGTGATGAGACTTCCCTCTATTTTTCATGAAGATAATTTTGTTATTAATCAGTGAAAATATACTAATTATACAAGTGTATATTGCTATAGGAAAATCCTTATAAATCTCTTTAGTTGACGAGATACTAACACTTAAACAATTTAATGGATAATTTTGTCAACTATTGCACAATTCAAGTTATTTTGATGATAGGCATTTTCAATCGGCTCAAACACAATGGTAGGAGTTGAAATACTTCCGTTTAAGAGCAATTTGCATAAATTTTGTCTCAATTTGTTAGTTATTGAGATAAACATACTAACTATATAAAAAACTTCCTATAAGTCTTTTGAGATGAAGAGAATAAAAGTCCTGAAATCATCCCATAATTCGAGATCCGTACCTATATTTTGAAGATATGTGCATGAAGCCTAAATATTTATGTCTTTTAACTCAAATGTACTAAATTACAATCTACTACATTAGTGCAAGTGCTTTTGAAAAAAAAATTGTATTCAATTGAATTGAGATTTGAATTTTTCATTTCCTTAGCAATAATCATATCTCAAACCTTAAACTTCGATCAAGAAAAGAAGATATATTGATAACTATAATCAAAAAGTTATTTCAAAAATTGAAGAATTAATAAAAAAAGTTTAATAAGAGATTCAGTATCTAATGACGTAAAATAGAATAAAACAATTGCGTAGTTTACAAAGAGTTGTTGATCTCTAAATTTGTTTATATTAAATCATGAATTAAGCAGTGAATGAACCGCAACTAGTCTCTATTTATCGCATTGGTAAAAATACTAGTAGTTACTATAATAGTATCCTCATACACTGGAGATTTTAGATCAATGACAAAGTTTTATTTTTATCACCGTAACAAACAAAATTTGAATTTTTTTATGAATGTTATCAATTATAGGTAGTATAGCTCGTTTCTCCGTTTTATAATAAAAATTAAAGCGCCATATTGTTGTTCCTTTTCTGAATAAAAACCCATTGTAAAGTTTACAAAAAATAAATATAATATAATCATGTTCTTTTTATTATGTCTTTTTATTGCTCGTGCTATCAATGAGATCGTGTCACAAAAGAATACACCATCTAGATCACCTTCTGCAGCACCAACAGCATTTAATGCAAAAGATGGAGGTTGGATCGCAATTACAGTTATATTAGGCGTTATTCTCTTACTTATTATTGGCATTTTAGTTTACATCACCGTTCTTCTTTGTTTAGATAAGAAACAGCAACAACCTCTTGTTACGGAATAAGAATAAAAAGATCTCAAGTAACCCTTCTATTAAATTTACCCTACTATTCGCAAATGCAATGTTTATAAACTATTATCATTAATATTATCTTTACCCTTATTAATATTTTACTTTTTTTTACCAAAATATTTTTTTTTAATAGCCAAAGCATATTATATATAATAACGTAAATATACCTGATACCCAATAAAAGTGTTGAAAAAGTGTTAGTAGTTTTTGAAATTTTGCTCGAAAAACAAAGGTAAAAATTTTAGAATAAAAATATATCTATTTTGGTGGATACTTCGATTCATACTGCTGGAGTTTGCTCATCTCATAGTGAGGTGTAGCATCTTTGTTCCTAGATGCAGCTCTATTAGATCTAGTTGCAGACTGAGCACGTGCTGACTTAGAACCAGGAGAAGTACTTCTTTGTCTAGAGTGTGGTTCTCTTGTTGTCTTAGCTCTTTCTGTCTGATCTCCATCATTTCCGGTAGATTTCTTGCCTTGTTGGCACCAGAATGAACCTCTGGTGCTCAAATATTCAAGAGCATCATCAACTATATCTTTAATGTTTTCATTCTGTTTCTTACCAAATTGGCTAGCAGGACCAGTAGATTCTGAAATTTCTGCTTTCAAGCCGTTTAAGAATTGGAAATCAAGTGATAATTCGCCTAAGTAGTTCTCATTTCCTTCTGTAGTATCAAGAGGAGGAACGTCTTGAGGCAAAAGCCTTGCAGTCTTTTTTTGTTTTTCCTGCTTTGGTTCTTGGTTCTCTTCTGTCTCTTCTTGCTTCTTTGTAGGTGATCTAGTTCTAAGAGATCTGGATTTTGTATGTGATGATGCATAATTTGGATTTGGTTGGAAAATCTTTTCACCTTTGATTGCATCAAGGATAGCATGCTTAGCTTTTGTGACACCATCACGGAAATCGGCCATATCCTTACGAATGGCAAGTCCTTGCTCAAAGAAAACCAAAGCAAACTCAAATTCGCCCATAGAGAAATAAGCTTCAGCTTTTGTTAAAATTGCGCGTGGTAAATCTGGATTTGGTGGCTTCTTTGGATCTGCTTTTTCTGGGTTTGCATATTCTGGTATTGTATCTAAGACAATGTTAACATCTTCAATAGCAAGTTCTGGTTTACCTACTTGAATGTAGCAATCAGCACGGTCGATGAGAATTGAGTTTATATTTACCATTCGATCTTCCAAATCAGAAGATTTATCATACGCTTTCGTAAACGCGTCTATCGCTCGATAATATTCGTTTCGTTTGTATAAAGACATGCCTTCTGAAAGCAAAGCTAGATATTCTTGTGTTGCTCTTTCTTTTGCAGTCCATTTGATATTAATCTTTGGACCTGGTACTGGAGTTTTATATTTTTCGAAATCTGGTGGTGGTTCATCGCCATCTACTGCAACATATGGTGTTGCAGGCTTTCCAAGCATAGCCATTCTTCTCTTAAAAGTTTCATTTAAATGCTTTGGAGGAAGACTTACCATATTTCTTGTAAAATAAACGTATTCTAAAAGTGACAATTTTGAAATCATCTATAAAATCAAAAACAAAGATAAAAAGTCTACTTTTACATTGACCAAATCTCTTTCCATCTTGAAATAAGCTATGTACTTCAGTAATTCAAGAAATGACTCTATTTCTGAAATATATCTTGAAGGGAAATGGTGTATTATAACCATAAGACACGAATTGATCATGATTTAGTATTCCAACTAATTTCTTAATACGTCTTAAGTGAAACTAGTTATAAAATTAATTCTAAATTAATATCTCATATTATTTCCAAATAATCTGTGAAGTAGATGTAAAAAAACAAATAACTTTAAATTTTTTAAAATGTCAAACAAAATTTATTCAAGATCCGTGACAATTGAATCCATATGAGGTAATTGATCAAATGTCTGGGTTGGTAATTGCTGAGAAATGGGCTGCATCATCTGTGGAGTCTGTTCAAAATAGAATTTTCCTTGTTGAATAGCCTGAAAAATATCATTTTGAACATCTTTTCGAGACATAACGAATTGTGCAAGAAGTAATGCACTTGACATTATCTGATTCGATGATGATGACTGATTATTCTGTGGCATGAAATCAGGGAAAATTTGCTCATCTTGATTTTTCTTCTTTTTATTATTTTTCTTGTCGGTTTTCTCGTAATGGTAATTTGGATTCTCTTGTTTGAATTTATTGTATAATTCATTTGCTGCATCTCTATATGGTTTTTTCTGTTCGTTTGTTAAATCTTTCCACTCTGTAGCGACGAGTCGCGATATATCATTTCCGTTCAAAAGTGGGTTTTCGGCTTTTAATTTTGGTTGCCTTTCTAAATAAAATAAATTATAAGTATTTAAAGGTCTTTTGACTTTACTACTTGGTGCTCCATCGACTGGTCCTGGAACTTGATTGCGTATGGGTGATTCTATTGTTGAATCATATTCCATCCCAATGCCAATTCGACTCAAACTTTTTTGAAAAAAATTGATATTGAACTTTTTTGAGTTTTCTAAAGTTATCTATTTAGATTGTCATTACATGGACTATCGAAAAACCTTTCTAAAATTCATCGACTCCAAATCTATCACCTGAATTTTGATTTTGAGTTGAAATTGATTATTAAAATATCATTTCCAAGTGATGCCCTATACAATCATCCATTCTTGAAATTTCAAATTTTTTTCTTAAATCGATTTTTTAATATCAAAAATTAGTGAAATTTTAAGGGTGCACATGAGAGGATCATGTAAACTTCAGAATTTAGAACCTTATTTTTAGGCATTATCTTGGCTACCTATTTAGGCTCGAAAAGCAAAAAATATCAAAAAATACAACTTGACTCCATTATGACCCTTTCATGGAGGTAGTTTTTATCCGCTAGTATTTTCCCTTTGAATCTCTTTACAATTCGAAATCAAATTCAAAACTCAGTAGAAGAAAGGAAGAATCGACTTACTACGGTTGTAATACGAATAAATACATATATTTAATTATTTTTATTTACATAATAATTGTTTGAAGCTCATATTCCATCAAATTTTTAAATAAAAACATTAAAATGTTGAAAATGTTCATATATTTTAATAGGGTTTTGGCACTTTATTGAGGAATTACTACATACATAGTCGAACTGAACTTGATATTTTGAAATTTAAATTATTTATCAAAATTAAAATTTAACTTGAAATTTATAATTATTTAGTCATATTTTGCATAATTCTAAGTAGATTTTGTAAAAAATCAAGAAAGAAAAATTTTAACGTGCTTTATTTTTTCTTTTTTATAATAATACATATTATTATATAATTAACATATTCATAATGTTTCACCCTTTCAAAAATATAATCCTCCTCCTCGCAAATAAACGTACATACGGGTGGCCTCTTTTTTCAAAAAATTAAAATTTGAAATTTTGGGCTCAAATATTAGAGATTTTTTCAACCTTCAACGATATATAAAAAAAAAAAAAAAAAAAAAGGTATTGGGGCTTCCAGGCACTTCGTGCCTTCTAGCCCTGAAGATGTTTAGTATAAATGAAGTCTTAGAGGACAAACATGACTATGAGTTTTGATATGACAAGATAGAATATGAGAGAGGTCCTATAAACCGGAGAAAGTGTTATATAAACATCTGTCATATTACTCAGAATATAGGGTGTCCAAAGGTGTGTTTAGCACAAACCTGAATACTGCGAATAGAAATAAACAAGTTACATATATATAAAGTTTATTTAAATATAATCACCATTGGATTCAATCACGCGTTCGCAGCGATCGATCCAGGCTTGAAAGACACGCTTTAAATCATCATGAGAAAATTGCTCAAATTGCTCTCTTACAAAATTTTCAAGATCATCTGGACTCGCGAATTCGCGTCCTTCAGCTCTCTTTTTTAGCGTGCCGAATAAATAAAAGTCAGAGGGTGCAATATCAGGTGAATAAATTGGGTTTGGAACAACTTTGACATTGTTTTCCACCAAGTAATTCATTACCTTATGACTTTTGTGAACTCTTGAATTATCAAAATGAATTGCAAACTTTTGTTTTTGTTGTTTGGATTTCTCAAACTCATCAGAATTGATAATTTGAGTAAGAACATTGTCAATTAGATACTGAGCATTCATCGTATTAGGTTTTTGAAGAATACCAATTGCGATGATGCCATTCACGCCCCAAAAAACCGACAACATCATCATTGGTGTGTCAATTTTTTTCTTCGGGAATGTTTGCGGATTTTCATCCTTCGGGATCCACATGATTTTGGCTTCTGTTGCATATTGAAACCAAGACTCGTCTCCTGTTGCTAAAAAGCGAAACTTCTTGGATTGATACGCACCCAATATAGAGAGGAGCTCTTTCGAAGATTGGACTCTAGATTTTTTTTGAACTGAATTAAGGTTGTGCGGAACCCAACGTGTATACGCTAGTTTGTAGTTCAAATAATTGTGCAGATAATAACTGACTGTTGTACGTGGAATCTTTGTCATCTCCTCTATCCTTCTGAGTGATGCTCTTGGGTCTTCATCTAGCGCTTGAAGAATTGCTTTGATTTTTCTTTGATCCGGCGATTTTTTGTCAATTTTTATGATGGGCGCCTTTTTGTTCATGAAGTGATACATCCTAACATGATACGTTACAGTGGAATAGCTAGGAGCATCCATACCGAAGCATTTTACCAATGTCTCGTAGATTTTTTTACAGTCTTTGCATTTTTTTGCAAGAGCGAGGATGTTTTCTTTATGATTCATTAAAAAAATGAAAAAAATCCCGCCAAAATTTCCCGCGAAACCGCCTCTTGTCTCAAAATTCATTTTATATACCGGCATGGCGCCAAAATACAACATACTCATCATATACATATATTCATATTTTTTATTATATATTTATAACCAGCATATATCTCCTTTAATAGTCTCATATAGAGCGCTGTGCTAAACGCACCTTTGGACACCCTATATTATACAGAATTCAATAAAAATATATTTTAGGTGAAGAGGTGAGATTTCACCTGTTTTTTCACCTCATTTTTCACCTCTTGAATTTTCATGAATTTCATCGTAAAGACTTTGTCAAGATTTCATCGTAAAGACTTTGTCAAGATTTCATCGTAAAGACTTTGTCAAAACTTCATCGTAAAGACTTTGTCAAAACTTCATCGTAAAGACTTTGTCAAAACTTCATCGTAAAGACTTTGTCAAAACTTCATCGTAAAGACTTTGTCAAGATTTCTTCGTAAAGACTTTGTCAAGATTTCTTCGTAATGAGCGTAAATCAGACAAAAATATATTTTAGGGTAGAAGGGTATATCTACCCCGTTTTCTACCCTCTTTTCTACCCCATATGTACTTACTGAAAAAGTATGTGTTCCATCTGTCATTTTACTCAGAATTTTACACCAAAAATAATGTTTAGGTGAAGAGGTGAGATTTCACCTGTTTTTTCACCTAATTTTTCACCTCGTGAATTTTCATGAATTTTACACCAAAAATAATGTTTAGGTGAAGAGGTGAGATTTCACCTGTTTTTTCACCTAATTTTTCACCCTCTTGAATTTTCATGAAATTTACACCAAAAAATACTACTAGGTCATTTACGAAGAAATCTCAACAAAGTCTTTACGATGAAATCTTGACAAAGTCTTTACGAAGAAATCTCAACAAAGTCTTTACGAAGAAATCTCAACAAAACATAGACAAGAAAGTTCATGAGAAATTAGATGAAGAAGTCTTAACAAAGTCTTTACGAAGAAATTCATGAAAATTCAAGAGGTGAGAAATGAGGTGAAAAAAGAGGTGAAATCTCACCTCTTCACCTAAAATATATTTTTGGGTCATTTACGAAGAAATCTCAACAAAGTCTTTACGAAGAAATCTCAACAAAGTCTTTACGAAGAAGTCACAATAAAGTCTTTACGAAGAAGTCACAATAAACATCTGTCAAAAACCGCTTTTTAACTTCACTTAAAATGCCACGTAAGCTACGTAAGAATATACGTAAGAGGAAGAGAGCATTGAAACATCCAATAGTAAAACTGACACCACAACAACAGTTGCAACAACAAATTATGAATGACCCCACTATGTTGCAACAAATGTCAAGCAATCCTATGCTTTTAAACCGAGTTGTTGGTGCACAGAGTGGAGGTTTAAGAGCGGCACTTTTAGCGAAAATGGCAGGCTATGGTGGAGCTGCAGACGGAACAGCCTATAACCCTCAAAGTCAAATGAATTTGAGTTCACTCAAAAATCAAATAGCAGATGTCAAAAAGTCAAACATAGACATACAGAAACAAATAAGTGAAAACGAAAAGAAACTAGAATATGACAGACACACAAAGAAACTCAATGAGTTAAACGTAGAGAAAAAGAAGAAAGAAGAACAACTGAAAGAACTAAGTACAGAGGAATATGCGAAAAAAGTGTCAGAAAAAGCAGCAGAAGTAGCAAAAATGGAACAAGATGTTGTAAATTTGAAAAACCATACTACTCGATATAAAATACTGAAAGATGAAGAGATAAAACAAAAAGCCCTGAAGACATATATGGATAGCGATGAGTATAAAAAGGAAGTTGAAGCAAATGTAAAGGCAGAAAAACTTTTACAGTTGCAAAACCAAACCGTACAGTATGAAAACTTAGCACAAGAAAGTAAAAATAACGACGCAGCCATGCAAAAGGCAATGAAAAGCGCAGAATATATAAAAGCTAATAATGACTGGTTAGATGCCCAAGCCAACGCCAAAGCAGCCCAACTTATAGGGTCAATAAGGACAAAAATACAAGCGGATGAAGACAGTTCAAATGAAGCTTTAATGAAGGCTGACTTTAAGAACGCCTTCGAAGCTCTTCATAGTAAGGTGAAACTAGTGAACGACTTCTCATCTGGAAAGAAACTGAAGTCTGAAGGTTTCGACAACGAGTTAAGAGAAGTAGCACAAAATATGACGAAAATAACAGATGCAGCAACGAGACAGGCAGTTCAAAGTGCCTATGACTCCGTTAGAGCAACTGTTGTGGAAAGTCAAGAAAAAGAGTTACAACAGACCAAAACAGACCTAGTAAATGCTTTCTTAAAAACGAAAAGTCAGGTAGGACATTACGCTGCAGATGGAACATATGTGCCAGCTGGTGGAACTTATATACCACCAAACCCTCCAAGAGAAGCACCTGCACCAGGACTACCTAGAACATTTACATCGTCACATGGACACAGACACAGGCATGCACAACAACCAGCACAACAACCACCTCCACAACCAGCACAACAACCAACACAACAACCAGCACAGCAACCAACAGTTCAAAACCCAGCACAGCAACCAACAGTTCAAAACCCTGCACAACAACAACCACAAACAGAGCAAGGACATAAAAGAAGTAGAGAACAAGGAAACCAAGAATTCTTAAAAATGCTTAAAGAAGAGTGTGGTTTCCCAGATACTGTTGACTTTAGTGACAGATATAAAGAAGCTATTAGAAAGTTCAAGGATGGAAATACTGACCCGAACCTATTTAGCTTTATGGCTCAGCACCAAAACGGATATAATCTCAAACCTGGAAAATACAAGCTCGCTAAGGGATATGATTTAATAGCATATCATCCAAATGACATGGATGAATTTACTCCGAGATATTTGATGTCAGAGCTAAATGACAATTCAACTTTCGTCATGAAACGCGTAAAAAATAGAGACGGAACGAAAGAACAAAAGCTTATGAATGCGGATGACGTAGATAGGGAAATTGTTGAAAACGGTCTCGGAATATATGAAATGCCAGCAGATGAGGTACAAGAAACTCCACAGGAAGAACTAGTTCAGATACAACCAGACATGGAAGAAATAGTTCAGCAACAACAGCTAGAAGAGCCTGAAGGAAACGAACAAGTCCCTCCTTTGGAAACTAACCTCACAGAACTAGATGAAGATTTGGAACAGCCGAAAATTCTTGACCCTCAACAAGAGTATGCGGAGAATATGGAATATTTCCAAGAGTCTAAAAAAAATTCGGCTGACATAGTAGAAGAATATCGAAAAATGTTCGCCGACATACAAAAGACTCCAACACCAGATGAAAATATTCAGCATAGAATGGAAGTACTGAAAGAAAATGTACACAAATACAACAACCCTTTTTACTTACGAGCATTTAACGTTCAATCTTCGGATGAACTCGGTGAAAATAAAAGGTTAAATTTCAAGAAAACATATAGAAATGAAACATTGTTTAAAGTTCATTCAGAACCTAACCAAGATGGAAACAAACCTACTTTTGTTTCTGCAGACGATGGAACTACAATGAGATGGGGTCATAAAGCTAACCCGGATAGGTGGTTCATAAACTTACAACCACAATTCCAAGAAGTTGTAGACGCAATGGAAGTCAATGGTGAACCAGATATAGCTGGTATTTTCAGCGCGGCTTTAATGCCATTGAAAGATATGAAACATGCAGATATTTTGGACCAGTATGAAATGAACATGGCTGATGGAATATTAAACACCTGACGTTCTAGAACATTTATCTCAAAGAACTACACAGAACCATAGAGATGGTAATTTGGTGAAGAGTTTAGAAAGACAGTTAGGGAGAGAGAAGGAAGAGAACCTATTGTACATGAACCTTGCAAATGAAAGTTTGCAAAATGTCATAAAAACTTACTTTGCAGACAATGAACTGAGAAGGGATGAATATTTAAGAAAACTCAAATTGACAGTACCAAATGAAATGTTAGTATTGAAAAACATGTTCCTTGACAAAATAAAACCAACTACAGAAAAAACGACGCAAGACTGAAAGATTGGGTAAAAGCTTTCCCATTCACAAAAGATATAGTTGGTAACATGGAAAGAAAACCAGAATGGCTACAAAAACATATATTTGGAAACGAGCATATTCCATATGGACAGGCACTGTTTGAAGAGCTTGAACCGGAAACTCAGGAAAGAGTCATGCAAACAATACGCGAAGACTCAAATACAGACTATGACAAACTCTTTCTAGGATATAGGTTACCTGAGATGGGCGACCAGAGCCAAAAGGCAAAAAGGGCATGGAAAATTTGCAACATACTAGATGAACATGAGGCAAAGATGCAACAACTTGAAGCAGAGGGCAATGAAGGAAAAAGAAGAGTTAAAAACTCAGTCAGGAAGAAAGTAAAGCTTGGTCCACGTGGGTTCTATTATGACATATAAACCCAACTATTCTATATTTTACCCATATGAAATGTACGGCCGCTCAGAATATAACGCCAACAGTTTTGGATGCTATGAATGGAAATGTTTCCGAATGGTATAACGAATGCGACAATGCCATTAGAAGGTCAGAAATAGTTCCTGGAACTTACGAATATACAACTGCTGTTTCTTATGGAAACGTAGGTGAGTTTGGAGAAGGTTCTTCAACAAACAGTAGATATTGCTTGCGACAGGTTTCATATAATTTCTATTGACAACTCTTTCTTATACGTGGACAAGACATTGAAATAAAACCTTCTGCCAAGTTGTCTGACAAGAAAGGTTGCAATGGAATTTTCTATGTCGGATACCAATATGCTCCAGAAGTTTTTCATGGGATATAAGATATATTCTAACTCTGACTTAGTTCAAACAGTAACATGGGCAAAACTATGAATGGTTCGCTTTGAGAAAACTCAGTACAACCACAAGCTAGAAAAAACAGACCAGTATGCAACTATTGAGAAAATAAGAAGACTTGACCCTAACGTTCCAGAGTTTATGTTAACCTTTCTGGTTCAGATGGAAATGCTGCCACTAAAGTAAAACTGAAACTTAGAGTTCCTTTGTCATCTTTCCTCATCTTCAGGTTTTTAAGATACTTGCCAAACTGGGCAGGAAAATTTCTATCGAACTTACTCCAAGCAAAAATAACTTAGTCATTGCACCAACACAAGACCCATTCACTATTACAGAAGTAGTGGGAACAAATAAAATGTCATTCGCCGACTTTTGCAAAGACAAAGTTGACTTAGACTTTGGTTTCTCAAACCTCAACACTGAAGTAAACTATTATTTCAATGCTGCTGGAACTGCTTGGGACCCAGTTAAGTTTACATGCGAAAAGTTTGAATGCAAGAGAATAGAAAGCAGACTTGCAGTCTATATGTTGGACCCAGATATTTCAAATGCTTTAGCTGCCAAATATATTGCAGTTCCACTTATGTTCCCTATACACCAAATATCTGTCAAAGACTTTGCAGGTTGAAGTTGGAAACCAAAGTGCTGACCCAGGTGCAAGAACAGATATTGCCTTAACAACTGCAATGAAACATGCAGATACTATGTTTGTACTGTTCAGACGAACTATAAATGACTATTCTTGTTTCTACAACCCTGGTATTAAATATCATATAAACATAGATGGCAAATATTATCCAAGAGAAGAATATTCTACAGTTGAGGATATGAGGTCATACAACTTGACATTAGATGCTATGAACTTTAACAACAACTTCACAACAACCATTAACCCTGAAATGCAAAGTTCTATTATGCCATATGTGAAAGTATGGACTCATACAGGAGGTCAAAAAACTCAATATACAAATGGAGACCGTTCAAACTTTTGGCTTGGCATTCCATTTGCTGACTCAGAAGACTTTATGGGTGGTATTTCAACTGTTGGTACTGTACAAATACAATATACTGGTGACAGAGACGGTCCAGATGAATTGAAAGCAAAGAAGTTTACAAAACCAATAGCACTTTTCACGGAAGATGCTCTTTTGAAGATTCGTTCGATGAAACCTGCTGGGGCTCCTCAGATTGGCATAACGACAGCTTCCATCGAGCAGATTTTGGCAGCAGGTCAGTAAGTTGTTCTTGAACTGACTCTCTCCGTCAAATATTGACAGTACGCCAGTTTTGACATAATATTGTATTATAAACTTACCTTTAGAAATATCTGTAAGTTTTGTTGTTATATTTTTGTCTGCTTCAAGAACTTTCACCATTTCAGTTATACCAACTTTCTTTGCTTTATGAAAATATTTTGGTTCAGCAAAGACTGCTATTCTATAACATTTTCCATTGTTTGTATAAAGAACTATTCTGTCAATGTATTTGTATTGTTTGTGTGTGTAAACTTTTGTTCTGCTTCAATTCGAAGAGATACTCGAATACGTCCATCTTTTTATTCTAAGTAAAATGTCATTTCCGAAAAATAGAAGCGTGAGTGTTTCAAAAGTTTTAATGGCGGTGGCAGATGTGAAGTTAAATTCACCAACTCAAACAAACAGTCAAAGTGTTGTTGTCAATGTCAAAGACAGAGATGTTGAAGTGGGGAAACCATACGAGGACGAAGATGGTATAACAATTGTTCCTGTAAAAGAACAACCAACATATCCTGAAGTTAGCAGAGACTTAAGTTCTGTTGCAGATATTCGAAACGACTACCAACAACTGAAAGACAAACTTCAACTCAGGAGAAGATTTGTCAAGCTTTAAGTATAATGTTAAACTTGGTCGAACACAACCCTGTAAAAGTGAACTCATATGTCATTGCACCTCATGAAGTCTTGAAAGAACTATTGAAACTTTTGACAGAGGCAGACGATATAAAATCAAAGAAATAGAACCCGACATTGCTTGCTGTGGTGTTTCATATAATGTCATTGACAAGATATACGTTATGAAAGGAGGTGAAACGTTGAACTTAAAGTATAGTTTCCCAGACGTCATAAAAATATTTGACGACCACAACATTTCATTAAAGTTTGTTTGCTAAGTAAATGGCAGAAGACATAGTGGTTTATACTATTACGACTAAAAACCCTGAGTCATATAATTCTATAACAACAAACTTACAAAGTCCTCAAGGACGATATTGTAAACTGACCTTAAACACGATGACGACTAAAGCCTGTTTTGCTCTTTTGACACCAGAAGACTTTGTTGTTGTGAATGGTAAAAAATACTTCTTTGAAGATACTTACTCAGATATACCACCAACAGGTTTTGTTGACTTATTTAATACTTTAAGGACGGATGTAACATGTGCTGCAACTAGAGCAGGTTTCATTATGTTTGGATGTCCGACTGAGTTTACTATAAACGATATGAGCTATAATACAAAACTTATTTCTGGTTTTTACTACCAACAGTTTCCTATAACAGGAAAAGGTGTCATACAAGGAATGTCTGTTCCATTGACTTTAAGTACACCTATTTTATATATTGTTTCAAACTTAGGTTCAAAGTGCTATTCGAATGTTGACAGAAACTACTATGACCAAAAGATACTCATGCGTATAAACAATACTTTCTCTGCTGGTTTGCCTATTGTTCATTCGAATGCAGAGTTTTCAGCTTTAGTAAACTCAAACACTTTAGCAAACATAAACTTAACCTTAGTTGACGCAAACTTTGTTCCTGTAAAACTTTTATGTCCTATGTATTTGTCAATGACGGCAGAAAGTTTCGAATTGGAAGATGCAACCGGTGAAAGTATTGTATTACAAGAACAACTTCAACAACAAATAGCTCAAGAACAACAAATAGCTCAAGAATAAAAAAAATATTTTTTTTATTCTTATAAAAATGTACAGAATAGATGTTTCAGATTTTTATGACTTCCAAGCATTCAGAAATATGTGTCCATTTCGAGACTATAACAAAGCAGTCGAGAATTTGAAACGTTTAGTCATTTATGTTGACTCTGCCCCAGAATGTTATGTCATGAAAGAATGGGATGTTGTCTTTAACAAACCTAAAGCAACAATAGTTTCAGAACAAGAATGTAAACAGAAACTTAAGAAAATAAAAGTCGTACAAGTTGGCATGAAGATGTTAGATGCTTGGGATATCTTATTGTCAAAGTTAGAAGATTTTTCAGTTCGAGGTATAAAGTTCTATACACCTTCTCCAAACTTCTATTCTATCTTCACTGGATATAAATACGAACAAGTAGAATGGAAAGAAAATATTATAGAAGCTTGGTTAGACCATGTCAAAGAAATTATATGCAATGGAAACGAAAGAGTCTATGAGTATATCTTATGTTGGTTTGCAAATATCTTACAACATCCAAGTGCTAAAAATGAAACTGCTCTCATCATAATTGGAAAACAAGGAACTGGTAAGAACACTTTCTTTACAGATATCTTATGCAAACTGTTAGAGGGCTATTCGAATCCGAATATGACAAACTTAGAAAACATCTGCGGTAAATTTAACTCTTCAATTGAGAATATGAAACTTATAGTTTGCAATGAACTTCAAAGTATAGATACAACAAAAGTTTTGAACTCAGATGCTTTGAAGAGTCTTATAACAGACAAAGTTGGAGTTGTTGAAAGAAAATATAAAGACCAAAGAGTTTGTGAAAATGTTGCAAACTTCATTATGGTTTCAAACAACGCCGTTCCGATGAAGTTAGAAAGTTCTGACAGAAGATATGTAGTTGTCAGAACGTCAGAAGCTCATATGCAAGATACAGAATATTTTGACGACTTAGCAGAAACTTTGACATCTGACTTTTACAACCACTTGTTCTCATATTTCATGACATTAGATATTTCTAAGTTCAATCCAAGACAAATTCCACATACCGAAGAAAGACAAACATTGTTAGAAGCAAACAAGAGTGTATATGAACTGTTTATAGATGAGACTAACTTTGTGTCATTAGATGAAAGGTCATTGTACGATGAATATAAACAATATTGTCAAGAATATGGTTATATGACAGCTTCTAAACGTACATTCTTGGCAAATGTCAAAAATCTTTTCGAAGTTCAGAACGGCGTATATACAAAGAAAAATTTTTCTGAGTAAATTTTAAAAACAGTATTTTTTTATTTTATTTGAAATGTACGCTGAGTTTGTTGGAGAAGACCGTTGGGAAACTTGTTTGTTAGATGAGAAATATGAAATTCACTGTTGTGAGTCATTTGAAGTCAGAAACAAAAAGACAAAAAGAGTTTTAAGCGGATGGGAGGGAAATGACGGATATGCTATGATGAAGATGGGTGGGAAAAACTATTTAAAACATGTTGTCATTGCAACTCATTTTATACCGAACTCTAACAATTTACCTTTTGTAGACCATATAAACCATATAAGAAACGACAATAGACTTGAAAACTTGCGTTGGGTTACTCGTTCTGAAAACAATAAGAACAAAGGCAAATTTGGAGATATAGTATTCGAATTTGTCGACGAACTAGAAGATGAAACAATTGAAATTACAGACTATGGTAAGCATACGTTTGAGTTTTACTACTATAGCGAAGAACAAGACTCTTTCTACTTTTATACCGGCGTAAACTATAGAAAATTACAAGTATATTTTACTAAGGCAGGCTATGCTTATGTAAACACTAGAGATACAGATGGAAAACACGTTCGAATACTTCTTAACAAATTCAAGAAGCTATATGGCATACCATTTTAAAACGTTTTAAAAAAAAAATATTTTTTATCCGATAGAAAAGATGACGAAATTCATCTCAGTAAACAAGTACATGTCAGGACTTAAAGAAGAACTAGACCCATTCACATATTTGAATGTTTACTTCTACCATTTTGAAAAGTCTTCATTCAGCAAAGTTTGGAACATCGAACCAGTTAAGTTTGCTATTGTGACTAAAAATGGTGCGAAATTTGAAGACTTAGACATAGAAGGTTTGTTAGCAGTCAAAGAAAGTTTTGACAGAAGGTTTTCAAACCTTAAAGAAGGCAAAGCATACAAACTTGTTATACCTTATGAACCAAAGAAAGCAGACGACTATGAATATTATGAGTCTAAGATAGTTGAAGTTCAAGGTAAATTGGGTAAAAAGATTTTAGAGTCTAAGCCAGTGTTTGCTCCTAAAGAGGAAGAGAACATTGACATTGACCCAGAAATGTTCTAAAAATAAAATTTTATTTTTACATGTCAAATTTCTTTTTCTCTGGTTCAGGTTCTTTCTTCTCTTCTTCTACTTTTTTCTCTTTCTTTCCTTTCTTCTTCTTTTCTGGTGGAGTTATGTCAAATTTCTCAGAACCATATTTCTGTAAAAGTTCTTTGTCCTGTAATAGCTCATCTATTCTGTTTTCTATTTCATCTTCAAGAACAGCGCATGTGTCTTCTTTGCATTCTAAGAACTTTTGTTGGACTTCATCTTTCCAATCGGTGTCATCTCTGTCAACAAGTCTGTCATTGACAAATTTTAAGACTGCTCTGCTTAATGTTTTATGGTTCTTGTCATATTCCCAGAAACAGAACTTTAGAACAAATTCACCTTTCTTGTTTACACTATGTAAGATTTTATGGTCGACAGATGTTTTGCTGTCGAAAAGTTTGTCTCGAATATAGATAGCGAAATCGCTAGACATTTTCAAAAAGATAAAAATTTTAATTTTTCTAAAAATATGTTAGAAAAAAAGTTTGCTGACATTGACAAGAAATTTGAGAATGTTTTAAACAAGAACAAGGTGAAGTTAGAAAATGCTCAGATAAAGCCTATACATGACAAGTTCTTATTTGCTCAGAATGGTATAACAGGTCTAATTGCACCACCTGGGTCGGGTAAGACTTTCACTTATCTTAAAATGGCTGCACTGTAATGCATGAAAATTCGGTTCACTTCATTTTTGACACTTTACATATCGGATGTATTATCTAAGAATTATATTATAAAATAATAATTTTGTGTTTTATAAGTTTATTTGTATAAATTGATTCAAAAAAATGGAAAGACAAGAAGTGGATCTGCCAAATGAAAATCAGATTTATAGTTTTAGAGAGTTACATACATGAAATATGAAAATTGAACTTTGTATACGGAATTGTTGGCTATGATGTACTGATCATGAATCAGTACATCATAGCCAACAATTCCTTCGCAAACAGCGGGAAACTTTGTCTGAATAGTTTAACATTCAGACAAAGTTTCCCGCTGTCAGAGAGGGAATGGAAGGGTAAGAGGTATATATTCATAATGTATACCTCTTACCCTTTCATTCCCTCGAGAAAGTTCAAAAACTTGGGTGCAATCAGTTCTGATTGCACCCAAGTTTTTGAACTTTGTATACGGAATTGTTGGCTATGATGTACTGATCATGAATCAGTACATCATAGCCAACAATTCCTTCGCAAACAGCGGGAAACTTTGTCTGAATAGTTTAACATTCAGACAAAGTTTCCCGCTGTCAGAGAGGGAATGGAAGGGTAAGAGGTATATATTCATAATGTATACCTCTTACCCTTTCATTCCTCGAGAAAGTTCAAAAACTTGGGTGCAATCAGTTCTGATTGCACCCAAGTTTTTGAACTTTGTATACGGAATTGTTGGCTATGATGTACTGATCATGAATCAGTACATCATAGCCAACAATTCCTTCGCAAACAGCGGGAAACTTTGTCTGAATAGTTTAACATTCAGACAAAGTTTCCCGCTGTCAGGGAGGGAATTAGAGGGTAAGAGGTATATATTCATAATGTATACCTCTTACCCTTTCATTCCCTCGAGAAAGTTCAAAAACTTGGGTGCAATCAGTTCTGATTGCACCCAAGTTTTTGAACTTTGTATACGGAATTGTTGGCTATGATGTACTGATCATGAATCAGTACATCATAGCCAACAATTCCTTCGCAAACAGCGGGAAACTTTGTCTGAATAGTTTAACATTCAGACAAAGTTTCCCGCTGTCAGAGAGGGAATGGAAGGGTAAGAGGTATATATTCATAATGTATACCTCTTACCCTTTCATTCCCTCGAGAAAGTTCAAAAACTTGGGTGCAATCAGAACTGATTGCACCCAAGTTTTTGAACTTTGTATACGGAATTGTTGGCTATGATGTACTGATCATGAATCAGTACATCATAGCCAACAATTCCTTCGCAAACAGCGGGAAACTTTGTCTGAATAGTTTAACATTCAGACAAAGTTTCCCGCTGTCAGAGAGGGAATGGAAGGGTAAGAGGTATATATTCATAATGTATACCTCTTACCCTTTCATTCCCTCGAGAAAGTTCAAAAACTTGGGTGCAATCAGTTCTGATTGCACCCAAGTTTTTGAACTTTGTATACGGAATTGTTGGCTATGATGTACTGATCATGAATCAGTACATCATAGCCAACAATTCCTTCCCAAACAACCCGAAATTTGTCTGATTCCACACTAATTTTATTAATTTATCTAAACTTTTATCTCTTGTTCTAGATAAATTATCATCAATAATAATCTCTTGTTCTATTTCACTATTATATATATATATATTTATATGATTTGATTTAAAAAAAATAAATAAATAAATTAATAAATCATTTACTCAAATATATCAAAAGTTTTATTTTTATATATAAAGATAACTACTTTTAAAAAAAAATACCCTATATATTTTTGCCATGTAAACTTGTCACTTTTGTCAGAAGTGAAGTGAACCGAATTTTCATGCACAACACTTTTGACAATCTGACAAAGTGCGAGTTGTAGAGACAAATGTGGGGGTATAGGCGGATCTTGCTGGAAGAAGATGTTTTTGGTAAGTTTCGTCATTAAGTTTTGAGCTTTGACATATAAATCTTTTGACAATCTGACAAAGTGAGAGCTGTAGAGACAAATGTGGGAGTATAGGCGGATCTTGCTGGAAGAAGATGTTTTTGGTAAGTTTCGTCATAAGGCTTTAAACTTTGGCGAATTATATGTTAAATCTTTCATACTAATAAGCATAATAAAGATGCAAAGATTATTTGCTAGCGCCGGCTTACTAACATTAATCTGAAGAACAACTTTATTAATATGCTTTAAGCAGAAATGAACTGATTTATAAAGTAGAGAATTTTAACGTAAGATTTTAACGTCATGATTCACAAATATAAGTCAATAGAAAAGGATATCGATTAGAATTTCTTCGTGAGGTCGTTTGAAAGTTCTGCAATCAGAAGAAGATTGTTGAACAATCCGCCATTCCAGGAGGTATGAGCTTGTTATGTCTCCTGGGATCACAGATTGCAACCTAAAAGATGTGCATATGCACCTCTTGTCGTTTGAAAGTTCTGCAATCAGAAGAAGATTGTTGAACAATCCGCCATTCCAGGAGGTATGAACTTGTTATCTCTCCTGAAATGGCACATATTTGATAATTCATGGAGCAGAACTTTGCACGCAATCAGACAAAAGATTGCGACAGAGTAACTGGGAAGACAGCAACTTGAAGCGATAAGCTGCTTGGGTGCTGTCTCCCAGATGCATCTGTCGGGCAAAGTCTCAAAGGAGCAGAACTTTGCACGCAATCAGACAAAAGATTGCGACAGAGTAACTGGGAAGACAGCAACTTGAAGCGAAGTTTTGTTTTCGAGTCTTTGGTTAAGAAATCTTAACAAAAAAACAAAGAAAAAAATCAGATAAAGTTGTCAATAACTTCATCAGTTAATGCTCACCTATGGGAGGTGTTTTGCGGGAGCTGGGGGTATCTTGGTGAGTACTCAGGAGGCCAAGAAGGGCACCCCAACCGACATTATCCTGATGAATTCAGTTGCCAACCATTCTGAAAACCGCCGAAACCATCGTGTGTAGAGAAATTGTTTAAATTTATTTTTTTCAGATTTAAATAAAAATAAGAAATGTTTACTATTATGGATTTTGAAATTTTTTAAATTAAGAGTAGGAGATGAGACAAATTTAAATTTTTAAGAAATATTTGGAAGGGCGTAAGATACGCCAACTTAAAAATATTATCAAATATGAGAAAATCGCTCAACAAAAAAACAATTCTTTCAAAAAGTTTGACATTGATCTTTCTAATACATATTTTTGGAAGGGCGTAAGATACGCCAACTTAAAAATATTATCAAATGAGAGAAAATCACTCAACAAAAAAACAATTCTTTCAAAAAGTATTTAAGGGTCCACTGTAAGGCCAAATAAGACCTATCGTCATCCCAAAAATATTGCTCAAGATGGTGTTTTACTAAGGCCCAAAACTTAAAAAAACACAAAAAAATTAACTTTACTCTTTTGAGATCCTTATCAGATGTGCAACAATTTGATGCAGTATTGCAATTCGAATCCGATTTTTTAATGTAGATGTACTCTAACATTCTTGAAAAAATGCAAAATGATATTAATTAAGCTTTTCATTTCTGTATCATACACGAAACAAAATCATTCATTATACTAAAATTTATCAAAGTTTGAATAATGAAAAAAATAATATCTAAATTTTTACATTGAGTCGTCTATTGATATGGTCAATATTAAATCGTTTAAAAATGGGCATTATCCAGAATAATACCCACTAAAATACACATTTTTTTTAAAATTTTATCAATTTGTTTTGGTATATCTTTATGATAATGAATAAAATGCTTATCTTTCATAAGTCAATACATAATTTATGCTGAAACACAAAAAATAACACGAAAATTTTTGGCCAACATTTCAAAACTAAGGATAATGCTTTGAATATATAAACAATAATACTTTGTCTAGAGAATTAAATTTGTGCTATCCAATTGTCAATTCTTTGAATTTTTTATAAAATGCACGATATTCCGGCATTAGCCTCAATAAATATAAACTACATGCATCGCAATATTAGGATGTAATGGTATTAAAGCGAATTTCCTAATTTCTTCTCAATTAAATTCCTAGAAAAACTTAGGAATTAATGATTGGAAATAGGTCAAAAAAATTCCTAATATAAAATTTATACTTAAATTAAAATCAAAATTCGAAAATATCTATTTTTCAAAACACGCATCCAGAAGCGAAAAAATTTGAAAAAATCATTTTCTTATAATACTCGCTGATTTTGCAATTTTTATGTAATTTGAAGTGATAGAATATATTATCATCTTACTAAAACATATACTTCATTGTTACATTCACAAAATATTAATCAGAACACTAGGAAAAGTGGATTTTCAAAAAAGACGATAACGATTAATTGCAAATCGCCTCTCAATTTTGAGAGACTTTCAATTTTTACAGTGGACCCTTAAAATTGATCTTTCTAATACATATCCTATGGAAAGAGTTTACATTCTCAAAATAAAAACCAGTTCAAAATCTTATTATTCTTTGAATAAAAATAATTTAATTTCAAATCCATTCCAAATCCTTAAATCTGTATTAAAATCATTTTGCCAACAACCAATACAATACAAATTACATTTCCATATATCTTCTTGTCCATTTTAATTTTTTATCTCATTTTATTTAATTTTATTTAAAGCATATAGACATCGATATCCTTTACACATAGTTATATAAAAGTCAAATACATAATAAATTCTTAATTCTAGAGATATCTCAAAATCTCATTTTTTTTAATTTAAAATACCTTTCATTTTTCACAGTACGATCACAACAAACAAGCCATTTACTAATTAACACATATAAGAAAAATATCAAATTACAAAACAACTTTCAATATCATTCGCATCAAATTCTATTTTTTCATAATTATCAACTACATGTTATTATATAATATATGTCGGCGCATATTCCACTCTATACAAGTGTCAGACACACTCACACAAAGCTGTGAGATTCATACCTCTATCAGTAGGACTTCTCAAATCAAGAACACATATGTTTCACTATCGCACATCTGTGTAGGATCTAATTAACCCTTTGGACTGGTACTTCAAAATTTGATAATTTGATAATTTCATGTGATATCATCATTTGCCTTTAAAACAACTGTGCGTTAAACTAGACACGTTTCTCTATCATAATGCAAAATATCAAAGTTTGGGAGACTCCCAAAGTGTCTGAAACTGATCATAAGGGTGAAAAACCGTTTTCCAGAAGTTGGGAACGTAGGGGTATTTTATTTGCAAATCTAGCACGAATTCTTGACAAAACAACATAATTTAGCCTAGATTTTGCGTTATTGAGATTTAGAGATTATTCCAAGAATTTCAGAGATCATCTCACGTCATTTCATCATCAAGTGCTTTTCTTTTAATAAAATTCTTTGTTTAAAATCATCTTTCCATAAGCAATCATGTTACTTATACAATAAATCGACCTTGCATGAGTGAAAGATCTCAAGAACTCACAATTCATATTCACATTGTTCATTCAAATATCACTTCAGTAATCTAAGTGCGTTCTCAATAGCATACAGGAATTAAAATTAGTATGAAATTTGAAATGTGGAAACATGAACCAATAGTTAAATTCCGCTTCTTTTTATCAGAACAAAGCTGTTTGGAAGGATTGCCTCCGAATCGCTTTTAGATTTCCAAAATTTAGCTTTAAGTGCACTTTTCCTTTGTATTTTCTTATTTCAGTATATATGCATAATAGAGGAAGTCTTTTTTATTCATATGTAATATATTTGTGCTAATAGATCTCTTTTATTGAACCGAGATTTGATAAAAGAATCAAAAGAATTTTTTAATATCCATACGAATATAATGCATCAAAAAATCATCAACTCTTAATTAAAACACATCAATGCATAAACAAATTTAGTAGAACAGATAGTAAATATACTTATACTTGAGTGAACGAGCTGATCTATACTGGTTTCAAAGTAAAAGACAACAAATGAATTCCATATAAAATCCTTAAAAAATTTAAATGATTACTACAAAAAAACTCCATACAGAATCTATAAAGTTTATATCAAATAACAAAAACAACAAAAGCGAAGTTATACCATGCAACTCTCGCAATAATTCAAGTACAAAAATCTGATTTTCTCAATAAAACTAATTCCGCCTCTTGTTTGCATCAACAACGAATCAGCGAAGTCTATAAGATGTGGTAAGTCCCAATTTCTATTTCTCTGTATCGCCTGGGCCATTTCGTCGGCCATTTTTGGAATTGGAACTTGTTGAATATGAGCAACGCATAAATAGCGTAGGAAATCGGTAATATCTTCAAGTCTACCAAGAATTTGATCCCAGAGGTACATTAATTCGTGAATATTGTGCTCATCTGCGAATAATGTTAATTCCCACTTCAGAGCGTAGTGCATTGAGCTGTGACCAACGCTGTTAAGCATAGCATATGCTTCTGGTACGTGCTTTTCTACAAGAGCATCAAGAATCTTGAAATGAGCTTCAATTTTTGAAAAATTTTCGATATCTTGAGAAATTGGATTGTAAGCGATGAAAGCGCGACTTAAATAGAAAGCCATTGCTTCGGCAAAATCAGCATTCAATCCTCCTTTCGCAATAAAAAATAATCCGATTAAAAGAGAAATCCATGCGTATCTATCATGACCTTGTACATAAGAGAGATTAGGAGTATCAAGGGTTATCACTGAAAGTATTCTTTCGACCATAATATTTGTATTTTCGAGAAAAGTTTGCGGAATATGAAGAAGTTTTGCTAAATTTAAAAACCAAGTATGAGTTCTTTCAATATCAACTCTGATTGTATAAGCAATGTCGTTTTCTAGTTTTACAAGAGGAGTATCGATTGATTCTTTAAAAAAATGCTGACAAAGTACTTTATAAGCGGAATATTTTGATTGTAATTTAGATACCCATTCAGATCTTGCTGCTGGTATAATTGAAAATCTAATGAGCCATGCAAGGAATCTGATTTCGACCGGTTTACGGAAATCTCGCCTGAGAAGGAACTCCTGGACATCATCAAAATCATATATATCTCCAGATTGTGATATCAGGGCTGACCTCAGTAAATCAATTCTAATCTCATTTTGCATCAAAATAATTAACTATAGAATAAAAAGACATATATATTTCTATTTCAAACTAGCTCAGTTTGTCCAGTATACTACATCTTAAACTCAACTCAATTACTTATCAATTGATTAAGTTTTTAGTACAGCACGTGGAATCATTAAATATAATATATTCATCATGCATATTGTAAATTTGCTTCTTTTATTTTCTTATTAGCCTTTTTAAAATATCAAGATTTTTTATCTTATTTTTCAAAGAAACATAAAGACCTCATCCTTATGAGAAATTTCATAATGATGATTTTGCACAAGATTCATCGTCTCTCTTATGATGTGTGCAAGAATCAATGCAAATAATTTCAGCAATCTTTATTTATAATGAAATGTTATGATATATTATGGAAAACTTCGAGAATACTAATTTGTTGGTTTTCTTGAAGTTGTTTCAAACGAATACGATATTTTTCACATGAATAATATGCTCCGCATTGCATTCACATCAAAGTCAACATCAATAACGACCAAGAGAAAACAAATATTCTAAGTTCTATAACCAATTACAGAGTGAAACATTTGACTATCTTTAAAGATCTCATAAAAACGCATGAATGATAAAATGTTGATCGATAATATATTAAGTTTATTAAATACAATTAAAAGATGAATTATTTCTTCTTTTCATTGAGGAGAGGTTCTAAGTTGTCCCGATCTCTCTTCTCTCTTTCCATCTGTGCAAGATCTCTATTCAATTTCTTCGTGTATCTTCCAATTCCGATTGTTGAAATAGTGTGGAAAATAGCAGCCATGATAACAATATAAGAACCTTTCAACAAAGTAGTAATGACATCGAAACATGTCAAGTGTTCCTTGATGAGTTCTTCGTTTGCGAAATACTCCTTAGTGATGACATCAACAACAACACATTTGTCACCAACCATGAACTTAGCGAGCTGAGAAATTTCCATAACAGCTGCAACAATAGAGATAACGAAAACATCTAAACATGCCCACGAATACATGTATTCGCAGATTCTCTCTACGAAGTGCAAGATCTTCAGTTTCAATGGAACAAACCACAAAATCGCGAGGAAGATCATATGAATTAATGGCATCAAATTAGTAACTAAAATATAAATTGCTTGTGTGAATCTGATACCGAAAGAGTTCTTATGTTCTGCAGCTTCAGGGAGTTGCAAAGCCAAATCAATAACAGAGTATTCTCTGTATTGATCTGCTTTGACGAGTTCAAGTGCCCAACCAGCCAATCCGACGAACTCGAATGAGAAAGTCTTCATGTATGAACCAAATAAGAATGTGATGATTCCGAAAATCAAAATGCATGAAAGCAAATTCTTAAGGAGGAATCCATCTGCGTACAAATACATAATAACTAATTGATTCTTCTTGAATCTGAACTTCTTCTTTGAAACAGGAGGTTGAGCGTTATTTTCTTCATTCAATGGAGCATTTACATCGTTTTGTTGTTTGGTATTCTTCTTCTTTGGTTTCTTTGTGGTGTTGTCTTCTTCGACATTTTCTAAATTAGCTTGTTTCCTCTTTAGTTTCTTCTTCTTTGGCTTTTCTCCTCCTTCTTCATCCAAATCATTCAATCCTTGCTTTTTATTCTTCTTATTTTCTTTCTTCTTCTTTTTCTCAGCTGAATTTGAAGATGATGAATAAGAATATGAGTAATCGGAGTATTCATCCTTGTTGTTCTTCTTGTTTTCTTCATCAATCAAAACTTGGATTTGATGATCCAATAATTCTTGTTTGTCAACATATCTTTCTGCAGATAAAATGATTTGTGAGCATCCCAAAGATAAAATTGTACCAACAACTAATGTAACGAAGCTCCATGCAGGATAAACAAACAAGTTAATCTGTAAAACATCGGCTTCGTCAACAGGAGGAAGGTTGATTTTCATTCTGAAAGCAATAAGCATCAAAATCATAACGTATGAATCAACCATAGACCATTTACCAAGGATATCGAGGATTTCAACTGCTTTCTCTCTTTGATGAGGTTTGATCTTTGATGCAGGAAGACACCAAACAACAAACATGAAAACAATCTTTGTATATGGCCATGCACATGACATAATAGCAATAAGAACAGCTAAAACAATAGCTCCGGATGACCACATATCCATGATAGAGTTAATCAAAACGAAATCGAACATTGAAGGAAGTTCAACGTGTTTTCCTGTTCCAAGGAAAATCTTTGCGAAAACACTTGCACCAATACCTGTGTTTGATGAAATAAACAATGCAAAAACTAAAAGTAAAACAATAGGAATAAGAAGTCTGAACCAAACAGGAAGTTTCGGTGTCATTAATAATGATGCCTGTTCGTCCTTTCTGAAGAATTTCTTGCAGAATGGAAGACGTGGACCAAGAATAATAGCAAAGAATGAAAATCCTACACCGAAACCACCTAAAACAATCACTGCAATAAGTGTTGATCCTGTTGCAACTTCGTGGTATTCAGGATCTGGATTATCTTTGCATGTTGCGTTGCCTATTGCTCCTGTAATCAAATTGTTGACCATAGGAATAACTTTGTCATGTATCATTCCTGTGATAAATGCACCAGTGAATCGACCAAAGTGAATGGCAATGAAATTCAGGACACGATTAATTGCTTCATTAAATGTAGATGTCATTTGTCCGGACAACAGTTGGATGGTAGCGTTCGTGAGGGTGGTCGTGAGGTTGATGTTAGTCATGGCTGTGGAATCTTTGTCAAACAATGCACCAATGCAGTCAATATCAAGACATTGTGCATTTGTATAATCTGTTCCACGACCTTGTGGCAAACCGAGCTGTGCAATGAAGCCAAGTTTGTTGTCATCGATGGTTACGCCAGCTGATATTTTCTGGCCAAGGAGATAATCTTCTGACATATTATCTTTCACTAATAATGAGAGAGCAATACCAACTTCAAAGTGAGAAAGATTGATATTTGTGGACAAGTCATAGTGGTCAACAACATGGAGAAGCTGAACATCTTTGAAAGTGTTCAAACCGTCAATATAAAAATCATCAAGCATCAAAGTGATATTTGTATCAATATCTGGCATGGGGATCTCAAATATAGTACTAAAATTGAAGAAATCCTTCATTGATTCTGTGATGTTCAGTAAGTTTTGTAATGTGAACTTGCCAGTGTTTCCTGTAACACGTCCCAAGAGTTTATTCAAGTCGAATGGACCATTGTTTTCGACCAATGTACCTGTGACGAAGCTGAGAGCTTTAAAGATGACATTTTGATCCAACAATATCTTACCTGAGCCAATGGGGATATCAAACGGGACGGAACCGTTAAGGTTTTTCCTTGTAAGCTCATTAAATGGCTTGATCATCTCTGTAATGTTCTCTCCGAGTTTCTGGATTTGTGGATATATCATGGGAGCTAGGTTATTTCTGATCCCTTTGATCAATGGAGCAAGGATTGCAAGTCCAGCTTGCGAGGAACTTATCTGGAGATCATCAATGATTAAGTTACAAGTAGGATAAGGGAAAATTTCAATATGTTGAATGAAACCATCGGAGTCTTTATCAAATCTCATTCCAAGAGATAGGGTACATCCTGTTGCAATCATTGTAAAAGATCCAGGTGCCCTAGCATCGTAATAAGTGCCGTCGATAATAAAATCAGCATAAACTTTCGCTTCGAACAAGTTATCAATTAGGGTTGTATCATCATAATAAGTAAACTGTAAATCGTTTAATGAAATAGAATGGATTCTCAAATCTCTCATGCCCATGCCTAATCCAATTGAAATATCTCCCTCACCAAGTGGAATAACTAACGATTGAATGAAGCATTTTATATCGCATACCTCGTTAAAGTCAACGGAGCTGGATAAAGCTAATAAGAAACAAAACATTCAGAAAAAAATGAAGTAACCTTTTGAAAATAAAAAGATTCGTCGATCTTATGAAAATATATTTAATAATGTTCAAATAAACACTATTAAGATAGGTTTTACGTTATCTTTACTATGATGCGATTTCACGTCATATGTTTATATTTTTGAATAAAAATAATTGATAGTATATTTTAACATTCATTTGGAAAGCATATCAATAATAAGAATTAAATTGGTCGTAAAATAAATTGACTGAAATTTGATTCAATCATATGTATTCAAAATGAATATTAAGATTGTTAAGTTAGTCAATTATTTGTATATTAGATACCAATACATATAATTTATTTTATAAAAACCTACATATAAAAATTGAAAGGTATTGACTTTTATGATGTGCTTTTGCATCATAGATCTTTTACGACAGGACCATTCTGACTGAGCAAAATGGTTCGTTTTGATGACCTGCATTTAATAGATAGCTCTTTGCATATTACTATAATGAATAATGATTTTGGCTTCCACATTCAAAAAATAAAAAATGCCATTCCCAGATTTTAATACAGTGAATTTTTATTAAACACGGTATACATAAACAAAAAGCGTCACAAAAGATTGATTTATTTCAATCATAGAGATTTTATCTAAAAAATAATGAAAAAAGTAATGAGGCCGAAGGGAGTCGAACCCCCAACCTTGAGATCTGGAGTCTCACGCAATGCCATTATGCTACAGCCCCTTACGTTTTAATGAATTATTTTCATATTTATAATATAGTTCCATATAATAAATTATCAAGTAAACTCTGTGTCTAAATTTAATTAATAATGACTGACTGCATTTTCTGGCAGCAAACGCTTAAACCTGGCGAAAAAATTGCTTTAGAAAATGAAATTGGTGAAAGCTGCATTGAAGTCCAATCTGCATCTATTTTTGATCTTAATGATCAAGATCCAAATTCTGCTTGCCGTGTTTTTGCGTATATTCATTGTCCAACTGAAGTTCCAGATAGCGATACTGAACAGAACGATCAAAAACAAGATAAGGCTCCAATCCAAGAAGAAAAAATAAATAAAATTCTTTTTGCTTCAATTCTCCCATCCCAAAGAGAAACTTGTGACATATCATACATCATTTGTCCATTTGATTTTTTGGAATTAGAAAATACCAGTAAAGCCACAATCACAATCAAAGGCGTTTACCAAATGGTTGATTTAGATTCAGATGAAGAAGAAGATGCAAATGAAGAAGAAGAGCAACATGCTGAAGAAGAAGAAGAAGAACAAAAACCATCCAAAAAAGGAAAATCTAAGAAAGATGCTGAAGACGAGGATGAAGAAATAGATACAAACGAAATTGTTTCTAAAGTTATGAACCATATGAAGAAGCATCAAAAGAAATAAGAATATCAAATCAATATATCTTTTGTTTTTTTTTATCTAGTTTTAAAGTTTTGCAATCATATTCAGAAATACAACTTTTAATATTTCATTCGAATTATCCTTGTAATATTGAGGACATTATGAAAATTTAATATACAAATCATCTGAGATACATCCAGTAGAGTTATTTTACTTAAAGAATTTTGAGATTCAAAAAAATATATTGATCTTCTGAAGTTAAAAAGCCTAATTAGTTATAATATATCAATTAATGTTTATTGTAAGTCCAATTCATTTGTAAATGAAACATAAAGTTTGATATACAAATGAATTGAGAGGAAATAATTTTCCACTACATTTATTTACTCTTCTTTTTCCTTTATCTGGGACTTATTCAATCCTAAAAATTGAAGTGACATAATCTTCTGAATTATGTGAACAATATTCAAGAATCTTCTGTACACGAACCTCTGGTAGTAAGGGAGAGTGACGCAAACGATGTAAAGAAGTGTAATTAACAAGAAATAAATCTGTCTGTTTGTATATCTCATTACGAATGTAACGAAGAATCCTGTGAGAGATGTAAATGTTCTTACGGATGAAAGAGCTCTGACACGAATATTAACAGGGATGTTTTCTTTTCTTAATGTGACCATAACAGGCGTAATGAGACCATCGAGGAGTCCCAATAAGACTGTTGTAAGGAACTGAAGGGCATCGTTATCATAGAAGACCCATCCGAAGAAGAATACAATGGCATACGATGCAATGAACACTTTATGAAGAGTATAATCGGAAAACCACATTTCTAAGAATGTGGAAAGGATAGTTCCGAGTGTTCCCATGGCATTAAATGTTGACATAATTACAGAAAACGGAAGATCTTGTCTAATGTAGTTTGTTGCAAGCATTGACTTGAAGAATCCCATGGAAAATACATAAACGGTATCATAAAGGACGGTTGTCATGGCTTCTATTGGAACTTCTAATTTTTCTTCTTTAACCTTTTCTTCTTTCTTTTCTTCCTTCTTTGGAGATGTCAAGAATGACATAATAAACAGAAGTGGAACAATAATGGCCGCATAGTAGACATTCAAAATGGTATATGTTAAATAAATGCCATGGGCAATGACAAACTTGCTGATGTAAGAGGTGGTTATGATATCAATCGTAAACTGGAATGTCATTCTGTAGTTAAGAAGGATGCCTCTATCAGCTTGAGAGATTTCATACGTCTGTGCAAGATCAACAAGCCAGTTATCCAATGTAATTTTGGTTAACATGTATGAGAATCCCCAAACTAAGCGACTGATATATGCATGAATAGGATCAGCGAAAGCCACTAAGAGTATAGCTGAAATGAACTTGCAAACACAGCAAAATGCGAAAGTGAAACGTGTTCCAAGCATTCTAAGCGTAGATGTGCACAGTAATGACCCTACGATTGAAGATACTTGATAGCATATGTAAATGGTTGAAATCGTCTTCTGTCCATAGCCTTTCAGTTTTACAAATGGTGTCAGATAGACGGAAAACGTAAGATCTGGGAATATTAAAGCAAAGTAAACAGTGTAATAGACAATTTGAATTCTTCGCATGTTCTTGCATTGAGCTGGAGCAGATCCCCATGTCTTGGTGATCATTGATGCAGCAATAAAGATCGCGCTTGCATAAAAGACGCCTTTAATTACGCCGGGCGATATTTCCATCCGCAATAACAAAATTGAGAAGAAAAAAAATCGATGAAAATTGATGCCCTCAAAAATTCAATTACCATAAATTTTGAATACTGTAAATTTTTTAGGTGGTTAATAAATTTTTATAGTAGCACCTGAATATAACCAATCATCGTATTTAAGATGTAACCTTTTCATCGGATTGTTATTTTTCTCCAATCTCATCCTTATTAAATTATTAGATGATTATAGTTCCTATCTAGAAAGGGCATCTACAAAAGTATTTTCATTTTACTTTTCGGAAATCCAATTGAAGTGATACTCCGCGTGAATAATCTCTAGTAAATGTACTTTTCATTCATCTCTTTCGACTCATTTCTTCTATAACACATACATTTTGTCTATTCCATTTCAATTTCGAGTAGGGGTAATTTTAGCTAAAAGTGACACGCTTGTAAGAAGTGACACACCCGTGAAGGGTGTGATTACCGATCGGTAATTTCGACAGTTTAGAATTTAAAATTTTTTATGGAACTGTTGCGAGTTTCATAAAGAATTTAAGGAATATAAGCAAAGTTGAATCAAAATCTTAGACCTAAGCCGCTCGATTCGCTCGCGGCTTTCTTTATTATTTTAAATTTGCATATTTCCATCAAAAAGTTCATAAGGTAAAAAATTTCGTTATATTATTGCAAAATAAAATCTTCATTATCAAAATAATATTAAATGAATATAATATAATTTATAAACAACTATTATTTAATAAAGTTAATTCCAAGGTTCATCTAATTTTTTTGATTTTAAATTTTATGAATTTTAATCATGTATATATCTAATGAAGATTAATATATGTAGAAGATAAGTACTTAATATTACGTAAATTTTAATGAAATTTATACAACATTATATAAATTATGAATAAAAACTTGATATAAAATAACATTTATTTTTACTAAGAAAAAAAAAGGTTTTTGATAATAAATTTTATTTTCGAAAAAGTAGCAATAATCGTAAAAGGGTATTGATAGGCTTGCTAAAGTAACTAATTTAGCTCAAATACTTTTGTATTTTGAAGTAAATTAGTATAAATTGTTTTTACTTTTATTCGAAAAAGTAACAATAAGGAAAAGGGTATTGATAGCTTGCTAAAGTAACTAATTTTAGCTGTCAAATACTTTTGTATTTTGAAGTAAATTAGTATAAATTTATAATTTTAACTCCCTTTGAAAACCTCAATTTTCCATACAGAGGGAACGGGAATAGCATCCAATATTCCCTGAGAATGGTTGCGCATTCTCAGTTCCCTCTATATTTCGAACGAAGCTCTCATCGGTCTTTTTTTTAATATTAAACGTTTTTTTTTTCCTGTCACTTTTCGCTAAAATTTGGGTTTGCCAACGAAGAATTCTGCCAGATCCCAAATTCAAAAATACTTATTGATTTCTATCCATTTTCCTATTAATATGGATAAGGAAAATATCACTAAATGACAAGTTTTTGTGTTTTTTATTGGATTTTTAATAAATTTGACAAGCATTATTTGATTTAAATACGTTCCTCTCTCATGAAGTATTCGAACTTATAAGAGGAATGATCATTGTTTTATAAGTAATTCTTAATATCAAAAAATTCTTATTAAATAATGGCATAATCAAGAGTCTGCTTGGCATCCAACACTTTTTGTTTGGTTTTAAAACGATCAAAGCTTATTTTGGCCTTCTTATGACTACCTCAATTGCATATTGATTAACATTTTTCATAACTATGTTTTATTGTTGCGACATACTGAATAAAACGTCAGGATTAGCTTAGCTATACTCCAAAGAATCATGGAAATACCATACATATTAAATGGAAAGAATTGTTTATTTTTTTCATGATGAAACTGACATTTGGAAGTACAAACACTATTTTCTTATCCGAAAATACTATTGTGCTTAGATGAAATGATGTATTATCCTATATTACAAAAATCATCATCCAAATAATAGGAATTCTCAGATCATTGAACGATAAAAATTGTTGTAAATCATATGACAGTCCTATATCTAAAAATTATTTTTAATAATGCTTTTTTACTGATGGCGTTTGCCACTTTTGGATGTAAGAAAAACGGCAAAAGTGCCTAATTTCTTTACAAAGAAATTTTTTCTTCTTATAAGAAATGAGTACACAGTCAAGTCATAGATCTAAGAGGCTAGGCTACTACATTTTCCTTAGAGATGAGAAGATCAAAGTAGATCCAGTAATTTTTGCTAAAAAATCAAGTTATTTCGCTGAACAATCTGCTTCGAACCCAGACGGATTCGAAGTTCAAGAAAACGTCCTCAAAGAATCATTCCTTACATTCTTATCATACTGCCAAGACAAGAAATACGAAATAAATACAGATAATGCTAACGATTTACTTAAACTTTCTAGAAACTGGAACTGCACAGACTTAGAAGGCGAAGTTACCGATTTTTGCCGCAAGCACAAGATTGTTGTTCGTCCTAAAATTGATCCACTTGGAAATTTGATTGAAGCCATCGATAATCAAAAAGAATCTGTACAAGATCTTCGCGAGGTTGCAAAGATCATTAATACTCTATACGACGATGATCGCTTACCCGATGTTGAGCCAGAACTTCTTTACAGAATCGTAATCATTGCCGAAAAAGAATTTACCTTAGACAAGATCAAATTCAAGAAATTTGTACTTCGATTATTCAAATCGAATCCAGATGCCGCCGTTATCTTATCTCTTCGCCTTAATTTCAACGAATTAACCGATGAAGAGTTCGAAATGATCGCAAACTGCCCAGAGATCCGTTCACAGAGCCTGAACTTCTTTGCGGCAAGCTCTATCAGCATAATTCGTAACCGTATCAAGAATAACCTCGCTCAATTTCAAATCAAGAACAATAATCTGTTAAACAAACTTAACAACCAGATTCGCTACCAGCATGAGATGTTCCTCTACCAGCTTGAAGAATACAAGAGCCAGAAGAAAGCTTTGATTGATCAACGCCTTGAACAACAAAAAGCCGAAATCAACGATATCTACGAACAACTTGTCTCAGTTGCTGCTCACCTTGATGGTGGCATCCTTTCTGAGAACGGTCTTGTTGATCCTCGCATCAATCAAAATATTAATGCAGCAGAGAAGCGATTCGCCGACCTTCACCAACAGATCCAGGAAGCCCTTGAGAAGGACAAACAAGATAGACACGCCGAACTTAAATCCGGCGTTTACCAAAGATTGAAAGTTTGGGAAGCTAAACACGGCGATGAAGATTCACAGAAGAAGCTCCTTGATGAGGCATTCGAAGATATTGGTGCTATCTCTAAGGATATCCAAGAAAAGAAGTCCGAAATTGATGAAGATTTAGTTCACATCAAATCAGCAGTAAACGCTAAGATCGTTCGAGACAAAATTAGATCAGATAAAGGAAGACGCGATACAGCTAACATTTGGTCTATTTTCGATGAATCAGAGCGAGAAAGTGTTATTAAAGAGGATGAATATATTCAGAATGTCGAGAAGAAGATCGAAGAGTTCTGTCCAATCAGAAAACACTAATATAATAAAGCTAATCGTTATTTTTTATTTTCAAATTTAGATTTATAAAAATATTCTTTTTCCGTTTATAAAATCCTTCATTTTAAACTAGTTTGATCACGAAATGGTTTTATTTTTCATTTATGCCTACAACGAAGTTAGATTTAAAAAAAAAAAAAACTTAACTGGCTATTTCATAAGTAAGTAAAGCATTTATTTTATGTTTGACTTCGAAATTGTTTACTAGTCATGAAAAAATAGAAAAAATTAATATGATTTCTAACATAAGCATTGTCTTCTTCTTCGTTTTCATCATTATTTGGATTAGTACGACGACATTTATATTTCAATGAATCAGGGATATCTGAATTCATAAGAGAACAATCATTTTCAAATGAAATATCTGTGTTCTTAAATATTAGTGAACTATCTGAAAATCCCATATATGATTTATTGTTATCTGTTGTTGAATTTTCAAATATAATTGTACAACTTTCAAGATAAAAAATTAAAGGAATTTCATTCTCACGAATACAACAATAACTCATGGAAATATTAGAATAACTAAAACAAATCAAAGAGCCACTTGGACTTTTATTTCGTATATAATTACATGAAGTAATTTTAAATGTTGATGAACATGATTCAGAAGATAGGTGAGCATTAAAAATCTTGGATGATTGATTGTTTTCATTGACATTGACACAAGTTATGTATGAATTAAAGGAAATTCCTAATGCATAGCCTCCAACATCCTGCTTGACTCTATTTTGCGTAATATTACATTGACTAATGATAACTAAGCCAGAGCCTATGCCAGCTGTAATTCTGCAGTTTTGTTCTGTACTACCGCAATTGCAAACTACAGTTTCATTAGCATGATTTTTGTAATTTGGTATATCTGAAACAATAATGTAAAATGAAAGGCCTTCGTTAGAATTTGTTGAGTTAATGAATGAGTTTTTGGTTTGAACAAATTCGCCTTTGTCGGAAAAGAAGAGGGAACCTCCTGTTTGTGATCCGGAGGAACATGAATCAAATTTATTAGTTTCGACATATGTTTTAACGTCATCGCTCGTGGAATTAATTCGAACAGCACCGTTTGGACGTAATTCAAGAAAAAAACATTTGGAAACAAGGTACTTTAAGTTGTTGTTTCTTGAAAATAGAGTATTGTCATGAAGATGGTCTTCATCATAACATGATCCTGGGAATACAAATTCCCGGGATATTCTATTATTTTAGCCGCCCAAATTAATATCTATCGTTCAAAAAAGAAAAACTTTGTATTATCCAATTGAAGCGACAAATCCAGATATCCAACTAATTTGCCACGTTGCCAATCCATAACTTTCTAAATCCTCGCGAATTACGCCAGTTGCAAACGTAGATACACAATAGTCTCAAAAAAGAAATTATCAAAAAGCGCAAGTCAGTTAATATACATGACAGATATTCCAAACAACACAGCTGCCACAAATTCAGCAAGATATTTCAAATATTCGCAAATTATTCGAACAAAAATTAAAAAAACACAATTTTATTCTTTATTGCAGCTTTTCAGGTGACCGACTGAAGACAATTATCGAGAAAAGAAGAGATCCAACTGTTTTTCTGCAACATAAGAATCATTATTATATGATCCACCACTTCCATGCGATCTGTTCATATCCTATTTACTTACTCCTACCAATATTGCTATTTTATAGCAAAGTCAAAGCTATTCTGATATATATTCAGGACTTCTCTATGAATTTGATATTCAGAGACTGATTGATGTCCTCAATGCTCACATGTGTCATCAAAAATACTCAAACTACTCGCAAACGCTCTTGAAGCTTATGTTGACCGAAGAAAAAACATAATTCTACAAAATCTTCATGAAAGATACACTTACCGCAAGATTATTTGCAAATTTCGTATTTGCTATCAGAATGGTGAAAATATTTTTGACAATACCAACATCATATCCTGAATTACCAGATATATCACAAGACAACTCCATAAACCCATTCTATTTGCAAGTAGATCACAGCTTAATTGTCTTGAAATCCGGCTCTGATTCCTAAAGAGAAACCGTGACATCCCATTTAGCTTCCTTTAATGCGTTATTTGTTAAATTCTCCAAATCATTTCAAAAGTTCTGTTTATTTCTGCTCCAATTTCCTTGACATCTCTCCACATATGACCATTCACTTGTTAAATACCAGCTGTTTGCCTCTTCTCCCACAACTTTATTTTTGAAGAATTTTGATGCAGATAGACTTACATTCTTCACTTTTATCATTGGTTTTGAATAGGGCCAATCACTAAAATCTTTAATTTTTTGGTTTTTGGCTACAGAAAAGTGAGATTTAAAAAATCATCTCAGAAAAAAAACTTAAGTGACTATTTCACAAGTAAATAAATCATTTATTTTAAGTTTGACTTCGAAATCGTTTACTAGTCATGAACAAATAGAAAAATTTAATATGATTTCTAACATAAGCATTGTCTTCTTCTTCGTTTTCGTCATTTTTTGAATTGGAGCGACGCCATTTATATTTCAATGAATCGAGAATATCTAAATTCAAAAGAGGGCAATCATTTACAAATGAAATATTAGTATTTATAAATATTGGTGAATCACCATCTGATCTATTATTATCTGCTGTTGAATTTTCAAAAGTTATCGTACAATCACGTGCAGAAAAAATATAATAAATTTCATTCTCACGAATACAACAATATTTCATTAAAGTATTAGAATTCTGAGAATAAATCAGATAGCCATTATCATTTTGAACATTATTTCTTTTATAATTACATGAATTAATTTTAATTTCCAATCCATATGGTGAAGTTGCGTGAATAGTAATGGAATTGGATGACTGATTGTTTTCAATGACGTTGACACAAGTTATGTATGAATTAGAGGTAATTTGTTGTACTACATAACCTACTACATATTCTTTTACTATATTTTGTGTAATATTGCATTGACTCATGATTATAAAGTCATTAGTCATGTAAATTGTACACTTGCAACTTTGTTCTGAGCTGCCGCAATTGAAAACTACAGTTTCATTAGCATGATTTTTGTAATTAGGTATTTCTGAAACGACAACGCAAAATGAAGGACCAATTTCTGAATTTGTTGAGTTGATGAATGAATTTTTTGTTTGAACAAATTCGCCTTTGTCAACAAAGAAGAGAGAACCTCCTTCTTGGGATCCTGAGGAACAAGAATCAAATTTATTAGTTTCAACATATGTTTTAACGTCATCATTTGCTGAAGTAATTCGAACAGCACCGTTTGGACTTAATCCAAGAAAAAAACAACAGGATACAAAATAATTTAAGGGTTCTGACCTTAAAAATTCTGTATTGTTGTTACGGTGCTCTTCATTAATCTGCGATCCTGGGAATATAAATTCCCAGGATATAATAGATTTTAGCCGGCCAAATTATAATGTATCGTTTGATAATGAAAACTTTGTATTATCCGGACAAGATTGCGTTGGAATGAGTGAATTCCTTACAAAAATGGTACCGATATTGTGTTTCAATTCTTCCATTTGGATATTTGACTTGAAATGCTTCATCTCAAAAATTGATAATTTGCATTCACATTTAACTCTTTACATGTGAATCATTAATGTTCATACCTACAATTCTAAAAGTGTTATATTTATTTTTTCAAATGCTCAGAAGATTCAACTGAATTTGATATCAATTCAGAGCTTGTTTGATATCCTCAACGACTCAATTGTATCATTAAAAATCCTCAAACTATTCGCAAACGAACTAGGAGCTTCCTCTGACCAAATGACCTTAGAACATTGGGCGAACATCAGCCATTATTATACAAAATATTCCGGAAAGATACTCTTGCAAGACTATTTGCAAATTTGGTATGCGTGGACAGAATGATGAAAACTGCCTCGATCATTTCAACATCATACCCAAAATTACCAGATATATCACAGTCCGACTCCAAGATTCATACAATTTGCAAGTATATCGAGTGTTGTATTCATTGAAAGAATCAATGCATCCAAAATCAAGAAATGTTTTTTCGATCAACTAATATTTCGAAGCATTGCTTAATTGTATTGAAATCTGGCTCTGATTCCTCAAGGAAAACCGTGATGTCCCCATTTAGCTTCCTTTCATACTTTATTTGTTAAATTTTCCAAAAGTTCTGTTTATTTCTCTTCCAATTTCCTTGCAATCTCTCCGCATACGCCCATACAGTTCTCAAATATCAGCTATTCCCATCATCTCCCACAATTACTTGAGAATACTTCGCTTTTGAAGAATGAAGAATCAGATAGATTGGCAAACTTCACTTTTATCATTGTTAACTGTGTTCTTCTATCACTAAACCATTTGAAAACATGACTTCATTCTGGATATTGCACCTAAGAAGCACAAAATTACTTCTTTTCATCGAATTACCTGTTAATTTGATGTATACAAGTCGAATGAGCTTGATAAACTGTTTGAACAGTACATTTCCCACAAAAAAATAATACCAGAGCTTTTTTATATTTGTTGCTAACAAAAATTGATATAAATCTTGAGTATTTTATTGATATAATACAAAACAAGCCAAGTCATCAGTACAGATCTGCAATTGTCTCCAGAATTACAACAACCATCTGTTCAGACAAATATATAGATCATAACTACATGGTGCATTGATCTATGACTTGATATTACTTGTTAATTATCTATATCAATTAGTCCGAGAATAAGCATTAGTTGCATTAAGACATTTATTAAATAAATAAAGATTCGTCAGGGCTCCTTAATTATCTTAAAACATATATCACTGACTTCATAGATGACAAAACAAAGATCCAAATTGTTAATTTATATAGTCATGAACATTAAATTTCAAAAGGCCTAAATGAAAGATTAAACGAGTTTCTGTCCAATCCTACAAAAATATTCAGTGATTCTAAGGGAAAAAAAACTACAGAGTAATTTAAGAATACATTCCAATTTAAATCTTTTGATTTTTTTTTTCATCTAATGCGATGATTGTTAATGAACTCAACCTAGGGCGAAGACAATATATTTCTTCATCAGATCTTTTAAATTGTGAAGACCAAGCAGGACAAACTACCAAAATAAAAATTTCGGTTATTTCAAACATGGTTTGGAAACTGAGAAAATTACACCTTATTTTGGTCATTTGGCATAAACGAGACGAACAATGAAAACTTTTATTGATTACCCAGCTTTTATTGATAATTCAAAGATATTGAAAATCGTGAATTCTAACAAATCAAGAGATGTTCTCAAGTTGCAAATATTAATTTTAAGAAATTAAAAGATGAATTCAATTTTTGGATGGTTCCTCCTGATTCTCGTAACAAAGATGTTTTTGATTACAATGAAAAAAAGTATTCCAAATTTTGTATTCATTATGATATAAAAAGTCAGAAGAAACCAGATAATGTAAAATTCACAGGATCTCAAACAAACTGAGAGCAGTGACTGAAACTATTTATAAGTTTGCTTTATATGATTCTAGAATTAGATATTCCATTTCATCAATTAAAGATAGTTTTACATGATTTCATGGGATCAAACTTCAGTGTTTTGATGCCGAATACTTTAGTTATTGCAACTAAATACAGTCATATAAAGATGATCGATATAAGTGTGACACATCTAAATCAATTTGACGTGCATAAACAATTCCTTTTCGATTTTGAATTGACAAATAACTCTTTGTACTCAATTTCTTTTGAAGATTACGAATTTAACTACTGAAGCACAGGGAATAATATGGTAATTCCTGATGCTTTCATATTGCATATGAGTGAATGTACTTGTTATTTATTGTTAAAAACTTTTATTAGTGTTAAAATGAAAATGTTTATAAATCCAGATCATTTTCTGAGTCATTATCATTTTCTGAATTATTCTCATCCAAATTGCTTACTTTACTTTTTTGATTCTTCTTGAATAGAATAAACCCAACAACAGAAGCTGCTGCAATTACTAATACAGCTCCTACAACGCCTACAGCAATACCAATTGTTTTGCCTTTGTTACTTGATGGTTTTTCTTTAATAATATTATTATCATCATTTGTAGGGCTGATTATTGGGGCATTTGTTGGTCCTTTTGTTGGTGTTTCTAAATTTGGATTCGAATTATCACTTTCATCCTCATCCTTTTTAGTTTCAACTGGCAATGGTATTACATACTTATCTAATTCAGACGACAAAGCAGATTTATATGTGCTATTAGGTGAAAGAATATATGATTTTTCAGTGGAATAGGGATTTTCAATATTAATTGTGAATGTTTCTTCTTCATCACTATTAGGACTTTGAATTCGAATTAACATTGGCTCATCATAAGTATTTTCAGTTGACAATGTAACTTTTGAAGAAAGACTCTCAAATAACTTGGAAACTGTAAGGAAGACATTAAGAGCTGATTCAGAAATTTGGATTTTTGTTCCTCCAAAGGAAAAGAAAACATATAAATATATCGGTTTGTCCTTGTCTATTTTGATCTCGTTTTCTGAAGGATTTTCTTTAGTTGTGAAAGAAATCGTTATTGATCCGAATACAATAATATTTACAGAATCTTCTTGAGGTTTCTTGTATAAATTGACAGTTATAGTCTTTGAAGGATATTTTCCATTATAACTTAGTATTAACTGTCCTCGTTCTGTAAAATCTACATTCAGAATTCCATATTTCAAAAGATCCTTTTCCATTTTGTCAGTTTTTGCAATGGCTAAAACTCCATTGAAATCATCTGAATATATTGAAACTGATGTTCCTTCTTCGATATCAAATACTTTTTTCTCTGATGTCAATCTAACATCAAATTTACCTATATTTGAATACCCAATATCATGATATATAACTTCTATGATTGAATTTGTTGATTGATTTACTAAACTAAACAATCTATGTTCATAAAATAGATGGCAGTTATATTCATCGATTGGCGAATCTTTGTAATAACTGTTAATTGTTAAATTATCAATATTATCTTCTGGATAACTTAGATGTACAAAGGCCTATCTTGTGTTCGTTATTTCATAAATATTTTCGTTATCATAATAACGATAAGCATAATTTCCAATTTTGTCCATAGAATTTAAAGATTTGATTGTGCTATTCAGGGAATTAACGATAATAATATTAGAATTTAAAAATCCCCTAATAAAAGCTGTTAAAAAGTCATTATATTTTTCTGAATAATGATTAACTACAACATTTGCCGTTTCTACTTTTTCCCATAGTGGATAATAGACATAATACAGTTGATTGTGATCACACAATCTTTTTGGATTTCTCTTTATTTTATATGTTTGCTCTCCATAAATTACATTTCGTATTTCCAATGTATTGCCATCTTCTTGTATAAAGTTTTCAGCATCTGGAAAGATAACTAGTCCATAATAAAACGAAATTGTTGCGACACCTGAGTATGGAACATTAATTAAATTATCATAAGGTAAAAATTCTTTGCAAGTAACCATTCCAGATTCTCTAGATCTATCCACTCTTGAAAAATATATATCTGAGAGAGCTTTTGATGAGGAATAAATAAAATTATTGTAATAATACTGATCATCCAATCCGATATAAAAATCTTTTGAATCAGAATATTTGATATCATAATGTTCAAAATCATAGTAAGCGCCATAAGTATCATTAATTTGAGAATTTTTTGGAATAATTGGAACGATTACAATTAAACTATCTTCTTTTTTCTTATTTATATAATATACTTTTGAAAGTGATAAATCAATAAAATCGACGTAACTATTCCTGCTACCAGAAAATGCTTTAACATTTATATTATATTCGCTCTTTGAACTTGAGAATATTGGTGAATTTTTGGAGATTGTTAAGATTTCTTTATAAGCATAAGCATATAATAATTTTTCTCCATTTTCATCATAATATTGATCAGGATCTTCAATTATAATTGGGCCCCCTACAGTCAATAAATCGGTATCATATTTATTATTTAAAGTCTTTGTATCGTATCCTGAAATCTCCAATTTATTGACATCGAAAAGGATATTTTTCTGAATGTTTGTAATAAGTAGTTTATCGACAATTTTACACTGTTCAAGGTAGCTAGTAGAGGCTTTACTTAAATCCAAAAGATGACCTTTAATTTTCCAATATGACGTATGGATATCTGGGAAAAAGTATATCTTATCAATTGATACATAATAATGATCATCATGTCTAGTTCCTGGTTTATACCTGTTTGGATAACTCTCTCCATACACGACATTACTAAATTGATACCCTAATTTGAAAATAGTAATAAATTTACACTTGTAGTCCAAGTTTCTATGATCAAGCGTTATTGTATCAGGAAGTTTAAATAAGATTATATATTGATCTACATCTGTCATGTTAAGCAAATAAAATTCGAAAAATCGAGCTTGTGATGATGCTTTGATGATAATATTGTGTTCTAAGTTCAAATTGTACGCTTCTATTTTTTCATTGTTTTCATCAAAATAGTCTTCATTTTTAGGTATGACAAAAGCTAATTTTGGAATATCTGGTCTTACAATTGTAACTTGTTGGTCTGGAAAAATTAGAATTGAATTATAACCGAGCCTAGGGTTGAAATTATTGAGATTATCTGTAAAATTATACATATTAGAAATTTCATATTTTCTTTCTTTCAATAAACTATAATATGAATTTTTGTTAACTGGTGTGGCAATAATCCAAGACCCAGCAAAGTCTGATGATGGAATGAAAATATATGAAACATTGTTCATTGTATTAGATTCTTCTGAATAATATTGGGAATCAAAATCAACATAAATCGGTTTTGAAGTTCCTTCTTTCTGAAAAGAAAATTGATGAAATATAGCTGTAACTTTTTCATCAAATATTATCAAAGTTTGGTAACGAATCTTGATTGGTCTATCAACTATGTTTCGAATAATTTCATCAATTTTATAAACTTTACCACGATCGAATGAATAGGTTCCTGTTTTGTATCCTTCTGGTTCATCAATTTTGTTTTCAGAAAATTGTTTGAAAATAACGCCATATTCGGAAGAAGATTCAAATGCGCTCTTACGTATTCTGATCCATATATACCTTGAATTTAATATTGTCTTATGGCTAACATCTGAATTTGTGGTTATTTCTTTAAGCTGGCCGTCTTCTTCATAACGTATCGTACAAATCCCCTCATTAATTGCAAAGTATTCAAAATCGCATTTTGTATAAGATAGAAAAATGAAATCGTAGTTTATTGTATACCAGTTTTTGTCTTTTAATTTAATCATGTTTGCTTCAGTCTTTCCTGAAAGAACAACAAATGTTAAATTACTAGATGGTTTTTCGGTATAAAATATATATAAAGTTTTTGTACCAGAAATTGTTCTGACATCTAATGATTTCATATATGTGTACTCCGAATTTAAATTCATAAATTCATTTGGATTCAAAATGCAAACATATTCTGCTACGCTACTAAAATTGATTATGGTTGTACTCTCTGAGATTTGTAGTGTAGACAATCCAGGATCAATTGTAACTTCATTGCTTAAAGAAAGCCAAATGAGAAAGCTTAGCATTGATGAAAAATGAGAATGAAATTTTTGAGACTTTTAAGGGGTTAATTTTTTTTCTAAACTTTTGAGTCGTAAAACAAAATACTATAATAAGCTCACATTTCACAAATTTGTCGAACTTATTTGTTTTTTAAATTGAAACAAACTTCCTCATTTTGTATAGAGTGTAAAATACTGCACGCACAATTTGAATTGCCATTCAGAATTTTTATTCAAAAAAGGCACATTGCTAGTAAATTCTTGAGCAAAATTCATTTTCCATTCAGCATACATAATTGGAAGTGTGATTTTAACAATCTATTTGGAGAATATGACAATTTCCATGCAAAATCTGATAGTATTCCACCAATATATTTCGGTGTCCGGAGTAATTTGGTAAAAAGAGCAGCTAAGAAAGGAATACCTTTATATCATACACTCACTGAAGAAATAAATTACTGTCATATCCGCAAGATTGAGATTTCATCTCAATTTTGCACACAAGATAAGATTCTTGCCGCAAAATTGAATTCAATCCATTACATGAGAAATTTACTTTCATAATATGAACAGGAAATTATAGTATATGTGAACTATTTAGATTAATACTAATTCATGAATAAATTTTTTATTATGAAAATTTCTTTTTTAATACATCGTATATTGGAATACTAGGGCTGTACAAGATTTAAAAAAACATTGCCGGGTTACCGTAGAGGCCTAAAAAAATCGCGCCTCGGCGGCAAGCCGCCTCGGCATTAAGAATGCGCATCTAAATTTTTATATGTCCTTCTTTCTTTTATTTTTCCCTTCCCTTTCTTTTCTTTTTCTTTTTTTTCCCTCCTCTTGCTCTCATTTACCTTTTTTTTCCTTTTCTCATCATTTTTCAAAATTTTAAATTTTATCAAAATTCTTGCCTATAAAAGCAGACTATGGAACCTTTTAATGCCTCTTAATCAATATTATACAGCATAAAGCATATTAAATGAAAGTAATTACGTATAAATTTATTTTATTATCTTATTTATTAATTCTTTAGCATGTATTGTTTAATATTAACTTTTCTGTACATTAAATATGATATCTCCAAAGTATGAATGCCTTGTAACGAAACGAAAACTTAATTTTATGTTGAATATTTGTCACAAACATTAGATTATTAAAATATATGTTGGATATCCCTTAGTATGAGACTTCATGACTCTTGTAGTCTAACGTGAGCTTTGGATTGCAAGCTCTGTGGTTAACGAACATAAATTAATTGTAAAGTTTTCAAAATTTTTCATCGTTTCTATCAGCATCTATTTTTCCTTTAAAATAATATATTTGTATGAATACAATATTTAGTAATTTTTTTATTTCCCATAATTTCATTCAAAATTTCAGAAAAAATTAATTTCTATTCAATATTATTTCAGCTTCAAAACACTTCATTCTTATAGATGTTGATTCACTAAAGTGTGATACTCAATGTCTTATTTCAATGAAAATTGTTCTGCAAATTTATTTCACTTTTGACCTCACTTTTTCCGTAATTCAATTTTTTACTTTTAATATTTTAGATCTTCATAATATCATTTGAAAAATTAACCATATAAAAAAATCAAGTTAACAATTCACTTTTTCCGTAATTCAAAAATCAAAAATATAAATAATATATCTTTTTATCAAATATTATATTATATTCTATGAAAAATGAGGTCCGGAAATTTTGCGGATTCCCGTAACTCAATTTTACGGAAAAAGTGCAGTAAACTATTCAAAATACGGAAAAATTGGTGTAAACTAATGATTTTACGGTAAAATCACGGAAAGTCCCGGAAGAATATATGTGCCTATATGAAATTATACAAAAATGAATCAAACGCATTTTAAAAGATTGTTCTTGTATTATAAATGCTATTCGCAGATTTATTAGTTGAAGAAAATTACCAAATTTTTGCCGATTTACAAAAAATGATTTACAAAGCATATTTTAATAAGGCTTTAAAAATCTTTAAAATGTGACCGGTGACGGAAATCCATGGTAACCAACCGCGGTTCCCGTTTGGAATGCCATATGGAATACTCTATGCATAGAGAAGTAACATTGCTTATTACAATTTAGTAAGGAGCATATTTTAAACATATCATGTCAAAAATGTACATTTTATCATGCTTTATTCATTTTCTGATGAAATATAATGAAACAATTATTGTTTTGGCCGGGTAAGATATCATTATTATAAATTCTATCGAATTTTTACAAAAACGTGATATGAGTCAACGATTAGCTGTATTTGCTTAAAGTTGTTTCAATCCATGCTTCCTATTGATATTTTCGGTAAGATTATGGAAATCTACATATTCAAAACTTATAGTATGATTTTTGTATCGTTATTATCTTATAATGCAAGAATAAAAGATGTTCTTAGTTAAAAATTCCGTTTAATCCGAAAAGAAACCTTAAAAATTGCAATTCTTCAATAATCGTTCGTTTAAAAATGAATCGTTCTCGTACTTCGACTCCAATCAAGAGCCCGAAGAGAGAAGCAAAGCCTATTCAGAATGTTGAAGAGGAATTTTGCAAGAGAACTCTTAATTTAATGACCGCTTTTTACGAGAATTTACCAATTGCAGAAATATTAAACTTCCCTCCTGTAGAGAAAGTTGAAGTTCCTCAGGAAAAGAAATGTCAATTTAATTCTTCAATTGTTGATCTCCGTCTTAAGCGCGCCCAAGAAAACCAGCAAAAACTTATTCGCGAATATAACGAAAAATACGATTCTCATATTAATGAAGTAAAAGAGATGCTTAAGTCATCTACATCAACTTTGGATGATGTTTTCCATTCAGAGCCTGTTGACAGACCACCAAAGCCACTTTATATCATGAATGCAGAGAAAGATAAAGAGGCTGAGAAAGTTATTAAGAGAAGATATATGAAGAGCCTCAATATTCTCAAAATGGAACCGATAATGAAAGAAAGATTACAAGAATCAGAAAAACGTGGAAAGGAGCGTGCAGCTTGGCGTGTTAATAGGATGAGTAAAGTTAATAATGAGACCAAGCATGCAGATCATTCTCCACATCCATGGAAAGGAACTAGTACATTAAAAGAAAGGGAGTTGATCAAATACAAGCCTGATGGTGGCTATCCAGTTACAAAAAATATGAATAAGACCAACAATTCAGTAAATGTTCAATCTGATGAAGAATATTAAATTACACTTGCATTTCACGTTGATACATATCAGAATTATAATGTATTTTGAAAATTATTAAACCTACAAAAATATGAAAATTTTTTTTACTTTATTGTTTATATAATGAAAAATGCAATTCAATAGAACTCCAGATTGTGTATTATATAATTAGTGTCTAGATTTTAAATAGAATGTAAAAGTGTTAAGCTATTCAATCGAATTTTTATAAATCGGTAGCCTCGAAAAATTAACAATTTTATATAAATCTATAAAAATTATGAAGGAAATCAAAATCTTACAATCATCATAGATTTATTATCCCTTAAATCTAATGTTTTCATGCCAAAAAAAATTATCTCTCAAATTTTGGAATAAATTTCATAATTTTTCGAAGTGAATTATTGGTTTTTGAAATTTAGCCAGAAATAAATTGTAAAGTATATATGATAATTAACAATATTTCATCAAAATATCATGTTAATTATTTAGAGTCGTTAAAATTGAAATCCATTTCTTGTTAATTACTTAAACGTCACACATTTTCCATTACTTATAGGAGTAATGAATGTTGAAATTTGATGAAAAACACATTTTTTAACATTTATTATTAAATAACATACATTTTAAACATCAACAGCTTGCGGAATGTTATTCAAAGCTGGATCCGCACCAGCATCGACCATAGCTTGATCCTCTTCACGGAATTTCTCTTCAATCGCCCAATAATTTCTGAAATATGTGTGCTTTGTAATTTCAGTAAATGTAGGTCTCTGTGTTGGATCTTTATTGAGACACTGAGATATCAAATCCTCAACAAATGAATCTACATCAGCATTTTCTGGGAATTGTAATGTTTGTGTTTCTAAATTCTGTGTAACGAGCAAAACCGTATTTGCGACTGGGCATGCATTTGATTGGTCAAGGTTGAAAGGCAGTTTCTTATATACAGCGAGATATAACGATACACCATAAGCCCAAACATCGGCCGGCTTCGGATAAAAAGCTTCTCCACTACACTCCTCGGGTGACAAGAATGCAGGGGAGCCTTTCGTATCTTCTAGCTTTTGATCTGGATCATCTAAAATTGTCGAAACTGAAAAGTCCGAAAGAACATAGAAATCTTTTTGGAAGCACAAGAAGTTTTCGTTTTTGATATCGCGATGTACTATATTCTTCGAATGCAATTCTTCTAAGCCATATGCAATTTGTAAGAAGCAAATACTGATTTCATCTTGATTCATTTGATTCTTGTCAAGTAAAGTTTGCACGCTACCATATTGCGCGAACGGCATAAATATAATTAATGATCGGGTCGCATCATCTTCAATGGCTTCAATTAAAGAAAGAATATAACTGTGATCTATACTCATCATGATCTTAATTTCTTTTTGTACGTCGTCGATTGGCGGTGGTTCTGACCTTAACGTTGGTTTACATAATTGAATTAAGTTGTAAACTTTCGCAGCTATATGTTCTCCTGTTTCTGTATGTACCGCTTCGTACACATGGCTCATTGCGCCACTTCCTATTTCCCTCAGAAAAACGTATTCACAAATTTGTGGTTTCGAAGAACTTTGGAAAAAAGTAGCGAATGAGACATATGATGACGCATTCTCTTGTGAGTTCGATAGTTCTTCACTTACGGGACTAGCTTTTACTTTTTTGCTCGAAGAAGAGCAATTACCCATCCCTGCAAAATAACGATGATTTTATTGAATACTTCTTTTTGAATTTCATTGTCAAAATCTTAGTTTACAATTTTGGCGCGTTATTTTACATGGCAGACACTTTTCTCTACTCTTCCTATATCAATAAATTCATATGCAACTATACTTACATTTACATGTAATCGATTTTTTACAACAATTTGTTCATTTGTCCTCTAAAATTTCGATTTCGATTTGTAATAAGAAATTTTGATACGAAAGAAGAAAGGAAATGCTTTAGCACACCAAAAATAACTTTCTCTCATTTAATTAGTTATAAGAATGATTTTTTTCCCACCAATTAATTTCATTCTTTTGCTAGGCCAACTAAACTTCAGTGAGAAAAAAGCTGTCATTATTTAAGATGATAAGAGAAAGTTATTCTCAAGGTTTCAAATCTTAACATCAATATTACTTAATCATAAGAATGTATCATGAATATAAGTGAAATAAAGATCAATTCTTTGGCAGAAGTCCGAAGTTGCAGATAAATTGGGTAATCAAAACAAATGTTAATTTCCTTGAAATTAATTATTGATCTCAACAACAATCATAAAAGATTCCTTAGTATTTCACATCAAAACATAGAAAATACATTTTCAAAGATCAAATGGTGTTTTTTTGATGTGATTTATCCCAAATGAAATGAACATATACATATATCAATTGTTTTACGATTTCTTTTGACTTAAGACAAATATGTATTTTGAGCTTTGCTTTCGTCACAAAACATTGAGTGATGATGAATTGAATAATATAAATCATATTTTAACTGAGATAATATATGAGAGAAATTGAGGTATGCAGTGAAATTTCACTTTTAAAGGCTTAAGTTATGAACTCTCCCTTGATCCTGGAAAATATTTATTTGAGTGCTGGGGTGCACAAGGGGGAGGCCGTGATAAAAGTGCACTACCAGATTTAGGATATGGAGGAAAAGGAGGATACTCTATTGGAACCATTTTTTTGTATAAAGTTACAAAAATATATGTGTTTGTCGGTGGAACTGGCAAAGTTATTGCTGATGGCTATGCTGAAGGTGGATATAATGGTGGAGGAAGTTCTTGGGGCACCAATGAAAAAACAGATCCTGCGGGCGGGGGTGGAGGTGCGACAGATATCCGCCTCAACTTTGACGACTTGTATTCTAGAGTGATTGTAGCTGGAGGAGGTGGTGGAGGTGGCGAAGATAATGGCATAGGTGGATTTGGCGGTGGTTTAGAAGGCTGGAAAAATTCTATTAATTATAAATCTTATCCTGGCACCCAAACTTCATCGTCACACGGAGCAAAATTTGGAAAGGGAGCCCATACTTCCTATAACGGAGGTGGAGGCGGAGGAGGCTGGTATGGCGGCGGTGTTAATAATGGCCGAGATACCCCTTACGATACAGGTGATACTGTTTTAGATACCCAAGGGGGTTCAGGCGGTAGCGGTTATGTTTACACCAGTGACACTTTTAGATATTATCCTCCAGGCGGTAGGCTTAACTATTCATATTTTCTCGAAGACACTAAAACAATAGGAGGAAATGAATCTATTATCGAACCAAATGGAACTTCCTCTATCGGCCACTTTGGTGATGGATATGCTCGAATCACAACGTTAGCTTTTAAATACCAAAACATTTTTTATAGCATTCATACCGAATCAGAATTATCTGTTTTGCTGAAAGATCAAGAATGCAATTCTTCTATAGACATACCTTCTTATATTGATAATAAAGCAGTGACATCGATTCTCCCAGGAGCCTTTCATGGAAATATTTGCTTGAGAGAGGTGAGAATCCCCAAAACAATCGAATGGATTGGAGACAATGCATTTTCAGATGCTGTGAATCTCAAAGACGTAATTTTCGAGCGAAGTAGTCGTTGCAAATCTCTTGGTGTGTCTGCCTTTTCATCCACAGCAATTGAGACTATTTCGATACCTTCTTCTGTAATTTCTGTAGGTGAAAAATGCTTCATGAATACACTAATCAAAACTGCCTTCTTCGATATAAATAGCATGTGCAAGAATATATCTGAAAAGTCGTTCTTCAACACCAGCTTGACTTCTATTTCTCTGCCTACTTCTATTGCCTTTATAGGTAACTATGCTTTCGCAAATTGCACATCATTGAAGTTTGTTTCATATTGCTCAAGTGCTTACCAGGAAAATAGGAATATTTTCGATAAATCTGATTTACTCTTGAATGTTTCTGTTGCTAATTATTATCTTCATTCTTCGTTTTGCGGTCTTCCTGCTTTGAATTATGGAAATTGCAAATTTGGAACTGTCCCCAAGTGCCCGCTCTGCTTATACAAGACACAACAAAGTGTATATGTATACTTGTGCATTTTGTTTGAATAAAGTATCATAATTTGATTTAAAATTCTATTTGAAAGATTAAATCCACTCCTCATTTATGGAGAAACTTTGTTTGATTGACCATCTTACAGTCAAATATCTACTCTGCAATCAACCCTCCAAAAATCTCAAAAAAAATGAAGAATTTATAAACTGAAAAAAAAATTTCGATTGAGATGTCGCTTAGAGCCTCACCAGCGGCATCATCAGCTCGAACAATGACACCAACACTTAAACAATACAAATTAGAAGACGCGGAAGATTCGCAATCTGATGAATCAGAAATAGAAGTTTGCGTAGATACAATTTTCGTTCCTGATACTGAAGATTTGTGCTGCCAAATGCTTCAGTCAAAGTATCTCAAACAGAAATACATGGGTTTATGGAAAATTAAGCTCGCATCACGCTCTACACCTGTTTTTGATAAAGATGAGTTCGAATCAATCAAAGAACAATCAAATAGAAACGCTAGTGTTCAACAAAGACACCAGAGACATAAATTCTTATCACAATACTCAAATATTGCCCGCATTTCCTTAGATAAATTATTATTATCAAGATTATTCTCGAGATGGCTTTCAAGATTTGAACAAATTCGTATTAAAAAGATTCAAGAAGGATTTGCCGAGACATTCAGCCAACGTCGCATGAAAGAAAAGGCACTTCATAAGCTTAGAACTTCATTTATGCGAACTGTTGATAATGCTTATGATGAAGCATCACGAGATGCATCACAAGTACAACCAAACAACAGAATCAAGGAATTAATTGCCGAATTAGATAGAACTACGAAAGAAAATATAGATTTACAAAATGAAATAGATGTTAAAACAGAAAGACTCAAAGAACTTCAGTCTCAACTCCAGGATATTACTGATGATGACAGAGAGGCTGAAAAGCGTTTACAACAGGTTCAATCCCAAACTGATTCAATTCAGGCTTCATTAGTCGAAACAGAGCGAAAATACCAAGAAGAAATTGCTACATTGAGGACCCAGCTTTCTCTTGTCAAAGCTGGCAACAATGAAGAACTTGAAAGAATTAAACAAGAAGTTGACCAACAAAATGCCGATAGAATGGCTGCATCAGCATTTGTTGATGCTGCAATGGCATCCGCACAAGCTGAGTTTGAAGAACAATCAGAAAAATTGAAAGCTGCAGAAAATATCGTTAAAAATTTCCAAGAACTCTTACAAGCTGCTAAAGATAGAGCAGACAAGTTAGAGCAGAGCCGTAAGAAGATGGCAGCTGACCTCGAAAGCCTGAAAATCAGAAAGAAACATTTAGAAGTTTCTAAAGCTTCTTCTTTGAACCTTGCACAAGAGAAGGAAGACAGAATTAAGGAAAGACTATCAAAGGCCAAGGAAGACCTCACAATTGCAATGAATAAAGTTGAAGTTCAAAATGAACAGATCCAAAGCCAGAGAGATGAAATTAGAATGCTTCAGGATCAGATCCAGAAGACAAAGGCACAAACGGAACAGCTCAGAATGAAGTTTATTGGTAATTAAATATTTTTGTTTTAAGTAATATGTTTTTATTATTTGCAAATCTGTTATTTTAATACATATAAAAATAATTTGCATGCATAGAATATTTTATGGGAACAGTGTCTGCTTAACGCCTTCATTGATGATTTTTGTGAATTGTTCAAGGTCAAATGGTCCTTGTTCTTCACCAATAACCTTTGGAATAACATCTCTACTAGTGCCAAAGTTTGCAAGTGCACCTTGCATCTGCTCTAAAGTAACTTTTCCTTTATTGAACGGATCCAATTTAGTAAACATAGCACGAATATCATCATTTGTAAAGCAGACTAATACATCACCACCATTATCGCGAGCTTCCTTTAATTGCTTGATAACTTTAATTAAAAACTCTACTGGATCGTCTGGTTTTGCATGTGCTACAGCTGTTGTTAATGCTTGTGAAAGTTGAATAAGGTGATTGTCTTCAATATATTTACGTGCGCTCTCTTCGTTATGTGTCATTTAGGAATAAACGTTATTGAATTCAATTTACAAAAAAACGGTTATTATTTTCCAATCTTTCATCATTTCCTAGTGAAACATTAAGCTAATAAGAGAAAAATACAATATGTTCTTGTACTATATGAACTAAAGTGTATGTTTTATTAGTTTAGAATTAAATATATCATAAAGGGAATGAATTCGAATTAATATTTTCAAAAAATGATAGCAAACAGAACATCTTTTCTTTAAAAATATATAGTATAGAATGAAATAAATATAATGCCCATAGATATACCAAACAAAATCTATCAATTTTTGCATTATATGCTTGAATTTCTTGTTTATTTATATATTTTACAGAAAGTTTAAAGGAAGCCAAAAGCACATGAAAGTTAGGTATAACACCAATAAAATAAGTAAGTTTTTATAAAATAATTATATTCATTTTCCTTCGTAAAGCTTCCCAATCGTTTTTCTGACTCAGTATTGAGTGAGCCTCTTTCAAAATTTCGAATAAGAGGATTTACAAAGGAAAATGAGTTTAATATTTGATTTTGCAAATACGATATTTTTTTAAAGAATCATATTTCTATTTATTGTTTGTTAGTTGCATAAATAGTCGTATTAGTTAATAAAAACTAAATTAAAAATAATTTTTATTTTGATGCTTAGTGGTGCATGCAGCAAGGGCAGCCGCAGAGTGGCATCATCTTTGGTCTTGAGTCAGCAGTGAGTGAGCAGTGCGAATCCTCGATGTTGTGCTGTCCGCAGTCGCAAACTCCTTCGATTTTTCCAAGTCTGACTAATCTGTGTGAATAATGGCACATCATAGCGCATGCAAGACACATCTTCTGTCCCTCTTTGAACTTGCATGTTTCACATGAAAACATCTCTTGTTCTAAAGGTTTGTTTCCGTATTTGTAGAATGTGCAAGCGTTAATTTCATCTTCAACACGTGGGATGTATTTGCAGGCAACTCCTGGAGCTGCTTGGCCTCCACAGCAGCATCTGGCCCATGCCTTGCCACAAGAAACAATTTTGTGTCCTGAATGGCAGATTCTTGCGCATCCGGCACACATCCTTGTTTTCGGACCATATCCGCATGTAAGGCAACGGAATAACTCCTGCTCGATCTCTTCAGGTCCGTTTTCGCCGTATGTGCATTCGAATTTGTCTTTCATATCTTTAAGTTTGCATTCTCCGACTTTTGGACAATCACAAAAGCCAGGTGAGTTGATCATGACGAGTTCATGACCAGCGTGGCACTGATCGGCGCAGGCTTTGCAGATGCATTGGCCTTCTTCGAATTTGCAGGTCTTGCAAAGGAATAAAGGCTGTAAGTATGGAAGATCTCCAGCAATCTCTAATGTGCAACGATCTGTAAGAGATCCAGTCAAAACAAAGATGGAACAGATCAAAGGATTCTCTGGCTTAAGATTTACGATTGTAAATTCTGTTGCTGAGCCGTTGTACTCAATGCATTCAAGAGATCCTTCAGTTGGAAATTCATAAGTGTTCTTATAAACTTCAGTTTCGTTGTTCTTGATTGTTACCTCGCAATTATGGATGTACTCGCCTTCAAGTTTCATGACAATCTGGGTTATGAAAGCATTTGCTGGTAACTTGAACTTTAAGTTATCTCCTCTTGGCCAAACTTTTGAATCTGGGACTAACTGTGGTTTCATGAAGTACTCTGGATTTGTGGAGCCTTCAACATCAAGGAGTGGCTGTAAGATTGTTGGATAAAATGAAGGAACGCAGTCACAGCAATCGCAATGTTCGTCTCCGCAGCCACAGCCGCATTCATGATCATGGCAATGGCATTCGTGCTCATGACATTCGCATTTTTCGTCATGGCAATGGCATTCGTGCTCGTGTTCGTGGCATTCGTGTCCATGGCAGTGACATTCGTGCTCGTGGCAATGGCATTCACCTTCATGGCATTCGCACTTGTTGTCGTGACAATGGCATTCACCGTTTCCTTTGCAACATTCGTGATGGCAGTGCTCTTCACTCATATTTCTTCTCAAATTCGTGGAGAACTTTTCATCGTCTTCACTTCATTCAGAGGTATTCAATTTGATTATTTATGGATGAATTAGAGGACTGCTAGGCATTATCTACTGAACTCAAATACCGATAAAAATGGCCAAATAAACGCATGATGGGTCATAAATTTATCTGAAATTTCCCAAAACAACATTCAAACGATATCTACCGAGGTCTTTCCCTAAACTACGTAATACAAAATATGCGTGAGATATTAATACGATTCTATATTTATCCCTTTTCCAGAAATATAACATTTCTCCATGAATCAGATTTTATAGAGTCAAAGTATGAGTTTAAGAATCTACGTACTACATATAGCTTAAATGAATCAAGAATTTATCAATCGATAGCAATTTCGAATCAATTGAAACTAATTTATAACCAATTCGACATGAAACACACAAAAACGCCATAAAGTATCTTATAGAAAAGATTCATACGTCTTATATATGCATTTTTATTAGTCGATATTAATCCACACGTTTTCGATTCAAATAAATTCTATATAAGAAGCAGTAAAAAGTACTACTTATACTTTCAGTGCATTGAAAATGGGTCAATATTAGATTTAATTTCGAGATTGTTTACTAATCATGAATAAACAGAAAAATTTAACATAATTTTTAGGATAAAAGTGCTTTTTACCTTCTATGTTTTTGTCATTAGTAGAATACCTAGATTTATATCTTAATGAATCGAGGATATCTAAGTTCAAAAGAGGACATTTGTTTTCAAGTGGAATACCAGTGTTCTTAAATACTAGTGAATTAATATCATTTCCTGTAACTGATGTATCGCTATCTGTTGTTGAATTTACAAATTCTATTGTACATTCATTTGCTGCAAAAATGTAAGGAATTTCATTCTCACTAATACAGCAATTACTCATATAAGTATTAGAATGCCAAGCATATATCAGACAACTTTGTTCTAGACCTTTATTTTTAATATAATTACATGAAGTAACTTTAAATGTTGATGCATATGATTCAGAAGTTGAGTGGAAATGAAGGTCATCATATGATTGATTATTTTCAATGATATTGACACAAGTTATGTATGAATTAGAGGTAAAATCATCTAATGAATAACCGCCTGTGTCTTGTTTGACTTTATTTTGTGAAACATTGCATTGGTTCATGATTATAAAGCCAGAAGCCATGGCAATAGTAATTCGGCAGTTTTGTTCAGAACTGCCGCAGTTATAAACTACAGTTTCATTAGCATAATTTTTGTAATTGGGCATTTCTGAAACAAACACGCCAAATGAAGGGCCAATGTCTGAATTTGTTGAGTTAATAAATGAATTCTTTGTTTGAACAAATTCGCCCTGGTATGAAAAGAAGAGAGAACCACCTGATAGTGATCCGGAGGAACATGAATCAAATTTGTTAGTTTCAACATATGTTTTAACTTCGTCATTCGTTGAATTAATTCGAACAGCACCGTTTGGACTTAATCCAAGAAAAAAACAACTGGAAACAAAATAATTTAGGTTTGCCGACCTTAAAAATTCTGTACAGTTGTTACGGTGCTCTTCATTAATATTAGATCCTGGGAATACAGATTCCCATGATATTCTAAATTTAGCCGGCCAAATTACTACGTATCGTTTTATATCTTTCACATTTGAATGTTTGAATGAGTATCGAATACCCAAAATAGATTTAATTTATATTAACCGAGAATATTTATTAATCAATGAGAGAGTTATATAATCGCATTATTGTCTTTATACGACATGGAACCAATAAAGCTTTCCATCTTTAGCCTTAGCTGTAACAACCTGGGCAGGGATCATCGCTGGGACGTAAGGAGCATTGAAGACCAAGTCAATGATCTCATTCTTGTCCGTGTCAGTGATGATGAACATGATGTTTCTAGAGTTGTTGATGATCTTCCTTCCGAATGTGACTCTGAACATCTTAACGTGAGGAACGAAGACACCGATGACGAGGCTTTCCTTATCCTGGATTGCTGGTGAACCTGGGAAGAGGGAAGCTGTGTGTCCTTCCTTACCCATTCCAAGCAAGCAGATATCGAATGATGGTATCTCTGTTCCAAAGTGTTTGATGATCTCGTCGGAGTATTCCTTAGCTGCATCTTCAGCGTTGATTTCGCCTCTGATTCTGTGGATGTTCTCTTCTGGAATCTTGATGAATCTGAGAAGAGATTCGTTGATCATGTGGTAGTTCGAGAGGTTATGCTCTGGTGGAACACAGCGCTCATCAACAAACCAGATGTGGACTTTGCTGAAATCAATTCTGGCAGCGTATGGTGTTGTAGAGAGTAATGAGTAAATTGGCTTTGGTGTTTGACCTCCTGAAAGAGCGATGTTGCAGATTCCTCTCTCAGAAATAGCCTCTGTAATAAGACGAGTGATTTGTTCTGTGACTGAATGAATTAATTCTGATGGTGTTCTGAAAACAACTCTCTGTGCGAGGTTCTTCTTGTTTCTCTTGATCATGCCGACACCAATATCGAGTTTCTTGGCGTAAGGAATGATCTCTGGGTACTTGTCTTTGAGAAGTGGATCGACAATCTTCCAGCATTCTTCGATTTCATCGGAACGTGGGAAGAAGGATTGATCTCCGTGGATGGCATCGAGGATAACACGTTCGTAGGCACCTGCCAAAGCATTGTCTCCGAACTTGTCCTTGTAATAGAAGGATAATGGGATGACATCTGTTCTCAAGCCGATACCTGGGACCTTGACGTGCTGCTTGAGGATGATACCTTCCTTTGGCTGGACCTTGATCTCCAAGTAGTTAGGTTTGTTGATTGTCGAATCACCGAATAAGGCATGAGGAATGTCTCTGAAGACTAACTTGATGGAAGACCTCTTCTCCTTGAGAGCCTTGCCTGAGCAGATGTAGAATGGGACACCCTGCCATCTCCAGTTGTCAATGAAGAATCTGATGAAGGCAAATGTTGGTGTTGTAGCATCTTCTGGGACACCTTCGTGCTCTCTGTAGCCAATATATTGACCAAGGACGACGTCATCCTTCTGAACAGCTCTGATGGCTCTGAGAACCTTTAATTTCTCATCTCTGATGGCCTTGGCGTTCATTTCGGATGGTGGCTCCATAGCAACAATGGAAAGCATCTGAAGAAGGTGGTTCTGGATCATATCTCTGATAACGGAAACGCCTTCGTAATATCCGATACGATTCTCGACACCAACTGCTTCAGCGACAGTGATTTCGACATGGGAGATATAGTTTCTGTTCCAAAGTGGTTCCCAGATGGTGTTTCCCCAACGGAATGTGAAAATGTTCATAACAGTTTCTTTAGCGAGATAGTGATCAATTCGATAAAGATCTTCTTCGGAGAACTTGCTATGAAGTGAATCGTTGAGTTCAAGAGCTGTCTTGTAGGATGTGCCGAAAGGCTTTTCGATAATGATTCTAATCCAGCGCTGAGCGTTTGATGTGAGGCCGTTGCTCTTAAGGTTATCGGAGATAACATGGAAAAGAGAAGGAGGTGTGGCGAAATAAACGATGACGCCTTCGAATTGGTTCTCATCGATCAATTTCTTAAGGGCTTGGTAAGTATTGGGGTCATCGTAGCCACCAGAGATATATCTGATCTTCTTTAAGAACTCATCTGGGACTGTGCATGGTGTTTCGCTGTTTTCATCATCACATCCCTGGTGGAGACGTGAGAATTGAATAACAGATTTCTTAATTTTAGCATGGAGTTCTTCATCAGTGAATTTTGACCTAGCAACGCCGATGATCATTGTTCCTTCGTGGAAAGGATCGTACAATGAGATTGATTCAAGTGAAGGAATAAGCATTCTCATTGAGAGATCACCTGAGGCACCAAAGATGACTGCTGCTATCTTCTTATTTTTCAAAGGTTCGTAAAAGGTAGAAGTCATTGTGAAAAAATGATCTGGACAAATAAAATTCAAAAATTGAATACTCTCTCAAAAATATAGACAAATTTTATACACAAATCTGATATCAATCATAGAATATATTTTTCTTGCTAATTATTTTGATTGTGGATAAAATCATTGATTTTTATTTCAATAGGAGCATTCAATTCCGAAAGTTTTGATGGTCGGAGATAAAATTATTCTGATTTATGTTCATTTGCAAATTTCTCTATTAATTTGTCAAAAATAAAATTTAAAGATAAAATCAGGATGAGTAGGGGTAATTTTAGCTAAAAGTGACACACCTGTAAAAAGTGACACACCCGTGAAGGGTGTGATTACCGATCGGTAATTTCGACAGTTTAGAATTTAAAATTTTTTATGGAACTGTTGCGAGTTTCATAAAGAATTTAAGGAATATAAGCAAAGATTTGAATCAAAATCTTAGACCTAAGCCGCTCGATTCGCTCGCGGCTTTCTTTATTATTTTAAATTTGCATATTTCCATCAAAAGTTCATAAGGTAAAAAATTTCGTTTATATTATTGCAAAATAAAATCTTCATTATCAAAATAATATTAAATGATAATATAATATAATTTATAAACAACTATTATTTAATAAAGTTTAATTGCCAAGGTTCATCTAATTTTTTGATTTTTAATGTTTTATGAATTTTATTTATCATGTATATATCTAATGAAGATTATATATGTAGAAGATAAGTACCTTAATATGTACGTAAAAATTAATGAAATTTATTTTGAATGTCGAACCGAGCAATTTTCGAGTGCGGGACAAATTTGCCAAGTGTCACTTTTCAATAACCTTAAATTACGCTTTTCTATTTTTAAAAAATAACCTTAAATTATATTTGAAGAAATTATGTCTATGATATATGTTTTATGCTAGAATCTTGGAGTTTTCATGCACTACACAAGAGCTCCAAGGTTCCAAGAGTGAATGCTCAATAGCAATTATAGAGATGTACCTTTTCAAAATGACTTTTACTGATTAAATTTAATCAATAGAAGACATTTTGAAAAGGTACCTCTACAATTAGATATACAAGAGATTCAAAGCTTCATTTCAGATAGATTTGAAACTTTGAAACTCTTGGTAGATTTTGAGTGAATGCTGACAATCATCTTTGAGAAGGTTTTCTTAAAGAAAACCTTCTCAAAGAGGTTTCTCAGGAGCCCTGAGGCTCCCTTTCGTAATGATTGGGGGCCTTGGGGCTCCTGCAGCAGAGTATCGCTCCGCTCCATTAATTTTTTTTAAAAAAAAGTGCCGTGTGGCAAATTTGTCCTGTTCCCGCAATTTTCAAATTTTGTGCTTTTTTTGAATTTTCTCGATACCAGATAAGTTGTGTTGGCTAAATAATATATGGATACAATGTGTCTTATAGATGAATATATGCACAAAGTTTAAGAGGCCATTTTCTTTCAGAAACCGAGATTTGTGAATTTTTTCAAATTTTGTGCTTTTTTTGATATTGAAATTTCATTTCATTTTTTTGATGCATATCGATGCACCATGCGAACTTAAAGAAAGGCTATCTTATATAGATGCTATGAAAGCGGTCATTGATAACGAATGCCATGCAGGTTGTCCATATCAATTAAAAAAAAATCCAAATTTAGGGGGAACAAAATTAAAATTCAGGTGCAGTGCAGATAAATGTGAAGCATGTATCTCATTTCTAAAGGATGATGAAGAATATATCCTAACAGAATATAATGGAACACATAATCACAATCAAATCAAAGATGAGACAAAGAAATACCACACATTATCACAATGCTATCGTCGGGTACTTATTAATTTTATAAAACAGGGGGTGATCCGAAAATGGCTCAAATTGAATGCGACAAAAAACTTGATCTGGATGATCCACTTAACAGGCCATCTTTTTTGAATGCATCTTCAGATCAAATGAAAACAATTCAGGAAAAAGGAAATAAAAAGATCAAAGGTATTCAAAAGTACGATGATAATCAATTCAAGTCAACTCAATTATTTAAGGGTATCAAAGAACAAGAGTCACCAAAAGATTTAATTTATTTCGATGTCGATAATTACAACAAACCAAAGAAATTAATCTTTTATTATGCTTCTTTCAAATTTCTGGACATAATCAAAATTGTGAAAGAGCATTTTATTGATGCAACCCATTCATTACTTGAATTTAAAATGTTGTTTTACATGATATCAGCCAAATTTCCAAATACACATGCATTCCCAATTTTTCAATTTGTCGTTTATCCAAACACTTCAGAAAATATTGCATTCTGTCTCAAGGCATTTTTTAACTGGGCAAAAGTAAAACCAAAATATTTTATGTCAGATTGTGCACAAGAAATCGAAAATGCGATTATCAACTCTTTTCCAGAAGTTATCCTTCATTGGTGAGCAGTTCATGTAATGAGGGCGTTCAGAAAAAATTTGAAAGATTATGCATTTGAGAGTTCAGACAAATTGATATTAGATACAAAAATGAACTATCTTGCATACGGCAGAAATGGCAAGAAAGAATGGATTGAACCAACGTTCAAAAAATTCTGGAAATAGCCGAAAAATTCCCAGAATTTTCAAAATACATACAAAACCAATGGATATCAAACCAAGAAAGATGGACAGCCGCTGAAAGAGATGAAAATTTAGCTCTCACAAATAACATTTCAGAATCGATTAACAAAAAAATTAAATATTACTACTTTGGCGGAACAATTTTCATGAGATTTGATCGATTTGTGATGAAATTAATCGATTTTATCGTTCCATCATTTTATTACAGAATTTCTCAAGATATAAGGCTCAGAGACAAAATTCCAAATCCGTTGCCATCTGAAAAAAAGCCAAAAAAGTCTACAATCAGACTGGATACAGAAAAATGTATAATGCTCACTGATAAAATTAAATCGTTAATAGTTAACTCATCAGCAAACTTAAATACGCTTCAATTGGGTTTAGATGACCTACTTGATAAAGTTGTCAAGGCAGCAAAGGTTCAAAAACGAATGACCCAGTATTTTTCGAAATTAAGTATCCCAATGGAAATCAAGCTTAGTATTCTCACGCAAATTACAGAATTTGGATGCAATACCCCTCAATTCATTGTTGAGAATGCCAAGTCTTTTCAAGATAAAATTATTACAGATTTCCACCTTCAAATTTATACAACATTATAAAAATTTATGAATAAAAACTTGATATAAAATAACATTTTTATTTTTACTAAGAAAAAAAAAGGTTTTTGATAATAAATTTATTTTATTTCGAAAAAGTAGCAATAATCGTAAAAGGGTATTGATAGGCTTGCTAAAGTAACTAATTTTAGCTGTCAAATACTTTTGTATTTTGAAGTAAATTAGTATAAATTTGTTTTTACTTTTATTTCGAAAAAGTAGCAATAATCGTAAAAGGGTATTGATAGGCTTGCTAAAGTAACTAATTTTAGCTGTCAAATACTTTTGTATTTTGAAGTAAATTAGTATAAATTTGTTTTTACTTTATTTCGAAAAAGTAACAATAATCGTAAAAGGGTATTGATAGGCTTGCTAAAGTAACTAATTTTAGCTGTCAAATACTTTTGTATTTTGAAGTAAATTAGTATAAATTTGATATTATTTTAACTCCCTTTGAAAACCTCAATTTTCCATACAGAGGGAACGGGAATAGCATCCAATATTCCCTGAGAATGGTTGCGCATTCTCAGTTCCCTCTATATTTCGAACGAAGCTCTCATCGGTCTTTTTTTTAATACTAAACGTTTTTTTTTCCTGTCACTTTTAGCTAAAATTTGGGTTTGCCGATAACTTTTGTCTCAGAATGGAACATTTTTATAAATACTTCCCCTATCGTGAACATTACATGAAAGAACACATTATCTACATGCAATATGTCATAATCATGGTAGAAATTGATGTCCAGCCATATGAAAAAAGTGAAAAATGAAGTATCGCTCCTGTAAAATTCTTACAAAAATTTTTGCTATCAAACTTTTTACAAAACTCACAATTAGTACAGCATATATAGAAAAAAATCTTCAGTAGCCATTATTTTGAGATAAAAATTTGAAAGGAGAACGAGAATTTAGCTTTCAAAAATATTGAAAGCGCCTGTGATGACATCACATTCAACAATGAATTTAGGTGTTCTCGGTACTGGCTGGATTACAGAGCGTTTCATCGATGCTGCACGCCATGACAAGCGCTATAACATCGTTGCCGTCTGCTCAAGATCAATGGAATCCGCTAAAAAGTTTGCTGAAAAGAATGGAATTCCGAATACCTTCGATAATCTCGATGCTATGCTCGATTCCGGACTCATCAACTGCATGTACGTCGGAACACCAAACTCAACTCACCGCGATAACTCAATCAAGGCCCTTGACAAGAAGATTCACGTTATTTGCGAGAAACCACTCGCAGCTAATGCTCAACAAGCCGAAGAAATGATCAAGAAGGCTGAAGAGAAGGGTGTTGTCTTAATGGAAGCCATGCGTCTTACTCCAAGCCCAGTTTTCCAGGCTGCCAAGCAAAATCTCTCCAGAGTTGCTCCAGTTCACAAGTATGTTGCTAACTTCTGCCAACTCTCATCCAAACTTACAAGATTCCATGCAGGAGAACACTTCAGTGCCCTTTCTCCAGAAACTGCAGGCGGATCTATCATGGATCTTGGCGTTTACTGCGTTTATCCAATGATCTCATTATTCGGTGCACCAACAAAGGTCATTGCTTCAGGTTCTCTCCTTCCAACAGGAGTTGATGGTGAAGCATCAATTATCTGCCAATACCCAGACATGACAGCAGTCATAATGTGCGCTAAGACATGCCAGACATTCCAATGCAGCGAAATCATGGGTGAACAAGGCACAATCGAAATTGATCAGATGGCAACAATGAGAGAAACTCGTTTTGTTGCACCAAAGGGACAAAAGGAAGTTCTCCGTACAAGCGATTACGAAAACGACATGGTTTACGAGTGCATTGAATTTGCTGATGTTGTTCTTGGCGGAAAGAAGGAATCTGAGATCAACTCTCACTTCTGCTCCCTCGAAACAATGAAGGTTCTTGATGAGGCCAGAAGACAACTTGGCATCAAAGTTTAAACAATATTCTTTTATTTTATGTATAACTAAATGTATTACACAGTTTTTGCCATCATTTAACTATATAATTTGTGCATTCTTCTCATTATCCATACTCTTTTTGATCAAATACCTAAATTCTCCATTTTTTATGATAATACTAGGCGAACATCCCTTAAAATCTGTATATCATATGATGAAGCAGCATACATATGATAACACTAGATACTTTTGTGTTGATTTTCCGGATGTTTTCAAATGATAATAAATTTGATAGGGTCGAACACTAAACCATCCCCATTTTTATAATAGATGGAAATTCGTCAGCGCAGTCAGAAACGAATTAATGCAGCATCACATCAGATTTTGTTTAGAGCATGCGCAGATGGCGTTACGAGACTTGATCCAGTTTCTGAAGACAATTTTTCATTTGATGTTTGCTGCCAGCAGTGTAACACCTTGTATCCAAATCAAAAACTAAGTAAAGAAACGAAAGAAAACAAAGAAATTAACGAATTTGTGAACTTTTACCTTAAATGCGAAAAATGTCAACATAATCTTCGGATAGAAGTCCTTCGTAATTACCTTCATTCAACTGCAGGAATCTCAAATAATTGGGAACCACTTTATAACGTTGACTGTCGTGAATGTTTTATAGATATTGTTCACTGTGATGCATGGACTATAACATCAACAAGTGGAAAGAAATACGAATGGGATGGGCAAAAAGATTTCTTTGATTACGATGATGAAGCAGCTCATCCTGTCGGAATAACGGATATTGATTTTTATGTTCGACCCCTCGATTAAATATAGATAGATGCTTGCCTCAGCAAACAAATACAAAAATATATTTTTAATGTAATATTCGATTTGTTATGATTTTTAAATTTGTAAATTTTTTTGTTAATAACTGCCATCTTCAAAACGTATTGAGGAATTAATAAGAAGATCCCTCATTACTAATTTAACCACCCCTTAACATGGAAAGAATAATCAAAAATAATAAAATGAGAAGCTAAATTGACGGCAAAAGCTGCTAAATTTATCACTCTCATATGTTTTTAATTATATTTGATCCAAGTTATTCTGGGAAAAAGGGGATAATATGAATAATCAGCTCTGAATCAACATAGTATTTAAATATCTATCTGCATATGCAGATGATTGTTTCACAAGTATATAAATGAATGCAATCAATGTTTTATGAGCTCAACAAAAGAGAAGCTATTTGACTCTTACGGACATGAATATACCTTACAAAGAATAAAAAACTTATAATGTTTAAATATGTTGTTTACATAGAGAAATTTAAAATATAAAATATAAATAAAAATAAATTTAATCACATTGTAATCTAGAAAGAGTGAAGAGAGAGTTCTGTGCTCTGTTGTACAAATCACCAAAATCAGACATTTGATCAGCAGCTGACTGCAAGTAGTTCTGGATATCAGCAGATTTGATCATATCTTTGATGTCGTTTTGAACAACAATGTTCATGAGAAGTTCAACAGAACTGACGATGATTTCTGGATACTGCATCTCTTCTGTTGCAAGAACTTCGCACAAGTTCTTAACCAAAATAGTATAAAATGTTTTCATGGAATTAACATCGACGTATGCAAACAATCTGATTGCTCTGTAAACTAAGTTTGGACGCTGTATTGGAGAAATCATAGGAAGTATGAATGACTGCAAATCATGTGGTTGAATAGCAGCTGGAAGTTTCTCAAGTAATCTTGCAAGTGTGATCAAGATTCTCTCTGCTTTTCGTGATGAACCAATGAGATCTTGCAACAAACAGCTGATGATCAACGAAATCTGTGGAATTTCAACACCTTGACTTGCAACGTTGCACAAAATAACCATGCATGTAGGAATATCTGTACACATTGGACTAAGGAATAACTGTGTAAAGATAGACATGATTCCTGTTTCAGAGATAATTTTACAACCTTCAGGATGAGAACTTAATGCGCCGAAAAGACGAAGCGCAAGACCATTGAGTTGTTGGTCATTCATCGTTGTAACAAGAAGCTTGATAACACCATCAGTTATTGAAGGATCTTTAAGAAATTCAGGATGTAAGAAAAGTGAAGTGAAGATCTGCAAACGACGAGCTGTGTGTGAAGGAAGAGACAAAAGAGCTGAAATTAATGGATGCGTTGACAATTTAAGAGGAACATTTTCAACCATTGTCAAACGATATAAAACAATCAACGCATTCTCAATGTTCATGCGATCAGTGATCAATTTCTCGATGTGATCGAATATCAATGGATCTGTTGCAACTTTCTCGATATCAGCATTTGTACATTTCTTCAAAACTTCAACGATGACGTCCGTTGAATCTTGAATTGATGTAGAACGGATGAATGCTGTTAAGATATTCGCTGCTTTCTTAGGAGAAACTTTAGCTGCAACTAACTGTCGGAATTCCGTAGGAATGCTGTATTTGCTCTCAAGCAATGAAATGAAACGACTCTTCTTCTTGAATTCATCGAGAATTCCAGGAACAATGTGAACAATGCTGTCAACACTTTGTTGGTCAGGAACTTTCTGGATGTTTTCAGCAGACAAGAATTTGATGATCTGTGATTTAAACTGTGTAACTTTGTCTTGACCAAGACGTGAAATCAAGTTAAGAACTAAATATCCGTATGACGATGAAGAAGACATCAAACTGACACAGCGAGGAAGGAATGGTTCAATTAAACTTGTCAGTTCATCAGGAATGGAAAGCATGAATGAAACGGCTGATGAATAATCTTTGTCAGGAAGAGATTTAAGAATAGGAATTGCAACATTCTTTGAAAACTCTTCGAAGTTGTCTTTCGTCAAAAGAACGGATGCAACAGTTAATATCTTGGATGGATTTAGAGAGTTCGGCGTGTAAACAGATAAAATGTCTTTGACATCAATTGAACTCAAAACTGTTGGTGAAACATTCTTTGACAAGAAATCAACAACACTTCCGAAATGTTGTGAATTTGGATTCTTCAAAATGCTTGTAAGATATTTAGGATTGATAGGATAATGGTTACCCTTTGCTTCAAGCATCTCTGGACCTGTAATAGGAGGACAGCCTTCGAAAAACACACGACCACTTGAAAAACTGTCAACAATCTCGTCAAAATCTGGACGATCGTTTGGATCAATCGACCAACAACGAAGAATGAGTCGGCGGAGGCCATCAGGAACAGAGGATGGGATCTTGAGGTGCCAGCCATGTGTAACGACATGGGAATAGATCTCTGCTTGTGTCTTGTCGCGATAAGGAATCTGATTTGTCGCCATTTCCCATAAAATGATGCCGAATGAGTATGTATCGACTTTCAATCCGTATCTCTTGTGCGCAAGGACTTCTGGTGCAGTGTAATGTGGTGTTCCGACGCCGCCAACTAATCCTTCGTTATTATCAACGAAACCGCAAAGGCCAAAGTCGGCAATAATGGCTGCTTCGTCTTCATCGAGAATGATATTAAGCGTTTTGAGGTCGCGATGGACGATTCCAAGTGAATGAAGATAAGCAATGCCAACAGCCATTTGGTATGCGATTTGCGTAAGGTGTAATGGAGTAAGAGGAACACATGGACGATGAAGACGCTCGAAAAGTGACTTTCCAGGGCAAAAACGTGTAATAATTCTGTATGGTTGTTTAATGTGAGTACCAACAAGCTCAAGAATGTATCGATTCTTAAGTTTGGCCATTGTAGCAATTTCGGAGTAAAGGGATGCCCACGTTCCCATAGTAATTCGGTCATTTCGAACTTCTTTGATAGCAAGAAGCTCGCCGGTAGAAATACGTGTACTTCTGTATACAGTACCAAAGCCACCTGTACCAAGTGCATCATCAAGTGCTATATCTTCGGTAGGAATGTCAATATACTCGAATTCTTTAAGAGCTGTCTCTAAACGTGAAACAATGTTCTCTGGATTATCGTCAATTTTACAGCTGTCAACAACGTTCTGCATTTTCTTACGCTTGTTGCGTGATGGTAAATGTTTGTGAATAGATCGAAGTCGAGCTTCAATCGATTGCTGAATATCAACACCGTTCGTCATGTTAATAGTATTGTCGCGTGCTTCACGAAGAAGTTGCTGGAAATGATTAAGATCTGCAACTTTATTCACTGAATCTTGGATTTGTTCGAAATTGATGATCTTCGCTGGATCAAAACCAAGGTGTGCAGTTATTTCAACTAAATTCTTACGGAATCGATCAATGTTTTCATGAAACTGGACAGATGAAACGTTCAACATGTATTTCATCCATTGTTTAGAGACTTGTGGTATGATTTCGGTGAGATTATCAACAAGAGTAACAAATCTCTCGAGAGCACGGTTTTGAATAGGAGATAGTTCCTGCTTCTTTAAAGGTTGAATTGCTTCAATGAAAGATTTCACGTGCTGAAGAAGATATGCAAGAGAAGGTCTGTACAAAACAGAGTTTTGTGCAGCTAAAAATAATGCATGGGAAGCGGCGTTGCATCGATTGACTTGGTTTTCGCCAATCGTCGCTTCCATTCTATAAAATTTGAATACTTTACAATATTTTTTTTTATTTTGAAAACTGCAAATTATTGCGATTTTATTATTGAATAAGCATTAACCACAAATTGTACATCTATTTTCCATATTAATGACTTTTAACCCTTTCGGCAATTCGTGCATGATTCCAAACTCCATCATTTTTGAAATTCTATAAGAAAAATAGAATCCTTATTAAATATAGATATTTAAAAACTTGGTTATAAATTACGAAATTTTCTCACTTGGTAATTTGGTCGGAAACCACCCTTAAAATGAGCGGCATTTTTTGACATTTTAAATGAAATCTTCATAATAATTCACTATATTTGCTGAATTAAAAAGAAAGTTATTTGCTAAAGATGAAGGCATTTGGGAATCCTACTTCAATACTAAATTTTCAGAGAACAAAACAGAAAAAAGTCAAAATTGCAATATCTCAGTAGGAAAAAAGCAATATTTCTTAGATGAATGCAACTTTTTTGATGATCATGATAGAGTTATCTATTTTAATAATGTTTCCGACACTTTATTTCTACATAATCAGTGTTCATTTAGTAAATGCACTTCAACATTAAATGGAAGTTGCGTTTACTACCAAATTGGCAAGAATAGTTCAATTGTTCAAAGCAAATTCTGTTGTACAAAATGCGAAGGCCAAGGAGAAGGCCAAATTTCATATACAGAAGTTGACACAGATAACATAAACTTTATTATTGAAAGTTCCATTTTCGATTCAGGAAATGAAAATGGAGGATCTGTTTTTGAAACATTGTATGATAAAATCGTAGTTTCATCAACAAATTTCTCATCAAATAAAGCTAAATACGAACCTGCTGGACATTATGAAGCTAAACCAGATAAATACACAACAAAATTTAATTATTCAACTGTTGTTAATAATTTAGCAACAAATGATATATTAAATTTTTGGTATAAAGCTTTGATTGATTCATGTAATATTATAAATAATACTAATACAAAATCATATTATGGAATTATTTACCATGCTAGAAATTCTCTTACTGTAAAAAGTTGTTCTTTTATTAACAACACTGTTCCTCAAGGTTCATGTTTGATATGTAACGATCTTGATGAATTAACAGTTGATAGTTGTTACATTGACAATTCGATATCAAAAACATTTAGGAGAGGTAAATTAGTAGAACTTACTAATTCAAGAGAACTATTTACTAACAAATTGATTCATCTCTCAAGTGGTAATTGCCAAGCAGGAGTTGAAATTATCAAATCGGTAGATAAAACTAAATCCATTGAATATTTCCATTACAAATTCCCACGTCGTCATTGATTTAATATTTTATGTTAATTAACTCAGACTCCAGGCCTCCATGATTGCTGCATACAGTTAAAACGAATAGCTGATAAGGATTTAAAACTATACTAATAGATTGATTATAGAAAGTTAAATAATATTATTGTTTGAAACATGATATTTGTAAACTTTACTGTTTTATATATGATAAATAATGATATTTTAAAAATTGATAATTGATTCGTAAGTGAACAAAAAGTGGCCAAGTATACAATTTTCCATCATTCGATAAGCCTTTTCGAATGGATTATAGAAGATCGAAATTTTTTTTTTGGTTGTTGGAAAGTGAAGTGAATGACCAAAAATAAAATGTTATTATCTCGTCATATTTTTGATATCTTTTGGTAAATATTATATGGATATAAAACTCATTTATAGTATTATATGTGTGCCTTAATTTCATTATCATATATGCAAGCTTCTGGCTTTCCCTCCTTTGATAAATATGTGAATTAAGCGTTTGAAAGGAGGTAAAAAATTTTTAAATATCTCATGATTGGATCTTTAAACAAAAAATATACTCAATAGAAAACATAGGAAATAATAGCTTATATATATTTAAATATGAAGAAAGACTCCTTATCTTATATTGAAAGACTAATTCATACATAACTTGTTTAAACGTCATTGAAAACAATCAATCAAATCAATATAATAGTCTTGGTTATTTTAATTTTCACGGATCTTCTTTCTCATATCCATCGACATTTAAAATTACTTCATGTAATTATATAAGAAATAAAGAACCAAAATATACAGCTCTCATTTCTTCTGATAGATCTGATCTTTTCATGAGTTATTGCTGTATTCATGAGAATGATATTCGTTTCAGTTTTGATGTACATGAATGCACAATAACATTTGAAAATTCAACAACAGATAACAATAGATCATTGATCTCACCAATATTTAAGAACACAGATATTTCATTTGGAAACCAATGTCCTATTTTGAACTTAGATATACCAGATTCTTTAAAATATAAATGTGGTTATTCCACTCCAAACAATGACGAAAATGAAGAAGACAATGTTGATGTTAGAAATCATGTTAAGTTTTTCTATTTATTGATGACTAGTAAACCTTTCCGAAGTAGAACGTAAAATTTGAATACTTTACAATATTTTTTTTTATTTTGAAAACTGCAAATTATTGCGATTTTATTATTGATTAAGCATTAATTACAAATTTTACATTTATTTTTCATATTAATCACTTATAACTCTTTAGTCACTTAAATAAATTGATTTCTCTACAGTTTGATTGGAAGGAATTGAAACCTTTCGTTCAATGGAGGATATGCGAAGCTAATTCCAAAATTTTTATTGATGCAAACCCAATACTTTGCTCAATAGTACTAAATTTATTTTCAACGGATCTAGGAATGTTGTAAACAGAAATTCATCAAAAGTGACACCTCAGAAAAGCTAAAATATTGAATTTTTGGAACTTTTGATAGAGCACGTTTTTAAATATTAATTAAAGTAAATGTATATTTTGTAAAGATTCTTTTTAATAAAAAAATAAAATTTTGAAGAAGAACACAAAATCTTCTGAAAAATAATATCACATAAACTCATATTATTTTCTAATATATAACTATTTTATATAAAAATCAAATTCAATGATCTTAAAAGCGAAGGATAAACCTCAAAATTTACGAATATAATGAGTGGGAATATAATGCTTATCTATCATAAAACCATATGAAATATCAATTTTTGCTTTACGCCTAATTTTTGACGACAATTAGCAAAAAATGTTAAATGTTAACACTCAGTCCATTTGAATATGAAAAATAAAATTGACTTTGATTAAATGTTTTTATTTATCATGCAATTCTTCTTGCGACCAAAGATTTGAATAAAAGTTCAAAAAATAAGATAGCTTAAAAAATAATATACGGTAGTGTTTACTAATAGATGAATAGTATATAAATTCTATTAAAATGGATTTGATCCAAAAAAATATAAAACCAAAAATAATTGTTATAATTTAAATGAAGAAGTAATTTAAAACGATTTTATTTATGATCAAATTCGATGGCAAGAGTATTCATTCAATAGATCTGGGAACAATTATTATAATGGAATACTCTTAACTCTTTCTTGAGATAGAAAATAGTAGTGAATCATAAATATAGGATCTGAATCGATTCAGACAGTGGAGCATTTTCATCTAAAATGTGTGGCATTTTTTTGTCATTTTTATTAAAATCATCATAATAATCCATTATGTTGCTGAATTAAAGAGAAATTTATTTGCTGAAGATGTTAGCATTTGGGAATCCTACTTCAATACTAAATTTTCAGGAGAAAATACCACAAAATGTCAAAATTGCAATATCTTTGCAGGGGAAAAGCAATATTTCTTAGATAAATGCAACTTCTTTGATGATCATGATAGAGTTATCTATTTTAATAATGTTTCCGACACTTTATTTCTACATAATCAGTGTTCATTTAGTAAATGCACTTCTACATCAGATGGAAGTTGCGTTTACTACCAAATTGGCAAGAATAGTTCAATTGTTCAAAGCAAATTCTGTTGTACAAAATGCAAAGGCACAGGATATGGCCAAATTTCATATACAGAAGTTGACACAGATAACATAAACTTTATTATTGAAAGTTCCATTTTCGATTCAGGAAATGAAAATGGAGGATCTGTTTTTGAAACATTGTATGATAACATCGTAGTTTCATCAACAAATTTCTCATCAAATAAAGCTAAATACGAACCTGCTGGACATTATGAAGCTAAACCAGATAAATACACAACAAAATTTAACTATTCAACTGTTGTTAATAATTTAGCAACAGATAATACAGGCCAAATGATAAATATTTGGTATAAAGCTTTGATTGATTCATGTAATATTATAAATAATACCAATACAAAATCAGAATATGGAATTATTATGCATTCTAGTAATTCTCTTACTGTAAAAAGTTGTTCTTTTATTAACAACACTGTTCCTCAAGGTTCATATTTGATATATAACAAAAAAGCCGATCAATTAATAGTTGATAGTTGTTACATTGACAATTCGATTTCATCAACATTTAAAAATAATGTAGTACCTAATAATACAACAGAACTATTTATTAACAATTTGAATCATTTTTCAACTGATATTTGCCAAGCAGAATTTGTCATTCTCAATAAAACAGAATTCGTTGTATATCTATCTCACAGAGCCCTGTATCGTCGTTGATTAAATTTGTTGTTTCAGCATGAGTACTTTCTGACACAAAACCCTGCAATGTCAAAAATTTTGAAAGGTCAAAAAAATTAGTGTCAGAAAGTTTACAAATATATACTTTCTGACAAACCGAGTCTCAGAAAGTACTCAAACGGCGGATCGCAAGAAGGCGGTTCCATCTACTTTTCGAAAAAATGCGAATTTGTTCAAACAAAAAATCCATTCATTAACACAACAAATTCTAGCACTGGCCCTTCATTTTTCATTTTTATTTCGGATATACAAAATTACAAAAATCAAGCCAATGAAACTATAGTTTCCAACTGCTAAGCTACAGCCTCCACAAATTTTGGCTTTATTGTGTTTAAGGCTTCACTAACATGACAAAATTTATTCAAAATTTTAAAAAGATGAAAAAAAATATGCTCTACAATACATATAAATACTAATCTGACATTTTCGGAAAAAGTGGAAGAAGGCATTTATTAGGTGTGTCAATAAAAATCAAAAATAATGATAAATATAGCATTGAAATAAATCATGGAATATATATATCAAGGGACTTTAACTAGAAACAATTGGAGGTTATTCACTCGAAGACGTTGTCTCCGATTCATTCATTACTTGTGTCAATGTCATTGAAAACAATCAATCATCAAGTTCTTTTAATAGTCACTCAGCAAGTGAATTAAAAGTTAATATTACATCATATAATTATATATTAGAAATAAAAGTCCAATAGAAGGTTATCTGATTTATACTTTTTTTTTACTGAAACTTCTATGAATCATTGTTGTATTCAAGGGAATGAAATTTCTTACACTTTTTTCTTCGCATGTTAGTAATATAACATTTGAAAATTCAACAACAGATAATAATGCAACATATCGAGATTTTAATTATCTTGGTGTAAATTTTAAGAACACAGATGAAGAAATGACCGACATAAGTCGCGTTCAACACACATTAAATTGATGAAGACCAAGAACTTCTAATAGATTCTAGGAGATACAAATAATTCGCATATGTAACAGTCAAAGATCTGGCCAAGGGGCTTCTCTGTGCTTTCGAGTTCTCTCCTTATTGACATGGGAAGATCGTGATTCGAACACCTAGTAATTCTCCACTCATGTTAGTTTCATTAATAAAAACCTTTTGCTTATCCATTAAGTTAACTATAGATTCAAGTTTTTGATCTCCGTTGAAATCATATTTTTGTCGTATATGAACACACATCCCAAATATCTGCCAATTCATTGAGACTTAGAAGATAAAAATTGATCTCATTTTTGAATAAATTTCATTGATAATTTAATATAATTAATTTCATTCGGATTACTTCTATTTATCAGTATGAATGCATTAAGGAAGATTGGATTCGACGGTATCAACAGAGAAGATACTAAATTTTATGAATATTAAACAATTAACGCAGAAATTATGGATTATAATAAAGAAGAGTCATAATTAATTACTATCATTCTTGATTGACATATTCATGATATTAATTTTAAATAGTTTTATCTTCATTCAATAGATAATGCAAATGAAATGCTAAATTCACTTTAAAAGCGATCTCTAACCCTCTCGTAAATAATAAAGCAGATTTAACACGTTAAATTATACTTCATTTGAGAGATTTTGACTGTGCACGAAGGTTAATCAAAATCATAATATATTTTCGAAATAAAATTAGACACAATGCTTCAACATATGTTCAAAAGTTTATCATGTAATAGCATTTGTTGAATCACAGGTCTTGAAATGAATGTGAAAGCCTGTGTCGAAATCATAAAACATTAAAAAGTCATAATAAACCGAGTTGATGATTAAAAATAAACAATTTGTGTAATATTAGTGTCATTATTGCATAAAGATGAATTCGAAGCTGAGAAAGTGTCGAATTTTTATTTCATTGCCTGTCTCAAGAGGTAGGGCAACGATAGAAAATTTTTGGAAAAAAAGTTCGGAGATCTTAAACGTATCATATTCCCTGCATGGTTTGGTATCTTCCGCCATGCGTTGTGCCAAACATATTGACACTTTCCAATAATTAATTTATGGTATGAGTCACAGAGTTAGATTATAAAAAGAAAGTAAATAATTGCAATTAGAAATCATATATGTCGGAAATCAAATGTTGATGAGCAGAAACCTTTTACTCATCATAAAAGAGATAAATCACTAAAGATTTGTATACATTAAAATTTGATATTTGGTGCTCGAAAACTGTCTGATGGGACTCCTCCAAAATGAACCAATCTATCGCTGAGGACCAAATTAGATGATGTGGATGGTGTATTCTCTAATTCTAACTTAGGAAGAATGGGAACAAAACGAATGACGACAACAACATGTCAAACATAGATTAAATATCTATGAATCAATAAAGTATACGTGCATTGAAGGTGATAACGATCACTTGAGGCTTATAACTCTTTGACTAAATTATGCAATAATTAAATATAATCATTTTTATATTTTATACTGATAGTAATTAATATACTATCCTGCTTAATAAATGGTATGATCAAATTTGTTTGAAAATTTAATTATGTATATGAAACTATGTCTTCTATAAAAATCAAAATTTTCGGACGAACCTAGATTGAAGCTTTATGAAAATCTATCTTTTTGTTAATTGAGTTAATATGAATCTTTTACATATGTATATATAGCATTGATAGCTTATATAATCATGGTTTATTCCATATTAACATATTTTTTCAGTTAAATTTGTTAATAATATCATGTAACAAATTAATTCAAGATTAGAATGTCTACAAAATGCTAACAAATAAGAACAAAATACGATTTCTCGACTTAAATTTTAATATGGAGTAGTTTTTCGTTTAAATCTAATTAAATGAATAATAAAACTTATCTTGTACTATTTTCATTCAAAGATTTTAATAATGTAAATCATGCATTTTCATAATTCAGTACAGTTCTTTTTAGAATTAAAGTTGATGAGGATGATATTTGTGATTTAAAATAATTTGTTAATGTTCACCTTTTATTCATCACCTTGTGGTATGCCCTAAAGCAATAGCATTATCAATTCTGCTGAATTGATCAACTCAAAATTCCAAAAAAAATTCAAAATTTCAAAAATGAAATTAAACAATTCGAATTTTCACATGAAAAAATTAATTTCGAAAAAATTTGGAAAATCAAAGTATTTGATAATTAGTCAAATAATCAATTTACATCGTTTTTACTCATAAAAAACAACTAATTTTTGATTTTGATATCATATTTGATAAATACTCATTCCAGAGTTGACGTAATGTATTAATTATTGTTAGAGATATTGCTTTCGCAGCAAAATTCTTATTTCATGAAAGAAAAAAAAAATGATTTATTCCAACAAAAACAAGTAAACAGATGAATGGAAACGTACTATATTTTCATAAATGTAGTAATCGGCGTGTCGGCTTTTGTTTATCATGTTCGAGTCAAAATGTATTAACTTGTAATAAGAAATATTCGAAGATTATATGAAGTATTGAGCATTCTTTGTAGAAATATTTGTAATTCATTACTAACATATATAATAAAGTTGTTTTTTTTTTCCTTATTGCAATAATTTTGTCTGATTTTAATAACTTTTCATGTATACGAGTTGTGTGAATATGCATCATAATATGCGTAAATATACTTATTTGCGACGAATAATGTGGTTGCATAATGGAGGTGCTAAATTTTGATTTTTAATATGGGGCTTTGGTATGTATAATCATGTTCTTATCTCAACGTAGGAGTATTGGTGCAATATGATTAAAATTTACGAGGTTGATCTTAAATTGAATAATTCTGGAGTATAAATCACAATGCAGCTAATTCTATGTTAAAGATAGATACAGATTGTAGTAATCAATTAGGGAGTACAAATTCATTCTTTCATTTCTGTCGTATTGAGCAGAAAGGAAGAGATCATAACCCTAGGAAAAAAGCCCAAATTTGTCACTTTTCATAGTACGTTAAACTCAATTCGCTCGGCGAATGCCGAGCACACGTACTCATCATTCAACATAATATTCTCATTCTTTGGTTATTATAGTGCCAGACAACACAAGATTTCAAAGAATTACTTGAGTTTTCAATTAATCTTAATCCGATTTTAGATTTATCGAGAACTCCATCATCACAATCACATACTTCAGTGCGGTAACTACAATTATCCATATACAGAAGGAAGTTCTTTTCGAACAACTCATTTGGAGTCTGTTTTGGAAAGAACTTCTTTCTGTCCGACTTAATTTCATAGTTCCTGATCAACCAAAAGACAGAAACCACACACTATCTACTTAGGAAAGGAGTTCTTTCTAAATCTTCCTTAAATTGAGATTTTACGAGAGATAACCCTTCTATTGCACTTAAAAATGAACATTTTGATATCTTTAGTATCACACATGGTCATATATAGTATTTCATCTACATGAATACATTCATCTTTCGAAGTCTCTCATTAAATGGGAGGCTTCGAAAGATGAATCGTTTTATTCATACAACTTTAAATCTCGAACACATTTAGAGAGTGAGTATATCATTTTATTCTTGTTTTGAGTTTATTCTGATTCAAAATTGCAGTGAAAACAGAAGTTCACACATCATATCTGAATGTGAGCTCATCTATACTTATACGATCTCAATACCTCCACTCTAAGCATAAGAGGTGAAGTTATATAAAAATTATCAGATGCGTTGAAGTCTCAAAAGTATTGCCTGAATGCTTGTTTCATATTTGTCCAAGTAGTTTCAATGAATAAATGTATTGTTTTTTATAATTTCGATTTATTTTTAGAAAATATTCAATATAAACCTTTATTGTGTTATTTACATCTCATAAATTCTCTGTCTAAATCATATAAAAGCGCGTTTTACCCCTATGAATCAAGAAATTCATTCAATATTCATGGTATATTTATTAAATTTATACGATTTACTAATAATCAATATTATATCCTCATAAATAGCAATATATTTTGGTAATCTATGATAATCATATACAATATTTGAAATCAAATTTTCATTAGTTTAGGTTCCTTGTTAATAGTAAACCATTATATTTATTACTAATAATAAAATCTATGTGTCGTATTGAAATTCAATAAAATTACTGATTCGGTCCAAAAAAACAAATTAGATAAAATTTTTCTTTTTTTATGTAATTTTTGTTTTTCATTTTTCTCAAGATCCTAAGTTATGTTCTAACTTTTGACATCATATCCTATCATGCTAGGCTATATATTATAGCATATCCAAAAGGCAAGGAAATCTATCAGAGAAGCCTTTTTGACCTATCGTTGCCCTACCTCTCTGTCTCAATTTTTCTTGAAATCGGTAGAAAGTGGATGTATTATATGATCATAATAGACCAAAATTTTCACAAATTTAAAATCTTTCAATTTTATATATTTTACATAAAAATTTTTTAAAGATGTTTTGGAAGTGGGAAAAGCAACCCGAAGACTTATACTTTACTGTTCACTCTGCCAAAGTGAAGAAAAATTCGACATATGAGTTTGAGCTGTCGTGGGCCCGTGGAGATCACGCAGGGTCAACATTCAAGAAAATTCCAGACGCTGACGGCTTTATTAAGTTCGATCACGAGTTTTCCTGCCCATGCACTATGTATGTAAATAAAAAGGATGAGACAGTTCGTCCAAAAAATATTAAATTTGTACTCAAAAGATATACTTCAGTCACAGAGAACAAAATTTACGGTAAATTGACAATAGATGTTGCACCATATTATAAGAAACGCGAACCAGTCCATGTTAACTTTGAAATGGAATCAGGCCGCTCTACACCACCAGAATTATCAATAACATTTACATTCAAAGCGTCAAATCGTGATGCAGGTTCAAGTGCTGTTAACGATCAAGACATGTCATTTATTGGAGATACACCAGAACGCAAAGTTGGCCTTGATGAATGGGATATAACTGATTTTGGTGTTGTTGAAGCAAATACCGTTCAGCAAGTTGACCACGGCGAATCTACACTCAGCAGCTTCCAGAGACCCGCAGAGAAAAAGAGAAAGCACGATAAAGATAAGCATGACAAAGAAAAACGCGAAAAGGACAAAGATAAAAAGCACGGACATCATAAATCTAAGCATCATTCCGCCGAAGAAGGCGAAGAAAAGCCAAAAGATGCCGATAAAAAGCATAAAAAACATTCATCGAAGAAAACTACGGAAGACCAAGTTTCTGCAGACGTAGAAGTCAAAGCAGAAGTCAAGGTCGAAGAAAAGCCAGCAGAAAAGATTGCTGAAGAGCCAGAAGTGCAGAAATCAGATTCATCTTCCGAAAAAGAAGCTCCAGCACCACAACCTGTCGAAGAAGAGAAGGCTGTAGTTGTTGAAGAAGAGAAACCAAAGGTCGAAGAAGAAAAACCAAAAGAAGAAGTTATAGAACCAGAAAAAATTGAAGAAAAAGTTGAAGAAAAACCGCAAGAAGAAGAACAAAAGGCTGTCGAAGAAGAAAAGCCTCACGTTGAAGAAGAAAAACCACAGGTTCAAGAAGAGCATCACGAAGAAAAACATGAAGAAGTGAAAGAGGAAGTAAAAAGTGACATTGATCTGAAAGTTGAAGAAGAAAAAGTGACACCTCCTATTGAAAAAACCGAAGAAAAGAAAGAAGAGGTTGTTGAGGTTGTTGAAGAGGAGAAGAAGCCAGAACCAGTTGTAGAAGAGAAGAAAGTTGAAGAAGAAAAGGTCGAAGAAGAGAAAATTGAAGAAAATAATTCTCATGAACAAGATGATCACGAAGAAGAAGAGAAACCAAAGAAGAAAGTTATCAAGAAGGGTAGATTCGGCAAGTTCATGAACAAAAAGAAGAAGAACTACGATGTTTCTGATTCATCCGAATCATCTGAAGACGAAAATCCATTTACACCACCGAAGAAGGTTGAACCGACACCAGAACCCAAGCCAGAACCAACTCCAGAGAAGAAACCTGAAGAAAAGAAGGTAGAAACACCAATTAATACTCCACCAGTCGAAAAAGTCAAAGATGAGCCAATCATGACACCAAAGAAAGAAGGAGAGCAGCAACAGCAGGAGACGCCGAAGACTCCTAAGGTAGCTGACTCCAAATTACTTGATTTAATTCAAGAAGCTTTAATTGCAACATGGCCGGAGTACAAATCCAAGGCATTCATCGACAAAAATGGTAGAGTTGCTGTTCCGCCTGCTGCTTTGCCACTTTGCGCCGTTGCATTGTACTGTGATATTTTCAAGAACAAACAGTTACTTGAAGAATACGTCAATCTTCTTCCACAAGCTCCATTAAGTCTCAGATCCTCACACCAACAGCGATTTTACACTTATTTAATACTTAGTGCCTTTGCATCAAGATATGCCAAAGAATATCCACAAACAAACGTCAACAATTCACAGCCGAACTTAAGTATAAGCGAAATACAAAAGAACGTCGAGGAATTCCTCAACCACGTTGATAAATTGGTTGATGAATCCATGACAATGTTCTTGAAGCCCTTGATTCCATCGTTTGAGGTCATCCTCAACAGATTGATCACAGCCCGATTCAATTCCGAGATGTTGATGAACGATTTCTCCCAAGTAATGCGAAATTCAAGGACAACAATACAAGGAGAGCACACAGCAGCTGTACATCGTGTAGCATGCAGAAGATTACAGTCAATGCTCGATGCCAGAGTCTATTGGAAGATAATGAGTAATCCGAACAGATTTTCTTTCACAAACGGTGCAGCATGGTCATCATTCTGCACTGCATTGGAAGGAGAATGCGGAGTTGCTCTTCCTTTGTCTTCCCAACTCGCGCATCTCCTTATGATGGCCGCACAAGTCGCAGATGATTCCCATTTGAGGGAAGAGATTTGTCCGGACATTCCTCCAGCGGAAGCACTTTATGTCATCGAAAGACTTCTTCCTGATGATATGATGCCTATAAGAGCTGATGCACAGAAGTTTGCAACAGCTGTTGGTTTGAAGACGGGAACAGTTAAAGAGGACGTGAGAAATCCTGAACCTGTTGACGTTTCATCTCTTTATGACGGCGAATTATCTAAAGCATGGAAGAAATGTGTTGTTGATGATGTGTTGATTGATACATATCCTTTCTTACAGGAATATAAGAAATAAGTGTATATTTTATATTTTTTTTATCCATTTAAAATTCGAAATTTTTTTATAGTAAAAACAAGAATTATGATTATTCTTTTACACCTTTTTTCTAAATGAACTTTCTTTCATTGAATATTGAAAAAAATTGTTATGGTGTTTCTCCACTTCATTGTGCAGTTCATATTTCATGCTATTTTTTTATAATTATGATAATACAGAATGCAATACAATTGTTTGTGTATAAGATCATTAATCCTCTAGATATGAAAAGAGCAGGGTTGTGATCTTATACAAGAAAATCACTTGTGAAATTCAAAGTAAATTTGAATTTTTCATTTATACTAGATTTGAATAAAATAACTTAATTTGCTGCTGGCATGGGTTGTGCATCATCATTACTGATATTTTTGTATAAATGTTTGCATTATTTTTTGCTATTTCTTGATTTCTCACTATGATATGGTTAGATTTATTATTATATATGATTGTAATGGATTTTATTAGGAAAAACGTATAACCTAACTCAATGAATCATATTTCTACATATATTGAAAAGAATTTGTGGCTTTTTCTACAATCTTGTTAATCGTCGAGTATCAATTATTGATATTATCTTCGATAAATAGCAAATTTCATTACAATAGGATCAGGTTCCTTAAGTTGTAAACTTGTTTTCAAGGGACTAGCAGAAATTGATATATCTTCTCCTAACTTTAGATAGGAAGGCAGCAGTAATGAATGTCAAGAGTTCATATGGTAAAGATCTATTATTGAAGTATAATGTTGAACAAGGATTTATTTTAAAAATCAGAATCAAAGATATTGTTTTCTCGGTATCTCCAATTATGAGATTAAAAAAAAAAAAAAAAAAAAAAAAGGTAGTGGGGCTTCCAGGCACTTCGTGCCTTCTAGCCCTGAAGATGATTAGTATAAATGAAGTTTTTATTCGGAGGGCTTCCAGGAGCTTTTCACAAATTATATATGTTTTCATGTTTTGTCACTTTTCTGTCACTTTTCGGGTGAAAACATTTTTATTATTATATATAAATGAATTTTACAAAACCACCGTTACCGTTCTTTGGAAATAAGAGTAGATGTAAAGATATTATATTGAGAGAACTTAAGAAACTACCGAATGGTCTAACATTTGTAGATTTGTTCGGTGGAAGTTTCTATATATCCCATTTATGTCATATAATATTCCCAGACTCAAAGATTATATGCAATGACTTCGACAACTATATGGACCGTCTCAAACATATTCCAGACACAAACAACATATTGAAAGAGTTAAAAGAAAAGATACCTATAGGTAAGATGGAACGTATACCATTAGATAAGAAAAATATTGTGAGAGAGGTTTTGAAAAAAGCAGAATATATAGACTGGGATAGTATATCTGCTAGACTATTATATAGTGGTGCTATAAGAGTTCATGACATTGAAACACTTATGTCAAAAGTTTTATATCTTAACTATACAAATGTTTTCAAAGAGGACATAGAAAAATATATTGAGGGTATAGAGTTTGTGAGATGTCATTGGACAGAGTTGTATGAAAAATATAAAGACAAGGAAAATGTTTTCTTTATAGTGGACCCGCCGTTCTATAACACATGGGATTTTCAATACCAAGTAGACTGGACTTTGAGAGACTCTTTAGAAACTTTAGACGTTTTACATAACCATCCATGCTTTTACTTTACATCCGATAAAAGTGGTTTGGAAACCGTTATGAGATGGTTAGAGGACATACATGACTATGAGTTTATATATGACAAGATAGAATATGAGAGAGGTCCTATAAACTGGAGAAAGTGTCATAACAAAGAAATTTTATTAGTAAGTAAATGTGGTTTGAAATCGGATTGTTAGTTTTAGGTTTTTTCCATTGTGTCATTTATTTATTTGACGTGGCAGAAAAGTACAGAGAATATGAAGATGAAACCAATGCCTGCAAATGTTCAGTATATGTACTCGTAAGAGATATTTTTATCTAATATTAAATGGACGCACAGAACTTAGCGAATGCACAGCAACCTGGACAACCAAACCCAGAGAATATTCCAAATGAAGTTAGAATACAAACTGCAATGGCAAACTATATGGTCAAGTGCCAACAGATGTACAAATGCAAACTGCCATGTCAAATGACGCTGCGTTAGGTTTGCCACCATGGTATGCAAATATGAGATAGAAAGAGTTTTATACAAACCCTGAAGTGGGATATAACAACTTTATGCAGATGACGCGAACACAGGAGTTGACCCAGAATATGTTTTCTACCAGAGGAGAAACAGAATGTATGAGCTCCAGTTAAAGAATGCTATGGAACTCAACAGGAAACGTAAGAGACTAGGCGACATTAGATTTTTACATATAGTAAAATGGGTTTCTTTGGAAGAATAGGAAACTTCTTTCGAAATGTTGGAAGAGGTATATGGAATGGAATAAAATCTGTCGGAAGAGGAATTTGGAACGGAGTCAAAAATATTGGTAAAAGAGTAGGTCAGTTCGTTGGTTATTATACCTAAAGACCCTGAACCAGAAGAACAAGCTCCTGTTATACAACAGCCTGAACCTGCACCACAGTCTAAGTTGGCAACCAAAATCCAACACCTCAACCGGTATATTAAAAAATTATATTTTTATCGTTCGATAGTAGTTGTATATGAAACTAAGTTCTAAGTAAAACGCATGGTATAATGGAATTATTCTTTTTCTTCCATCTGTAGTAAACCATACTTGAAAGTCTGAAATACTTCCACTTGGTGGTTCATATAGCTTTGTAGGTTTTTCGTAAAAGTCATTTGCCAAGCATAAGAAAGAGTTTTGGGCGCCAGAAAATGAAGCATGAACAATAATAGCATCTTGGTCGAAAATATTTTCATATGTTCCATTAGGGTTTTCGACTTCATAAAAGTTCGGGTGTACTGGATATGCTGCAGGCTGATTTAACATCCTCAAAAATCTATACCATGCCAAGTTGTTATATTTTGTAGAAATATAAACGTTTTCTCCAAGGTCTTCTATTCTATTGATTTTAACAGTTGCATTTTTCCTGTCATAAACAATATCGAGATGGTACTCTCCTTCGTCAATGTTATACTGTTTTGCATATTCAAGATAGATATCGTTTATTTTTTCTTGAAAAGCTTGAAGAGTTGTTTCTAAGTTTACAAGCAAATTCACTTGTAAAAGTTTTCCCTGTTCAAATTTCTCATACGTACGTTTTTCTTTGTTATAGTATCGAACTTCAAAACCGACCGTAAATGGGAAACCATGTATGGCTTCTGAAATGAACTTCATTCTACGAAAGCCAATAGCTTTTGTGACGGATGGGTCTCTTAGCCATCTCAATGGGTAGTCAAAACGATAGCCTTCATACTTTACGGTATCTGTCTCAAACTTTTGACCGACATTAGTAAAAAGTTCATCTAATGGTTTAGTTGTAGCAACTCTTGAATTTTCTTTTTCTATTGAAAGCATATTTTATCTAGAATAAAAATGTCAAATGAAACAGCGTCTATGAGAGAAATACAACACAACCGACAACTCATTATACAAGCTCTAAATAAGAACACAACAAACTTTTCAAACTATTCTAAGATATCTGAGTCATTGAAAGAAGGAAACTTAAAACTGACATTAAACCCAATGACAGATGAGTTTCTGTTTCAAGACAAGAAGAACAATACTGTCTGTATAAATCCAACAAAAGGAACTTTAAACGAGAAACCTATAAATGAACTTCTTTTGAAAGCAGATGTTGACAACAAAGCTGACAAAGAATATGTCATTGAAAAAGTTCAAGAAGAACATGACAGAGCAGATGCAACATATGCAACAAAAGAGGATGTTGAAAATAAAGCTGACAAAGAAACTGTAGATATGTTGGCACAAACGGTTTCAAGTCATACCAGAGGTTTAATGGAAGATGGACAACAGTTGAAAGAGCTTGAGAAAGGTGTTACAGAGTTAAGGAATACAAAAGCAGACTCGAAATGGATAGCTGGATATGTAGATGCAACAAAAGAATATATTTTCGCATGGACAGAAGGAACATATTCTAAAAAGACTCATACACATTCTATATCTGAAATAACAGACTTACAAGAAACATTAGAGACAAAAGCAAATAAGACTCATACACATACCATTGCAAATATTACAAACTTACAAGAAACCTTAAACAGGAAAAGTGACGTTGGACATACACATTCTATATCTGAAATAACAGACTTAAACGTTAGCCTTGAAAAGAAAGCAGATAAGAACCATACACACGATTTCTTCGCAACTGTTGGTATAGAAAATATTGAAGGAACGGTTGAAGGAGCTGATGGAACTGGTGGGGATGTATTGTATTGGAAACCTCCTAACTTTCCACAAGGTTTAACATCGGAGGAAGACATAACGACGATGAAATACATTAGATGTAGAAATGTTTATGTCATGAAGGATGAAAATAAAGTTAAATTCACTGCTCAAGATTTATATGATAAAAAAGCTGACAAAACAGAGCTTCAAACATTAAAGATTGAAATACTTCAAACATTATATCCTATAGGTTCTATTTATACGTCAATGAACTCTACCAGACCAGAAGTAGTACTTGGTGTTGGTGCATGGGAACAAATAGTCGACAGGTTTTTGTATTGTGCAAACTCTTCAAAGGAAACAGGTGGAAGTAAAACGATTTCAGGTGAAAATTTACCTGCACATAGTCACTACATAGATTTAAGTACATCTCAAGCAGGTTGGCATAAGCATAAATTTTGGGATTGGTCAGCAATGACAAAAGGTAAAGGATATGATGTTAAAGACAACGTTCAGTTTGCTATAAATTGTTTCTGGGGTAACACTCAGGGAGATGGAAACCATACACATTTCGTTTCAGGGTATACGCAAACAACGGGACAAAGTAAAGACTACATGCCACCTTACATGACAGTTTACGCATGGTATAGAATTGCTTAGTCGTCATTTTCAACTTCTTTAGCATATTCGTCAGGAGT